TAGTTCGACTTTCGACAACTAATAATCATTTTTTTTTTATATAAACCACTTTATATTAATACCTCAAAGAGTACAATTGGATTACATAGAGTGAGATTAAACAATTGCAGCAAAACAGAGAGTGAGATTACTGGAATTTGGCAAACCATAACATTAGATAGGTCTCTTGAGTTTGAGTAACGATGGAGGAGGTAGAAGAAGCAGAACGATCCAAACCAGCAAGTCTTCTTCTCAGGAGGAGTTGAATTTCTCTCTTTAGTTGGATTTCAGAGCGAAAAGAGGTGGTGTGCAGCCGTGCATTTCACTCCTTCCAAATGTAGTAAGCCAAAGCATGAATAACAAGTTTACAAATGGCATTATGCTTCCTATTTGTGGTAGGGTTCTTAATCCAGTCGAGTAAGATTGTGAAAGTTGAAGAAGGAGCAGGCGAGAAACGACCAAAGAAATCCATCAGAAGAGTATTGGAGTATCTGCACTAATAATCATGCAATCGATTTATTTTCTAATTCATCAAAATCTTAAATGCACAAGAAGAAATCTAAAGTAAGCTCTTCCCTTGAGCATTATTCCACATATTTTAATGAAAAAAATATTATCTACAATGACTCACATTACATCTCAATGAAATGAGATCCAAAAGGACCAAAACTCACACATCTTAATTCCAAAATATGTTAGGTTCCTATTTTCAACAGTTAGCCAAAATTAGCCAATCTATAAAGAAAGAGACATGTAAATTAATGATCATTTCTATACATGCAAAGTCGAGCATATTTTTATCACATAACGACTATTCACAACAAATACCAATACTAACCGACACGACTTGTAGTCGAATGGTTAGTGTAATTGATGTCGTTATGTGGCAACCTGATTCCAACTTACACATGCATTGTTATATATTGACCATAATCATTTAAATAAAAACATTAATATATCCTAACCCATAGAAAATTGATTACTCATAATACGTGATACGCAATATTTGCTTCACTTTCAGAGCAGAAGTGCCAGTCTTTTCCTCCTCTTCTTAGATCAGAATGAATGAAACCTACTCCAATTCGCAAGTGTTTTTGAGCTATATTAAAACATAATTAACTTAACAACAACAAAATATTTTTGGATAGCTAGGCATTCTTAGACTAGAGATCACACTTGTAATTGATGATTTTGACAACAGAGTGAAACCAATTTATTATCATGGTTTATCCGGTCCTTAACATGTCCTAAAAATTAATATTCTTCCATTCAACTTTTAAGATTAAAATACCAATAATTGTCATTGTCCACCAAAAACTATGAGGTTCGCTAAAAAGATATTTTTCCCTTGGATACGTATAATGCATATCATGCATGTACGTTGTATGCATGTGGGACTCAAGAAATATGTATTTATGTATATGTTTGTAGATGAATAAATTTTAAAAGCATATAATGTGATTACACATGAACGCATGTACGTGTATGCATGTGAGACTCTACTCTATACAGATGTATTTATGTGTATGTTTGTAGATGAATGGTAATAATGGAAATGGACCAATTGGTCCCTTAGGATGTGAAATTTCATGTTCACATGGCAAATTGGTTAGTGGCTAGTAGTGGCCCTTTTGCCAGTCTATCGTCCGTAATCTGCGTCTCTAGGTACACACACATCCATCGCTTCTGTCATTTTATCTCATGTATAAAAAATTTCCCAAGATTTTCAAAAATTAATGTACTATGAAAATTTTAAAATATATAGATAATGTTAGATATTGTAGTGGTGATCTAGGTACGAATTCAGTTGGGATTTTTGGGTTTTGTTGGATTTTTAGTTTTACGAAGTGATCAACAATGCCTACACGGTCGTGGTCTAGTGGTAGTTGAGAATTGAAAAAAGTTAGAAAGAACTAATTCATGTTCGATCCATCTTAGAAACAAAAAAGACATATGTGTAGGAAGTCTCGGTTTGAGCTTTTGGTCCAAACAGTTTACCTAGTAGTTCAATAACATGCAATCTGGTTATCCATACATTAGTCGGAAAGCATTCCAAATTCGAGACAGACAGTGTAGTGGTCCTTCGGGGAGAGTCCACTCTAAATAGGGTTTATAAAAAAAAATGATCAGCAAATTGAATTGAAACAGAATCTAATTTGGTTAGGATGTTGTTTTGGTTTTGAAAATAAGAAGATAAAATTTAATATATTAACAAACTTGATGTTATCATTAAGATCATAATCGATGCACACAATGTACACAATATATTTTTATTTTTGATGATTACGTCAAATACGTTAAGGTTAAGAAAACTGAAAATTTACGATTTTTTTGTTTTGTTTTTTGGGAAAAAACCCGAAAAAACCGCCATCTATTTTTTTTTTGGCCGTTTAATACGCGTGTTATTAAATTTGGAATAAAAATGCTTCTTTTAATTATTGTTGTCTTTTAAATTCTTTGTTTTTTTTAATTTTGGTAGATTCTTACCTCCGCGTTAACGGCCGTTAACGATGGTAACGGAATCGCTAACTGCAGTTAAAACTTAACCCCATAGTGTTTACGTATATATATACAATTTCGGTTCGTATTGTTAGGAACATATTGTCTTAGTCAGGTGGTGATACGTGGGTTGAAATTATACTCAGAAGCCCGAGTTCGAGCCACCTCGAGCTCTTTTTTTTTCTTTTTTTTTTTCCCTTAATTTGACTTCGTCTTCAACCTAATTCAATTAAAAACAAAAGTGCAGCAAACTTCTTTGGATCCAACTCCATATCTCGTCTCACAACCATGCTTATCAAATAGAGCATTCTTAGTTAAAGAGGAAAAAGGAAAAGATTGGAGTAGTAGCATAGTTAATCTTCCCAATCATGTAAATCTCCATATTAACCTACTTCTTTATGCACACATCAAACCGTAACGAAGCCACTCCACTCCACTCCACGTTTTTGTTCACCTCCACGTACTGAATTCCCCAAATTTTACAAAGTGGATAAACCCTAGATCTTCTTACTTCTCAATTTCAATTCCACTTCTCAATTTCAATTACCCTAAATCTGAGGTTACAGGAGAGAACAAAGAGATCTAGGGTTTGGGCACTATACGGCTTCTCAATTTCAATAAGAAAATCTGGGGTTATAGGAGAGATCTTGGGCACTATACGGCTTCTCAATTTGAATAAGAAGATCTGGAGTTACAGGAGATCGAACAGAGAGAGTTTGAAGAAGACGAAGTCATAAAAAAAAATATCTAAAAGACCTAGAGGAGGATCGAACTCGGGCACGTGAGTATAAATTCAACCCATATAAAACCACCTGACTAAGACAATATATTCGCAAAGTTATGAACATAAATTATATATATATACACGTGAACACCATGGGGTTAAGTTTTAACTGCAGTTAGCGATTCCGTTACCATCGTTGAACGGCCGTTAACGTGGAGGTAAGAATCTACCAAAATTTAAAAAACAAAGAATTTAAAAGACAACAATAATTAAAAGAGGTATTTTTATTCCAAATTTAATAACACACGTATTAAACGGCCAAAAAAAAAATAGATGGCGGTTTTTTCAGGTTTTTTCCCTTTGTTTTTTTGGGTGTTATTTTTAACACAAAATCACTCATTTACATTGACACCACAATAAAAGGGGCATAAGTAAGGGACAATCCATTAGAAAAAACGTTTTTTGTTCGTTTCACAAATTCATTTGGGCAAGTTTTTTTTTTTTTCATAAGTGGATGGATATTATTATCTTAAGGAAAATAATATACTTTTTGTAACTCTTTTATAATTACTTCATATTATTTTAAATTTTTTTTTTTTGCTCTATTCAATTTTCTAATTTCTAATCCAACAACCCATCCAATTTCTTATTGGACGTATTGGGTAGCTTGATTACCAAATACAAAGCTTTTTATTACATATAATTTAGAGATAAAAAAAAGTGTTAAGTAAAATAGTGCGTTATCAGATAAAATAACATGATTCTTTAAAAACATAAATGAATTGGGTTTTAAAACAAACAACCATAAATACCATAACACAATCCAATTTTATAAATAATTTTTTTTTTAAAATGGTTATTTATGGCTATGAATTTTCATATTCAAAATATATTCATACAAATAATTTCAAGGGTAATTTTGAAAACTACCCTATTTATGGGTTTTTGTATGAAAAATACACCTCTCTCCATTTTAATTCAAAACTATAATTTTTAATATATTAAATGACAATTTTGTCCAAATGTAAAAAAAGTTGTATTTTTAATAAATTAATATTAAATACGAAATTACATATTAATTCAAAATTTTGAAGGAAAAAAAAAAAGAATAAACTAAATTCAAAATCTTAATTATTAATTTGACTATTTATGAGATAAATACAGTTTTTTTTTTTTTTTTTTTTGTCAAGAGATAAATACAGTTTATTTATTTTATAAATTAAAACTAACATGATATTATCAAAACAATATTCTAAAGATTATCACTTCATATTTGTCACATTATATAAAGAAATTAATAAATAATAATTTTTTTAATATCGACAAAAAATAAAAATCAAATAGATTTTTGGATTTTAAATAGAAATATTTTAAAATTATTAGCAAATCTCAGTGAGGACATTTTCGTAATTTTATCCCTTTTTTATATATTAAAAATAGATTTTATATTTGAAAAAATGAATAAGGTATTTTTCAAACAAAATCTCAAAGAAGGGGTAATTTTCCAAATTTTCTCTAATTTCAAACCACTCAAGCTAATCTAAAAAAAATAAAATAATAAACAAAACTAAATTTTATATATTTTCTTTTACAAAGAGATAATATTTAAACCGAACAATACGATAAGACTTGGGCCTAAAATCTTTGTCACAAAGGCTTCTTAAAGCCCATTAGTTGCATTCAACATTATCGACAACTAAATTTAAAGGAAAAAAAAAAGTTTAACTGAAGAAGCTAAAAGAGTTTTTAACTTTTAACTCTCTTCGTCTTCTCTCATACGGTGTCAAATCAATCTACTGTTCTCTCTCCCTCTCTCCTACCTGGTAAACTTTTCCTCTTCGCCATGAAAAATTGCTTTCTAGGGTTTTAGATTCTACAGTTCTATTCCAAAAATTAGGGTTTTTGTGACAATTTCTCAATTTCATGTTTCCTTTTTCTGTTTCTCCATAATCACTGCTTAATTTAGAATCCCCAATTTCACAAAATAGGGTTTTTTCGTTACTGTTTGATTTTGGGGGTTTTTGATTTTGAACAGTTTATTGTGTTCTTGATGTCATAATTCTTATGTTTTGGTTATCTATTGCGAAATTAGGGCAAGAATCTCGGTTGATTCCGAGATTAAAGGGATTTAAGACAAACCTGCAAAATTAGGGTTTTTTGTGGATATGGATTATGATCGGTTCAAGTTATTTGTTGGTGGTATTGGGAAAGACACTAGTGAAGAAGATTTGAAGCAGTATTTTAGCAGATATGGACTTGTGTTGGGAGCTGTTGTAGCTAAAGACAAAGTCACTGGTATATCCAGAGGGTTTGGGTTTGTTCGCTATGCTAATGATTATGATGTTGTTAAAGCTCTTAGTGGCACTCACTTCATTCTTGGTAAACCCGTAAGTGTTAACGCCTTTTACGCTTGTTTCAATTGGGTTTTGTGTGTAAACTTTGTGGATTGATTAGTGTGTTTTTGTATCAGGTTGATGTGAGGAAGGCTTTTCGGAAACATATATTGTACCAACAGCCGTTTAGCATGAAGTTTTTGGAGGGAAAAGTGCAACAGAACAACGGTGGTTTGCGTGAGATGTCGAGTAATGGTAATATTCATAGGACTAAGAAGATATTTGTTGGGGGTTTATCGTCTAACACGACTCAGGAAGAGTTTAAGAGTTACTTTGAGAGGTTTGGTCGGACGATTGATGTAGTTGTGATGCATGACGGTGTGACAAACAAGCCAAGGGGTTTTGGGTTTGTTACTTATGATTCAGAGGACTCTGTTGAGTTTGTTATGCAGAGTAATTTCCATGAGTTGAGTGATAAGCGCGTTGAAGTGAAACGGGCAATACCTAAAGAAGGAATCCAGAGCAATAACGGTAATGTTAACGTTAACGTGCCTCCTACATACAGCAGCTTTCAAGCAACACCGTATGTTCCTGAGCAAAACGGATATGGGATGGTTCTACAATATCCTCCTGTGTTTGGTTATCATCACAGTGTCCAAGCCGTTCAATATCCTTATGGTTACCAATTCACAGCTCAAGTGCCTAACGTTTCATGGAACAATCCGATTATGCAACCCACCGGTTTTTACTGTGCTCCTCCTCCTCCTCCTCCTCCTCCTCCCAGCAACACTCTTGGTTATCCCCCTTACATGAACGGGTTTGATCTTTCGGGTACGAGCATTCCCGGGTACAATCCTGTACCATGGCCTGCAACGGGGGATGCAGCTGGTGTGCTAATACAGTTCGGAAAATTGAAGTTTGATGTCCATAGTCAAGCACATCAGAGAATGAATGGAGGTAACATGGGAATACCATTGCAGAATGGTACATATCGATGACAGTTGCAGAATGATAAATGCAATTAGGCTCACAAGGTTAGTGAAATTCTTTGGACTCTTTAAAATTGTTTTCTAGGTTCCTCATCTTTCTTCATTAACTCTTTGGTAAATGTGTTGGGTTGGTTTGGTTGCCTTGTATATTGTTTAGGTATTTGATTTTAATTAACCCCAAGACCTATGTAATATATTACTGCATTGTAATATATCACATTCATTTCGTTTTATTTTGTTGCTTTTATGGTTTTGTTCATTTTGTTGTTTCTTTGATTAAATTGGCAATGATGTTTTGAATTCATGAAGGAATAAAGAGAAATAGAATATCAATTAAACAGTAGAAAAATAAAAGAATTGTAGAAATTAAACGAAATTACGAGAACTGAATCTGGAAATCTCTAAGAATATCATATTTTAGAAAGAAACAAATCAAGATGGGAGAAACCATTGGGCGTCCTTGGGCTTTAAGTTGGAGAAACCGGGGAAGCGTTTAAGGGTCTTTGTTGCGAGATTGAATACACACATGTCCAGGGATGAACTTTCCAGGTAACGGACATAATCATGGCGGGTGAAATAGATGGAGTTTGGTTTGATACCAAGGGAACGGTCAACAGGCACTGTGATACCCAAATCAAGAAACAAAGCCCCCTCACCTAGAGAATCTACCTCAACATAAATACCAATACGGACACACGGTTTTAGCCCGGTGGAAATCGACAAAACTCAAACGTTCAAACACAGACCTCAAAATGTCTTTAGGAAGTTCTGAGCAGCAGCTAGAAATAGGAGTCTCCATGCTTCCAAACTTTAACGAAAGACCAATCCAGTGAATTATATAAAGGAGATTTTGGGACGTAGATAGTGTATGATATTTGTTCGCTGTATTTGCGTGGGCTTCTCGTTAACAAGAAGGCCAATGCTACAAAACCAAGTGAAAGAAGTCATGTTTAAAAATTTTATTTTATTTTAAAACTTCATTCGTTTGAGACAAATTGTGGAGAATTAATTTTCAAGGTGTAATCTATGAAGTATTAACCATTATTATAAAACGTTTAAACGTTTCAATTTTGTTTTGCAAATGATTTTACTTATCTTTTTGCTAGGCAAGGCAACAAATCATGAAATCGAACGTATTTTAATGTGTGGTTGGCAGCAACTAAGTTACCGTTGAGTATTGTTGACAAAAGAAAATTTGAAATAATTTATATTACTATATGCTGAGAGATCATGTGTACTTTACAAGACTTATATTTTCTTGTGTATTAATCAATTTACGGTTATGTTTATGAAATTGGTGTAAATCCCCAACATAGTTATACTCAAGTTATAGACCATTTTGTTACCATTTTATTGGTAAGAAATAACAATTAAATTTCGTTGTCGTTCCAGCTAATATCAAATTGATAACTAACTAGATTTCATATATAGAACCTAACAACTATCGTTTGAAAGAGTTATTTTTAGAAGTCCAACAACTCGTAACCATGTATATATATATATGTCTTTTGAATTTGTAAAACACAAGCCAATCTCGAGCAGAAAAGTTACAACCCAAAGAAGATGATGAAGCTTCAAATTCTATGGCTCGCTTTGGTTTTAATCACCGTTGAAGCTAATGCAGTCAAGCAAGGGATAAACGCAACGATCCCGGCGCTAATAGTTTTTGGAGATTCAATAATGGATACAGGAAATAATAATAATCTTCCCACTCTTCTTAAATGTAACTTCCCTCCATATGGTAAAGATTATCCTGGAGGCTTTGCCACTGGAAGATTTTCTGATGGAAGAGTTCCTTCTGATCTTATTGGTAACCATTTGAATTATTTTTTATACTTTTCAAAATTATAAATTATAGCTATTTATATATTCTGATAAGTATGTTATAAAATATTTCAGCGGAAAAGTTGGGATTGGCTAAGACATTACCAGCATATATGAATCCATATTTGAAGCCTGAGGATCTTCTTAAAGGTGTAACATTTGCATCTGGAGGAACTGGTTATGATCCATTGACAGCTAAAATTATGGTACATTATATCTTATGTTTTTCCTCGTTAGTTTTTTTTTTCTTATGGCTGATTCCTTTTTCTTACATTTATGTTTATTTTTGTAGTCAGTGATATCGGTGTGGGATCAACTCATATATTTCAAAGAATATATATCAAAGATCAAGAGGCATTTCGGAGAAGAAAAAGCCAAAGAAATCTTGGAACATAGTTTCTTTCTTGTGGTGTCTAGTAGCAATGACCTTGCTCACACTTATTTAGCTCAAGCTCATAGATATGATCGTACCTCTTACGCCAATTTCTTGGCTGACTCTGCTGTCCATTTCGTGAAAGTAAGTACTTTATTTGTAGTTATATATATATTATAATACATGAACTAATCAATAATAGAATTACATCCAAAAACTAATTTATTTTATCTATAATTAATATTTAGGAATTACATAAGCTTGGAGCTCGGAAAATTGGAGTGTTTAGTGCAGTCCCCGTTGGTTGTGTTCCTCTTCAAAGAACAGTTTTTGGAGGGTTTTTTACAAGAGGATGTAATCAACCTCTAAACAACATGGCAAAACAATTCAACGCAAGACTTTCTCCAGCACTAGATTCTTTAGATAAAGAGTTGGATGGTGTTATTCTTTACATTAATGTTTATGATACTCTTTTCGACATGATCCAACACCCTAAAAAATACGGTAAGTCCATCTAACAGATTTATCTATATATATATATATATTATAATTCATCTTTTATTATCTATTTTAACTAAATGTAATTCAAATTATCTCATTTCGTTTCAGGTTTTGAGGTAGCTGATAAAGGATGTTGCGGTAAAGGACTGCTCACGATATCTTATATGTGTAACTCATTGAACCCATTTACGTGTTCTAACTCTTCAGCTTATATATTTTGGGATAGCTATCATCCAACTGAAAGAGCTTATCAAGTTATTGTCGACAATTTACTCGAAAAATATTTGAGCAAAGTCTATTGATGTTGAAAAATCAAACAAAATTGTATCTTTTTGTCTCATTGTCTTTTTTTCATCTCAATTCATGTCTCACTATGTATTCGTTCCTTAAAATTTAATTATTCAATGTATCATGCAATTTTTACTCCTCAGATTATTAACTTTAACAGTCATCAATAAGAATTTGCATACTATTACTTAGTAATATTATAATTAGATTCCATATCTAAAAGTTAACCATTTAAATCAACAAAAAAAAAACAATAGTTGAAGTCAACATCTCTTAAGTAATTACATGTAGAAGCTTACGAACCGTTGACCAGAAAGAAAAAAAAAATTACAAACCAGTCTCATTGAGTTTTGTCTGTTATACTATTTGCTTTGAGCCAAATCAAAGACATGCTCGTTATTTTGTATTTATTTACTTTCTAATTCATGAACTGAAAATTTTCATTTAATAAAATGTTCATATTTTTGCATTTGTCAAAAACAGATTACAAGACCGAATTAATTGATGATCGACAAATTTTTTTTGTCAAAAAACGGTAAAGAGATTCTTACCAAGTCCATGGTAGCAGCCTTTTGTCGTAGGAAATTTCATTCGGATTTCCTACGAAATATATATTTCGTAACAAATACGTAGGAATTTTTGGTAGGAAATTTGGTAAGAAAATCCTATGTTTTCTTGTAATTCTATATATCTAATATTGTTTCCAACTACCCAAAACATTAACCACAAAAACTACTAGTGCATTAGTAAAATTTTGGTGGAATTCGAACAGCGAACAAAATATTAATACTGGCTGGCCTAGAACTAGAAGAAAATGTGTTAGAACAAAGGGAAATTGACTTCAGAACCATTGATTAATTCAACTAAGCCCTATAAGCAAAACAACTTTGGACTTCCCATAATTACTCTTTGCAAAATTTTTTTATAAGATTCCAAAAATCCAACCTCATTGATCCAATAAAATATCTTTCTCCTTCTAATGAATAGAGAAGCACCATATCAGCTTGACCCCTAGTTAATTAGACCTCTAGTTAATAAAGTATTAATTAAGAGAGTTGGTTTAGAGTTCTCTTTTTTTTTTGAATGTAATGTTAAATTATATTCAAAAGAAAAATATAACGTTTTTACAACTTGTGCATCGGATTGCTGAAAAAATATAAGCTAAAAGAAAGCTAAAAGGAAGTTGAACGTTTCCAACTACAAACTTCGATTTAACTCCGAGCTTGGATCCAAGATTGGTAGGCTGCCTCATATCGCATATCACCCTTTATGCGAATTGACGATATTTGGTTCCTTACTTGTTTATCAAGCCATAGTATGAGTCTCTCCACCGGCTGCGGAACTTCGCCATGTCTCCGTTGATTCCTTTCTCTCCAAATCGTGTAAACTGCCGCTTGAAAAACATATTTGATGAGGAAACCCTCCACTCGATCTAGGTGCTGATCCGAGATGTATTCTAGGAGAAGAGACCAATCTGTGGTGAATCTAGCTTTAAGTAGCCCTTTTGCAAGAGCTGCCCAAACCCGAGATCCATACGGACAAGAGAAAAAGAGGTGTTCTCTAGTTTCCAAATGATTCTGACAAAGAGCACAAGTACCTGAAACCCCTCTATTCCAGGTAACCATACGTGCGCCTGTCGATAATCTATTGTGGGCTGCCAACCACACGCAGAAAGAGTATTTAGGAGTAGCATGAGCAAACCAAACTCCTCGGTGCCAAGAGACTGTGTTCGCAGTAGTTCGAATATGATTCCAAGTATCTTTAGTTGAAAACGTTGGTCGAAACAAATCATTTTTTCCCCGCCAAAGAGCTTTGTCAGCCATGTCATTTCGCTTTTGGCGCTGCAGTTGCAGTACCTCTTCAATGGAGTTAAAGTGGTCTGCTCTGTGTCTCCTCCGTCGCCGGTTTGTCCAGGCAGCCGCCAATGAACTCGTCTTGCTAATCCCCATATCAATACAACCCCGAGCACCAACTGTGTCAGCCAATACACCCAAAGAAGACCAGTGATCATACCAAAACGATGTAGTCTCTCCATTACCGACTTCTACCTTGCAAAACTGTTTCGCCATGTCTCTGTATTTAATCAATTTCTTCCATAACCAAGAACCCGTTGTGCCTCTATTGTTGATAGACCAGATAGAAGCTTGCTTGAGAAGATATGTTTGGACCCATTTAACCCATAGAGAGTTCCCGTGAGAGACAATGCGCCAAATAAGCTTTAGACAACAAACATTATTCGCCTCTTTAAGTGACCGCAGCCCTAACCCGCCTTCTTGTTTAGGTTTACAAACGTTTTCCCAAGAGATCTTTGCCTTATGTGAATTTAGATCGGTTCCCGACCAAAGGAAAGCTGAACAGAGTTGATCAACTTCTCGAATGCATTCACTTGGGAGTCGATATGCAGCTAACCAAAAATTGCATATACTCCAGAGAATTGAGGAAATGAGATTAAGACGACCTGCAAAAGAGAGAAAACGTGTAGTCCACGACTCAATCCTTTTCCTAAGCTGCTCAATCAGGGGTCGATAATCTGTTGTTGAAAGGCGTTTTGTGACCAGCGGTAACCCAAGGTAGCGGACTGGAAGATGACCAATTTCGAAAGGAAAAGCAGCAGCAAACTGACCCATTGCATCCGATTTACCAGCCAAATAAAGCGTTGATTTCTCCATGCTTATTTTTAAACCCGAGCATTTTGCAAACTCATCAAATACCCGGGTGATACCTTCAACCGATCTTACTCTCCCATCTGACAAAACCATTAAATCATCAGCAAAACTCAAATGAGTTAACCCGAGCATTTTACAACGTGGATGGTAGCCAAACTTTTTCTCTCCCGCGGCTTTATCAAGAAGTTTCGAAAGCACATCCATACTTATTACAAATAAATACGGAGATAGTGAGCAGCCTTGTCTTAAACCTCTTGAGCTTCGAAAATATCCTGCTAACTCTCCATTAACTTGAACCGAGAAAGAAGCCGTAGTAACACAAAGCATAATCCAGTGAATAAACATAGGCGGGAAATTTAAAGCCGAGAGAACTTTACTCAAGAAGGACCATTGTACAGAGTCGAAAGCTTTTGATATGTCGATCTTAATGGCGCATCGGGCAGAACCGGTATCCTTGTGGTAGTCTTTGACAAGCTCAGTGGCTAGGAGCACATTTTCGATCAAAAGACGATCTTTGACAAACGCCGATTGATTTGCAGCTATGAACCTAGGGAGAATAGCCTTGAGTCGATTTGCAATGATCTTCGATATCACTTTATAGATCACATTACAGCAAGAGATAGGTCGAAAATCCTTCATCGCCTTTACACCTTTCTTTTTAGGAAGGAGAGCGAGAATTGTAGAATTTATTCCTTTTGGCAGAAAACCCTTTGCAAAAAAAGATTGGACTGCCAAACTAAATTCTTTTCCTATCAACGTCCAAGAAGACTTGTAGAATTCCGACGTGTACCCGTCGGGACCAGGAGATTTATCATTAGGCATAGCGAACAAGACCTTTTTGATTTCCTCCCCCGAGACTACACGAGTTAGATGTTGCTGGTCTAACTCAGAACAGCGAAACGGCAACAGTAACTGAAGCTTCTCCACCGTAGTACCTTCAAAATCACTTGGAATATGTTGCAAGAATTCTCGGAAATGTCTCTCAGCCTCTGCTTTGATGTCTTCCGCCTGCGTTAATACTCTCCCATCTTGACCCACCACTTCCTTTATATTATTTGTTGCCTCTCGAATTGCAACCGCTCTATGGAACATTTTGTTGTTCTTGTCTCCAACATCCAACCAATGTAGTTTCGACTTTTGTTTCAAATACTTCTCCTCTAGTCCAGCAACTAGATCCCACCTATGATAAGCTTCATTTTCTTCGGCCATCGCACTGGTACTTGGATTCAATGCATTAGCTTGTTGCTTTTGACAGAGAATATCATATGCCTCCTTTGATTTCTTAACCAAGTTTCCTACACGATCTTTTGCAAGCATCCGCAGTTTCGGTTTTAAACCTTTCAATTTTTTAGCAAACCGGAATAGTGTAGATGTAGACAAGAATAGCTCCTCCGTATCCTTCCAGTGATCCTCAACCAGAGGTAGGAACTCCATCATCTCCGTTAAAACGTTTACAAACTTAAATGGTTTCCGGCGAGGAATGGGACTACTTCCTCCACTGATTTGCATTATCCGACATCGTAAGTGATCCGAACAACCTCCTGCCTCAAATACACTATACGCTTGTGGGAATGCTTTTAGCCAACCATCATTTACCAATGCTCTGTCCAATTTCTTCAAAATTAAGTCGTTATCCCTTTTATTACACCAAGTGTAGATAGGACCGTGAGAAGCCATATCAGATATAGAACAATAATTCACCAAACTCTGAAAATCCCTCATCCCCAAAGTAACCTGCGGATTATTGTCAACTCTCGAATGCTCAGCCATATCTAGAGTGACGTTGAAATCTCCAATAATAAGCCACGGCTTATTCTTAAAAATCGGTGAGTCATAGTGATCTTGTAACTCCTGCCAGAGCACTTTCCTTTCATCCACAAAATTTGAGGCATACACAAAAGAGCAAAAAAACTCCTCAACTTGATCTTCCAATTTGACAGAACAAGTGATTATTTGATCACTCTTATAGAATGGGCTCAATCTCACATTATGCTGCCACAAAACCCAAATACGACCCCTTGCATTGTGCTCATAATTTGTTAGAATAGACCAATTTTGAAACAGCTTGTTCCCCAACCTCGGAGCCTTCCCTTCCCGAACTCTCGTCTCAAGCAAACATCCAAACTGAAAATTATTTTCCTCCACCCACTTTTTAATGACGGAATGTTTAGAAGATTTATTTAAACCGCGCACATTCCAAAAGAACCCAGACATTAATTCAATTTTGGGGGATTCTTCTTACTCAAATCTCTAGAGGGGTCTCTAGTTGATGGAGCTTGAAGGTGAGATAGAGCTTTGTGTGCCGTTTTTGAATGTCTTGGTAGAGATGGTCGCAGCGTCGTCTCCTTCTGGTTTCGACCCTTAGCGACTGCCTCTTGAGTAGTAACAGGTAATTGAGTCTCAACTTGATCAGGAGCATTAGCAGTGCTTTCACCTTGCGGATCCCCTGTTTGCTTCTCCTCTGTTTCATCTTCTTTTTCCTCTAAAACAGAGTATGCATTTGATAATATAGAGACTTCACCATATTGTAGAGTTTTCTGCCCTTTACCCGGACTACTTCGTCCTGATTTAGGAGTAATCCAACCTTCCACCTCGTCCTCTATCGTCACTTTTTCAACATTCTCCGACGTCTCCGCATGTGTCTGATTCTCTGAAACGGGGACTGCAACATTCGGCGACTGCGTGCTTTTTGTACCAGTTTCCTCGGCAATCTTGGGAGGAGAGTCTGAACTTTGTGTATCCTTCTCTTCTACCACTTGGACAGACAAACAAGTAGCACGTAGATGCCCCCATTTCTTGCAACAGGAACAGCGTGGAGGCAGCCATGGGTATGAATACTTTATGGTTGACTCCAATTCACCTTCCTCCTCACCCGTGAAGATGTATTCTGATGGGAGTTCTTTAGTCAAATCTGCTTTCACCAAAAATTGAGCCTCATCAAAACTTGTGCAAGCCTCTGTTTTAGGATGTAGCCTAATGGGCTTCCCCACTGCACTAGCCAAGAACTCCAATCCTTTATCTGTAAACAAGGTTGGTGGAACATTCTCTAAGGTAACCCAAAGAGGAATAGATTTCATAGCTGGTTGAGTCTCTTCCGCGAACGGCGTCCATTTCGAAACAATCATAGGGATATCCATAATATTCCACATGCCTCTGTTAAGAATTCTGTGCCGCATTCCTTCATTACGAATACGGAACTTGACTGTTGAATCATTCACCGCATAGACATCAATTAAAGAGGTTCGGTCACCAAGTCGCCAGATCTTGTTCACTATCATGTGAATCTTCCCGACGTGTGGTGCCTTTTCATTCAAAAACTTCCCGATCAGAAAGTCTTCCCAAATAGGTTTTGCACCAACAAACACCTCCTTTGGTACGACTACTCGCTTACATCCATCAACCTCTGAAACCACAACCTTTTGCTGAGTAAAAGAACGCTTCTGCACAACTTGGAGAAACGACCTCTTGCTATTCTGATTTGAGGAAGACACTTCCTGCAACTTTTCTGATCCACTTTCCCTTAAACCCTGCTTCGAAACCACTCCTTCCTCCGCCCTTTTCAACACTGGAAACTCTGAAACATGACTCTCTGCAATCACCGGAGACGCCTCTCCATTCTCCGGCATCACTAACCCCTCACGACGGCTTGGAGAAGCCGCCGGCGGCATCAAGCTTGGTGGAAACGCAATAAACCCTAGTCGCCCTTTTTTTCACCTTGCCACGTCAGCAGAGCAAAAAAAAAAAAAAAAAAAAAATAATAAAAAAAAAAAAAAATAAAAAAAAAATAATGATCCCATATAGTGTCGATGATTGGTTTAGAGTTCTCTGTTCTCCTTTATTCTTCGGACATTCTGTTTATTCGAAGTCTACCTTTGACTAGGGTATTTAGTATCAGACTATTTTGAATTAATTGTTAATATTACTATTATGAGTAAATTATTAATATTAAATTTAAATAATTTTGAAAAAAAGTTGTTACAATTATGTCGTAATGCCGTGGTAAAATAGCGCCAAACTTACTACACAACATTGTGAGACTCATCATCGTCACAAATATTTGTGACACATTAATTGTGACGGATACTGGTGTCCTTATTCCATCGCAGTTTTTGCGATGATCTTGCAAGGTTTGCGGCTAGTAATGATTGGGAAAAACGGTCTATTTCCCCACGAGAAGTATGACATCATACCAGATAGAGCCCAAAACTTTAACCTCGGTCTACATGTCCATAAAATCAAAGTTCTATTCCTATTTCCCCTCCAATTGAAAGTTCCATAGCTTAATGTCCCCGAATCAAAAGTTCGAGAGCTAAAACCCCACGGAGCTGGGTTTAATTGGTTTACGAACTAAAACCGATAGAAAACCACACAAACTCAATATAACCGAAATTAAAACCCCGACCCAATTCTAAAACCCGACCCAATCCAAAACCCGACCATAAGTCACCCAATTTCTTCTTCTTCTTCACCCAACCACTTTAATGGCTTCACCAACTGTGTATAAATCCAACCAAACAATTCTTAAAAGCCTAATTTTTGGGTCACATTATCGCAGATGAGCTAATTGCGAACGCTAGCATCAACGATGAGCTTTTTAGGGTCACATCGGCACACCTAGGAAAGGTATCCTTGCGGCAGATGAATCAACTTGTATTATTGGGAAATGTCTCGCTAGCAGCAACGTTGAGAACGTTGAATCGAACAGACGTGCTCTTCGTGAGCTTCTCTTCACTACTCCTAGAGCTCTTCCTTACCTAAGTGGTGTTATCCTCTTTGAAGAAACTCTCTACCAGAAGAGCTCTAATGGTAATTAACAATTTAACATCATTATATGTTTGAGTCTGTGTATCATCGTTCCTTAATTGGGGTTGATTTTGTTTGTGATGCAGGTACGTCTTTTGTGATATGTTGAAGAGTGCAGGAGTCTTGCCTAGTATTAAGGTTGATAAGGGTACCGTTGAGCTTGCTGGAACCAATGGTGAGACGACCACTCAAGGTCTTTAAGCTTCGTCGTCGTTGATAAACAACAAAGATTCATTTTCCGATCTCCGATTTGCTCCGAAGTGTGAGAAAAATGCCGTTTGCAGAGAGAGAGAAGGATGGGAGGATAGCGATTCCAAGTTCTGCGGCTTGGAAACTGATTTCTCCGACGATGTTTCTTCTCCTCTCTCTTGGTTAAAGACGATTGCAATCGAATCTCAAAGCTACGATTGCTCATTTTGATTGGGTTGGGTTTGGTTGTAATTGAACGGGTCTGGATCATGGTTATTTGATGTGTAATCAGGTTTATTTTGGTTTTAGGTGGTTTAATTTTGTTTTGTAAACAGTGAACCGACTAAAACCAAGGTATGTGGGGATATAGGTTTCAAACTATTATTTCGGGGATATATAGGTTTTGAACTTTCGATTCATGGAGATATAGAATGAGAAGTGTTGTTTTGGGGATATCTATCACGAGGTTAAAGTTTGGGCTCTATCTGGTATGATGTCATACATCTTGTGGGGAAATACACCGTTTTTCCTAATGATTGTGATGGATTGAATTCGGTCGCAGTTACATCCAATTTTTCTTCCATCGCAAATGTCTTGTTTTTGTTGTGAGATCCCAATCAATTTCTTGGCCAGAGGCCCTAACAGACTTGAAGTTACGATATTGTTATTTCAAATTACTCAGATAGAAAAAAAAAAAAAAAATTATTACTCAGATAATTCTACAAAGTGTCTAAGAGCCTTGAAGATGGCAATTGCATCCACCTCGAATAGCTTGAGCTATCTAACTGCCGAATGTTTGGAATATTGAGATTCATTAGGATTTTGAGAATTAATGTTTCTTTCTTACGTTCGTATCTTGGTTTTCCTCTGTTTGGATTGGCCATGATTTTGATGGAGAAATAAACATTAGGATTTTGAGAATTAATGTTAATATGTATATAGGGTTTAATAATAATTTTTATTTATTTGTTGTTTATGTGACTTTTTTTTGGCCATTCGCTATTGTCCATAACCGCAAACGCTTCAGGAAGAAGATTTTGAAACTCAATATTTTGTGTGGTCCGAAGCGGTTAAAGTGATTTCCATGATTAGTTTTAAACGCTAGCAATCGCAACCGCCCGCAAACGTAGCATTTGATTGTGGTAGCGAGAGAACCAATCAAGCTCTATCATTTGCAAAAACTCTTAAAATGATCGTTATAGAGATTGTTGGTCGTATATGCAATTTCTCTCTTTGTCAAGTTTTAATTTTTTCACTTAATGTGAAATCGCTCCATGTTTAGGTCACAGAAATACGGAATGCAATGAGAAAGCTATAGGTCCTGCTAACTAGGGAGATTTTTGGGTAGTACGCCCTCGATATTGATATAAGATTGGGAGCTGACTTACCAACAGATGAACTGGTTGATGTACTTCTTGATAGACTCGTTGATAGATCAGTTGATGGACTTGCTGAAGTACTTTTCGTACCACATTATTTGGTGCCAAATAAGAAAGTTACATTTTCCTTATTAATGATCCGTCTAAGGGAATCAAGAAGACATTCCAAACCGTCCATGAGGTTCCCCATCCGAGTTATGCTACACCTCACCTCACCTAAGACCCGTTGACTCACTTCTTTCTCCTTTTGGCCTTGCATGACATCACACCTCAACGGCTCTTACCTTTTCTACAAGTCTGCGTGTTTAAGAGCCTCCAAAGTGATCCTAAAGCGTCCAAGAAACCGCACATTTCTTTCCAAGTTGTCTAGATACAAATTAATGCTCCACTTGCCTTATTTGGCCGATTGCACAATCAAGCTTCCAACGGCTCTATTCATTTATTGTTTGCGATTTTTTTCCTTTGTTTTGGCATATATATGTTCTATTAGAGCCTCTATATAAGCTCTTTTTCGATTTCATTTGTATTCACCAATCATTTTAGAAATTATCTCAATAAACGTTAAGTTTGTTTACAAAGAATTGTTTCGGTTTGAGCTTCTGTTTCAGGTCATAACTGTTCAGCAGGATCCGATCCACTCTTTAGGAGACATTGTGGGTTTTCAGAATTGTCCCTTTCAGTGTTGAAATTTTGTAGTCTGAAACTGTGCCCATTTTTGGGTTGTGTTTTAATAAAATGAAGGTTTAAAAAAAAAAAAAAAAAAAAAAAAAAAGAATTGTTTCGGTGTTTTGTCATTTTAAGTTGAGTGTGGATTCACTTATCTTGTGTGATTTGAGGGCTGAATAACATGTGGATTCAAGTTGTTTAATTTGTGTGTTGATTATGGATTCATTCAACAAACCCTCCATCTCCCATCTTTATCATCGCTCATCGACCATCAAAGCTTCGAACCTTTGCTTCCGTTGATAAAATCATTGGCGGGATTCCCGTGTTTGCATCAGATATGCAGGATAAACAGTTCAAGACGATTTCACAAGGAAGTGACAAAAACGATGGATTTCTTCTGCTTCTTCCAAGATGATGGATTCATAGCGGCATACACGCTTCGTAAAAGGCTAAAACAAGATTATGTGGTTTTTCTTTTTCAAAACGAGTGTTCAAGTTGTTTTCTGTTTTTTAATCTGAGAAATCGTACATATTAGGTTTACTAAAGAGTAAAACCGGGATTGGAATAGAACCAGAGGATTGTGGGCATATTGGTTCTCCCGCAATTACCCACAAACACAGAGTTGCTAGCGTTTGATAACAATTACAACATCAACATTTTGCGATGACATTATTTCAAAGCATCATCTTCGTACGACATTATAACAAAGGCCTTTGGCCGTTTTCAATTTCAGTTTCTTATATCCAAGTTAGGCGTTTGGGATCTTCACACTCCAAGGAGAGTATTAGGGATACGAGTTGTGTATATTTGGGCCATATGTGTTGGGCTTATTACGTTTTAATTGCGTCCTAGTCGGTTTATGTAAGACTCTAGAAAAACTTAGAACTAGCGTGTATATAAAGAATTGTCTAGTCGATCAATAAAACCAAGTCAGTTCGATATCTAATTCTACAGGATCGATTGTGTTTTTGTTCATTCCTTTTCAATGAACAATGGACACTTAGAGAGCTAGTCACCTAATAATGAATTTGTACGATCTTAAGAAGCCGTTGGGAGATGGTGAAATTTGTAATGCCAGCCTAAAACTCAATCTAAAACTTGTTATATTCTAGCTGGATGTATTTCTCGTTAAAGATGACAATAGTTTAATTTAAATATAAAAGCAATAGTACACTAAAGGATAAAGGAAAGGAAAATAAAAAAGCCATTGGCAATATTGATCATGGAAACAAAAACATGAATAGATTTTATCAACTCTCAAATCCTCGACCACAAAAGGAAACATATGAGCTGGGAACCGTAAGTACAATACTAGCCCACTCAATATTTCCCCAAACTTCATCATTACCATTGCGTCTTTCAAGTGTAATCACGGCACACCAAATATCCTCAAATAGAAATGAACCATACTCGTGCCATAAGATTAGAAGTTTCCCATTGTAGTTAGCTATGTCAATCATACGGTAACCACAATTTTCATTAAACGTAGCTAAACCTCTGACCATTCTCCATTGGTTACTATTTGTATCATACCAGAAGCAGCTCTCTTGACCATAATGATACCATACATCATCTATTATACAGTGTACAAATGATCTTCTTGTAACATCCATTTACCTTCTTTTGGATCATAAACAGAATCCCACTCATTGCTTAGAACGTAAATTTTTCCTTCTATCATACCTATTTTTCTAATTGAAGAAAACCGGTGCTCAGCCCCAGGGTCATGTAAAGATTCCCAAGTTTGAGTCTTTGGGTCGAAAACCTCACCCCAATTGACGGATTCGTCATCCCCGGCACCTCCCATTACATATATTTTGCCATCGAGGACGCCTGCAATAGCTTTCTCTCGAGCTACACGCATGTTGGGGGCTTTACACCATAACCCAGTCTCTTTGTTCAGGAACTCCATGATGGAGGACGGAGAACTTGATAGGCTGATTCCATACATTTCTGAACCAGGCCAACGGATGCGAGATGGTACATAAGAATAACAAGAAGGTATTTTTACCAACCGAATATTTTTGTTTGACGTCGTCTTCTTCTCTTCGAGTTGGTTGGTTAGGATTTGTCCAGGTTTAATCCAGAGGGTGTACCAAGAGGGAATATGATTCTTGGTAAGCTGTAAACGGATTTGAAATACGGTTTCATGTGTGTCAAGATGAATTCGTGCATCGATGAGCTCTTTTGAGACGATGAGAGAACGAAATTTCTTGCAGACTAGGACGAGTTTCGGGTAGTATGATCTCGATATGCGGGCTAAACAGGTCAAGATGATATCATCAGGAAGTGACAAAAACAATGGAGACGTCTCCTTCTTTGTCTGCGATGGATTCATAGCGGCAGAGAACGTAAGGCTAAAACACACGATTAGGGTATTTTTCTGTTTCATTTAAAGAAATCGTACAGGTTTGGTTTACTAAATACTAAACCGGGATTGGAATTAAACAGAGGATTGGAGTCGGTTATCTTAGTGAGGCCGGTTTGATTTAAGTGAAAGACTCTATGTACGAAGGAGGGTTCACACTTTCAGTTTGTATGTATGTAATGGCTAAGTCCTAAGTTTAATTTTTCCTCTGTAAAGGCAACACTGCTTTTTGATTAGATATTAACCATAACCAAAACTAATTAAATTAATTAAGTAAGATTAGAATACAGGTAAATGCAGAAAATAAATATTTCTAAAAATTATTATGGAAGGCTATTTGTGTTTTATGTTGTCTTATCAAATTAATAAACTTCCTGAAGTATGCATCTTTGATAATTAGTTGCTAAATTGTGTCTCAATCACAGAGTCGTATTGCATATTTAGTCATTGAATTAAAAATTTCCTTTTTTGTTTATTAAGAGTAATATCTACTTAGCGACTATTTTGTGACACCCATATTTATTTCGAAGAAAAAAAACAAAAAAAAACAAATTATTTAATTTTATACAGTAAAACCTTTATAAAATAATAATGTTGGGACCATGATTTTTTATTAATTTATAGTGATATTAATTTATTTATAATGTAAATTAATATTTATTAATTTATAGAATTTTTGTTTTAATTGTTAAACCATTTAAAAAATTAAGAGGGTGTTTGAGAGAGTCACAGTTATTTTACTTATGTATTTCCAACCTTATTTATTGTTAATTTGCTAAAAAAACATTACTTCACTTATCAATACAATAAAAACAGCAGAAGTCTCTCCAGTGCTGACACCTCAGCTTTTTGGAGTGTTCTGGAGGTGACACCTCAGTTAAAATCGATACCCAATCAGAACATTTCAAATAATACAGCTCATGTTTTTCTTCCAATAACATCATTCTATTTTTCCACGTCACTCTTTCACTCTTTTTTATCAAATTTCAAAATAAATATTGGCCTAGGCCCAACCAAAGTAATAGCCCACACAAGACAAAAACTTGTAAAAACCCTTGGATTTTAAATTTTAAAAACGTAGTTGCTAAGCCTCCGAGAAATAACTCCAGCGACGGCGACCAATCTTTCCACCGTGGAATCGTGGTTGCCTCGCCCTACAGTCTCTTCGAAATGTGAAACCTCCGGTGCTTCTGCCTCCGCTCCTGGCTAATCGTGCCTGCCGAGTTTCCGTGTTGTTGGAGGCTCAGCTTCCGATGAGGCTGCCGCCATGGAGAAGGAGTACGTTAGTAAGAAGCATAGAACTATAAGTTTCGCATCCATTTTAGGGTTTCTAATCTATTTGATCGCCGACGTTTTCTTTTGTTTTAACGTTCTGTTCTTCTTTTCTTCTCTTTGATTGACCTTTGTGTTGACGAATTTTTCATTTTCGTGATCTAATCTCCTCACACACTTCTTAGGAATTTCTCAAACCCGAGAGTACACCGGAATAGAGAGAACAGGGGTTGAAGAAGTGGTATTTTTGCAATCCCTCTTGTTCGTATCGTTATTGCTTATGTCTATATCAAGATCCAGAGAGTATAGTATGAGTCTTGGTTTTTTTTTGTTGCAGGATTACACTTGAGAGTTAAGAGATATTCTTTTGTGGTTTGAGGGCTTGATTCCGGCCGGAACTTTTCGCGATGCACAGTCCTCAATCTACGGTATGTGCATGTCTCTTTGATTTTACTCCATGTAATAAGTGTTGTTGTAGTTGATATTAATCCACTTGTATGGATCTTATCTGCAAAGAGAATTTGTCAGCTGATAGTCCAGTGTTAGCCAATAAACCTGAGGTAAGAGAGGGAGTTAGGAGAACCGCAAGTGGATCTTCTCATGTTAACTCTGATGAAGAAGATGCAGAGACAGAAGCTGACCAATCTGAAATGACTAATGATCCCAATGATCTAAAACGTTTAGAAGGTATGTTAGATACCAATAAAAAGTTAGATGTAAGAAACTGAGATAGAGAATCACCATTTCTTTTAATAATTTTTGTGATGTGAATTCAGGATGAATTCAAACAGAGAATCAGCAAAGCGGTCGAGGAGAAGGAAGCAAGAGTACTTGGTAGATCTTGAGACTCAGGTACGGTTAACAAATAGCTTGTTCAATGATTTGATTTCGAGAGTAATGTTTTGATGGTGACCTTGTGTTTTCTTCAAGCTTGATTCTTTGAAAGGCGATAACTCAACACTGTACAAGCAGCTCATAGACGCAACACAACAGTTCCGTAGCGCTGGAAAATAACAGAGTTCTCAAATCAGATATTGAAACTCTGAGAGTTAAGGTATCATCTATCACTTGCTCTTTGTTTTCGTATGGTCTATAAGTTTGACATAAGATGCATACGGTCGGATAGTTAGTTTGACATTAATCTGTAGCTTTAGATCATCCGTAAAGATTGGTGCTTACAAGTTACAAGTTGTGTTTTTGCCTAATGAATAGAGAGACATAGACTTCCCATTGACTTCTCTTCAAAGAAAAGTCTGCAAGTTAACTTGATTGGATCTATATCAGTTACTTTGAATGTACATGCATGTTAAAACGATGCTAAAAGAGAGGCTTAGAGTAAAAAAAAGAAAGACAAAAAGCACCTTGCTATTGATTACAAGTAAATGATTTTTACTATATGGAAGTGTCAAATTGAGGCTTACTGAATCTAGAGCTATTATCTTTGCAGTACAGTTGGTTCAAGCCTTATACTATTAGGAACTGGCAGGATAATCTTTAGGTTTCTAGCAAGATTGGCAATGTGCTGCACCCAAATTCCACACAAAGGGAACCAACTTATTAACAAACTTCCGACAGGTCCAAGTCACGAACCATCACCAAAACCGCAGCTCTCGACATCGGTGAAATCAACAAACTTCTGACAAATCAATCGTCGATCTCAGTGGATTAGATGTGCAACCTTGAATCAGGAAATACCTTTGTAATGAAGAGGCTCTGAATAACGGATTACAAGTCCTCACCCGCAAACAAACAAAGTTGTGAAAGGAATTGATATGGTCTTCTTACCATCGCAGCCACCGATGTGAATTCCTCCTCCTATAAACACATTAGGCACGGTGTGTTGTCCTGTCCATTCTGCGAGAGCTGATTGAATTTGGCTACCATCACCTGTATTAAACAACAACAATGAATTATTCAAAAATAGCAGAACAATGCTTGAGTCTACAACTCTAAATAAATGCAAAAACTCGTAGTTCACTGTTTGTAAGACTTCATAAGGGTAAATGATCATGGGGAAAATTCCCAAAAAAAACCTCATATATTTTTTATTTAGACGTTTAATACCCAATTGTTTTCGGTTGGAAGAAAAATACACATACTAATAAAACTGTGCGATTTAATACCCAAACAATTAAATGTTGTTATTTTCATACTCACGAACTCACAACAAAAAAAATATTCCAATTTTACCCTTACCAACTCAATTAATTATTTACTTTTAAATAACGTGGTATTATTTTTTTATAGAAATAAAAAATTAATTTTGTTAATGTTTTATTTTATGTTGCCTAAAAATAAATTTTAAATTTATATAATTATTTTATTTTAAAATTAAACATAAAAATTAGCAGAAAATCAAAAATATTAAAAATAGTCATTTGTACAATCTTATTCCGTCTTTGCAATGTCAAAGATACGTTTCCTCTTCGATTCTAATTTTTTCGATTAATATCTACGAGAATTACCGGTAAACAATCTCCATCGTCCTCTTTTGCAACCATCAAATTCGATAACCGTTCACAGTCTCCTTTTAATCCTATCCAAAATCTACATCGCCAATAAAACTAATTTGATTTGATTCGTCGTGATGCATATGATATCAACGAGCATTAATATGAACTTTTTCTTCGTCGTGAGAAACTCTCTATTCGAATATAAATCTTTCAAGAATGAAACTATTTTCGACAAAATCTCAATCCGAATCTCATCGTCTCTCTCAAGATTTATCAATTCATAAAAATGGCTATTTTTTTTTACTTTTTCTAAATTTTTTGCTAATTAATGTTATTTTTAATTTTTAAAAATTAAATATTTGTAAAATAAACTGCAAATTATTTTGAAATTTTTTTTGAATTTTTTTTGGGATAACAAAGAAATAAAATATTAATAAAATTAATTTTTATTTAAATAAAAAACTGTTGTCACTTAATCTAAAAGTTAATAATTAATTGAGATAGTAAGGGTAAAATTGGAATTTTATTTTTGTTGTGAGATCTTGAGTATGAAAATAACAACATTTAATTGTTTGGATATTAAATCGCACAGTTTTATTAATATGTGTATTTTTCTTCCAACCGAAAACAATTGGGTATTAAACGTCCAAATAAAAAATAATTGAGGTTTTTTTTGGAAATTTTCCCAATGATCATGTTTGCTGAAACTTCTTTGACTCATGAAAGATATATAACCAAATAATCAATAAGGTCCCGGAGAAAACAAAGAAATTTTGTACAATGCGTTCATGAACAAAACCTATACTTCGAAAAAAAAAAAAAACTAAACTCGAATTTCCATAGAAACCAAACTAGAAGAAGGACTGAAGGAGTGTTTTAATATATATACGTAAGCTCTACAAGAAATTCTATTAATCAAGAAAAACCCATCTCGAATCAAATGAGCCAATAAAGTAAACAAATCAAGAGCTCGAGACACACCTGCATCGAATTGGTATTTGATTGCGACTTCTCCGGACTCCGGAGCGCCGTGCGCCGATCACTGACTTTCCTACCTCCAACATCAAATCGATCCGAGAAAGAAACTAACAATTACAAACTCTCTTGGAAACGTCGCGTAACCGTACGGTTCTTAGTTGGAAGCCAAACGAAGCCAACGTGATACTGGTTATGAATCGGAATCATTGTCGGCTTTCACTTGTTTCCAAACTAAGCAGACGAAGAGGACGTCTCTCTCCACGTGTTATTTTTTTTAGTTTCCTCTTGGTCCAATTTGGTTTAGTTACCAAAAGCCCAATTAGTTTATTTCTTCGAAATGTTTAATTGTTTTTCCTCCCATTTATGCTTAATCACTCACTCATTTTGCAAATTAACATATTTTGTTGAACAAAATCACGTCACTAAAAGATAGTTTTTGTTTATCTATTGTTTTTGCTTTAATTGTGATTATATTCAACTTCTATATCGGACGTTTTTAAAACGTACCTAATTTCATTATTTTAAATTAAAACCGCTTTTTCGTTTCCAAATGTTTCATTTTCACATCCGCTTTCAATTTCATGCAACATAAATACAAGTAATCAATTATCATATATTTTATGACTTTAAAATTGATCTATATCGGCCAATCCAAAAAACTTCAAACAAAGGACGAGATGAGCAACCGAGAAGTTCCATGAAATGTGGGAATCAATTACAAATTTTAAAATAATCTATCAAAAAAAATTTACCATTGAATAATATACTATAATTTTATTTTTGCAACATCACGTTTCTTATTGTGAAAAAGTGTTCATGTTCTGTGGATAAATTATCAATTTAGCTTGAATAGCCCCAACATCAAAAAAGAAAATTTGTTAACAAGAAGTTTCGGTCGGTTTGGTACGGAACTTCGGTTTTCTCGGATTCGAATAAAATGGTCAGAACTAAAATGATTAAGTAGTTATGTTTCATTCAGTTTTTTTTATAGAAAATTTGGTTCGGTTTGCAAAAAACATATTGTAGCCAAAGTTAAACCATTTTTTAAAAAACATTTAGCTTGTAAATTCAGATTATATTCAATGATTTTAGTACATTTCCCTTAACAAATTTCGGTTTAAACAAATAAATGCGCCAGAGATCTTATAAAGCTATATGAAATTTGAGTAAAAAACATTCACCTCATGCATTGTGTTCCCTTAAAAAGCTAATTGATGCCAAACAACTTCTTCAAAAATGCTAGGCACACATGTATTCGATTTAATAAAGTTTTGAAACAATATGATTTAGTTATATTTAAAAAGATTTATCCAAAAAAATACCCCGCAGCGTAGCGCGGGTTTCGTCCTAGTACATATTAATTGTTTGCAAGTGTTTAAAAATTTAGTAAACAAATACTCCCTCTGTCCCATTTTATTAGATGTTTGAACTAAAAGCACAAATATTAAGAAACAATAAATATATTCTCATTTATGAAAATTCAACCAATAGAAGAAGATACTGCATAATTAAAATAATTAAAAACTATTAAACTAATATAAATCATGCATTGAAAGTAGAGAAAATCTTATATAGTGGAACAAATAAAAAGGCCTAAAACATCTTATATATTGGGACAGAGGGAGTATTATTTAAGATTGATTTATTATAGAATTACCGATTTAACAAAATATTTATGGAATTTAATTTTATCACTTTCCTAGAAATTTTGTTGGACGGTCTCATCTCTTTATTATAACTTTTCTTTATGTATTTTTCACTAATAATTTTTTTTACCTTTATAAAAAATATTTCAAAAGATCGTGTTTTTAATCATAATTTTTCTTTCTTACATTTGTATTCATAAATTGTTTTAATAATCTTTGGAAAATATATACGATATAACATAAAATTAGGTAGAACTTATGTAATACATGAATTCTTTATCACAATAGTTTAATACATAAACACAATCAAAAATTTTTATCAATACAACATTTAGTTGAAAATGAGTTCCTTCGCAATATGGCGGGAGCCCATAACCTCATTTTAATATAAAAGCAAAAATACACTAAAGGATAAAAGAATATAAAAAGTCATTGGCAATATTGGATTTGGATACAAAAACATGACTAGATTTTATCAACTCCCATATCGTCGACCACACAAGAAAACGTATGAGCTGGGAACCGTAAGCACAATACTAGCCCACTCAATGTTTCCCCAAACTTCATCGATACCATTATTGCGTCTTTCAAATGAAATCAGGGCACACCAAATATCCTTGTATTGACAAGAACTTGATTGCACAAAATCGTCCCATAAGATTAAGAGTTTCCCTTTGTATTTAGCTATTTCAATCATACCACTACGATGATTCCTATTCAAAGTAGCTAAACCTCTGACCACTGTCCATTTCTCACGATTTTCATCGTACCAAAAGCAGCTGCATTGATCACAACAATACGATATATTATCTATTGTACATTGCATGCATGAGTTTTCTGCAACATCCCATTTACCTTCTTTTGGATCATAAACAGAATTCCACTCCTCATTGCTTATAACAATAATGTTTCCTTCGCACACCTGTATTTCTCTAATTGAAGAAAAGCGGTTCTCTGTGCCAGGGTCAGGTAAAAGTTCCCATGTTTGAGTCTTTGGATCGAAAACCTCACCCCAATTCACGGATTCATCAGCCCTGCAACCTCCGAGTGCATATATTTTCCCATTGAGGACGCCTACATGAGGTTTCTCTCGAGCTACAGTCATGTTGGGGGCTTTACGCCATAACCCAATCTCTTTATTACGGACCCACATGTTCGAGGACGGAGCACTGGATAGGCTGATTTTGTACATTTCTGAACCAACGGAAACGATGCGTGATGGTACATAAGAGTAACAAGAAGATGTTATTTGAACCAACCGAATATTTTGGGTAGACTTCGTCTTCTCTTCCTCGAGTTGGTTGGTTAGGATTTGACCAGGTTTTATCCAGAGGGTGTACCAAGAGGGTCGAGGATTATCGGTAAACTGTAGAAAGACTTGATATACGGTTTCTTGTGTTTTAAGGTGAAATCGGGCGTCGTTGAGCTCTTTTGATACGATGAGAGTACGAAAGGTCTTGCAGACTAGGGAGAGTTTCGGGTAGTACGATCTTGGTATGCGGGCTAAACAGGTCAAGATGATTTCTTCAGGAAGTGACAAAAACGATGGATTCTCATGCTTGTTCTTCTGTATTGGTGGTGTCATAGCGGCAGAGACGTCTTGTAAAAGTAAAGAGGTTAAGACGATTAGGGTATTTTTTAATTTTTCTCTATTTCATCTAAAGATATTGTACAGGTTTGGTTTACTAAATACTTAACCGGGATTGGAATTGAAGAAAGGATTGGAGTCGGTTATCTTAGTGAGGCTGGTTTTTTTTTTTTTTTATGTGGAATCAAAATTAGAGACTTGGAGTTTACCAGCTTGTTGCGACAAGATGACCATTACTTTTCTTTTAAAGCATGAGATTTAGCTTTTTTTTTTTTGAATGAACGATAAAACTAAACAGTTTACCTAAAAAACCGAGTTAAACCGTATACAAATTTTTAAATTTGGATATTTGTTAAGTTAGACTTCTTCGTTAGAGATCCTCGTCCCTTTTGTTTCTTCGGCTTGAGTTGGGTTAAAAGGAATATCGAACAGGCCTACGTCTATCCAAATGCTAAGCCTTGGTACACTCATCTTACTTTAGGCATTATTTGTCTGAAAAATGAGTGAATCTTACTTTTGATATCATCACATCTTTGCCTCCAAAATGTGCATCCAAAATATTCATCCTCTATTTATTCAATTGAAAAAACTAGCAAAAAATGTCATTAAATCAATAAAAGCAAACAAAAAGTTCAAAAGTAAGAAACTCATAAGTAATGGTCAAAACAAAAAAACATGATTATATTTGATCAGACCACATTTACTACACTACGCATGAAAACGTACGAGGGAACCGTGTACACTTTGTTAGCCCATTCAATGTTTCCCCAAACCTCATCCTTTTGAATTCCACCAGGTCTTTTGAGCTCAATCAATGCACACCAAATATGCTTGTAATTTCGATAATTATTAGGATGCACAGATGTGTGTGTGTCCCATAAAAGTAAGAGTTTCCCACCGTAGTTAGCTATTTCAGTCATACCAGCACCAACACCATACCTGCGTAACATTGCTAAACCTCTGACAACTCTCCATTCTTTACGATTTGTGTCATACCACGAGCAGCTCGTATGTTTATCGCAACGATACCATACATTATCTATCACACACTTCGCTAAGAGTGGTTTTCGGGAACCTTTCCATGTACCCTTTTTTGGATCATAAACAAAGTCTTTCATCTTGGTTGTAACATAAATCTTTCCTTGGTTTGCTTCTATTTTTCTAATTGGAAGAAATCGTAGCTTGGGGGCAGGGTCAGGTAAAGATTCCCAAGTTTGAGTCTTCGGGTCGAAAACCTCACCCCAATTTGTGGATTCATCAGCGGTGCAGCCTCCCATTACATATAATTTCCCATTGAGGGCACATGCAAGGGCTTTCTCTCGAGCTATAGTCATGTTTGAGACTTCACGCCAAACGTAACTATCCTTATTAAGGACCCATATGATGGAAGACGGAGCATCGCATTGGCCGAGTCCGTACCATTCTGAACCAACCGCAACATAGTACATTGGGATATAAGAAACACAAGAAGAAGGTATTTTTACCAACCTAGTATCTCTTGTAGACCTCCTCTTCTTCTCGAGTTGGTTGGTTAGGATTTGACTAGGTTTTATCCAGAGGGTGAACAAGGATGGATGACCACTATCATAAAACTGTAAGAAGACATGAACTAATGTTTCTTGGGTATTAAGGTGAAATCGGGTCGCATTGAGGTCTTGGGATACGATGAGAGAGCGAAAGGTCTTGCATACTAGGGAGAGTTTCGGGTAGTATGATCTCGATATGCGTGCTAAACAGTTGACGATGATTTCATCAGGAAGTGACACAAACGATGGATTATTCAGCTTCTTTTTCTGCGATGGTTCTTCATAGTTTTCATCTGGTTTCGTTATCATATCCTGTTAAAACCAAAAAAAAAAAATTGAAAAGTCATGTGACATTATCGATTCTTTATTTGACATACAAACATGAGAATCAATTCTCTGTATTTGAAAAAAACCAATAGATATAATAATGCTATTGAACCTCTACGGTCATCTATTTGAAGTGTGTGAGTAGATATATGAGTAGATAGTATTTGATTAAAACAGAAACAAAGAAGAATATGAAAAACAGAAAAGATATGTTAATTTCTTGGAGAAGAAGAACAAACTTTTTAGGTCGGAGGAGACAGAACGTCAAGGTCTGCAGCTTGTGTTTGAGAAGATGATGTTGTAAAAATTCTAAAAATTAAAGGGAAACCCTATTTGAATCTTATCAAAAAAAATCTGATAGAACCCAAAGGCCCAAAACCAAACTCTCTATTGGAGTTGAAGGGTTCTAAACTGAAACATTTACATTCCCGATATTTTTTTATTTTTCTATAGTGTCAAAAAAAAAGAAGGAATTTTCTATTTATCCGAAATCCAACCGGTTCAACCATTAGCACCGGGTTAGGGGTTAATAGTAGGTATGTCAATCGGGCTATCCCGGCCGAAACCAGCAAAACCCGCATATATTTGGACCCGGTCCGTAAAAATTTCGAGCCTAGATTTTGAAGCCCGGCCCGGCCCTAACAGGGTTACAGGGCTTTTACGGGCTTTTACGGGCTTTTCTTTCGATAAAAATAAACCCTTCTAATTTGTAATATCGCTTGAAAAAAAAAGAATCTATATATAAAACGAGTCAAACGAAATTTAAATAACTACTAAAACCAATTTAATTTTAAAAAAGTTTAAAATCAAATAAATAATCCAAATAAGTTGTTTAAATCCACACCAAATCTCTTACTAATAAAAGGGATAGTTTGAGGCCTCTCAACCTATCCACATCAGCAAAATCAAAAACATTTTAGAGGAAGCCACCTCAGCCTCATGAAAACCCTTAAAAATCAGCACAAAATCTCTTAATTAAAACCATGCCACATCAGCACATTGCTTCAATTGTAGCGGAAGAGTCTTTTACCTCCGTGATCATTCATCTTCCTCACGTCTTTGTTTCCATTAACTTCCTCCCAATCCCCTTTAAAAGCAGGACTAAATCGGGAGAGAGAAACATGTGCCCGTTTGGTATCCTTCTCAAAGTGTCTACTCTTAAGCTCCATGGTTGCCAACAGCCCATGGCAATACCTACGTCCACTCGCATGGAACTTAAACACAGAGGCGTTATCAGAAATAGCCGGAGATTCCGTTGATTTCTCCTACTCCAGCAATCCCACGAATTCATCTTCATCCCACTAATCGAAAGAGATCGACGAAGGTTTCACGGTCTGAGTTGTTATATCCAGATATGCTTGCCGCCGATGATAATGCCGTTAAGGTCTGCTTCTCTGTCTCTTATGTGTGTTTGCTCGATTTGATTTTGTACTTTGTTTGTATATTTCTGAATGTTTTTGGTGTTTTGATTTCGTGGTATCAAGAGCTTGATGAGAAGATGAGGAGATTGAAAAAGATGGAGGAAGCTGCTGCGCCGAGATGCAAGCGAAAGTCGCAAAAGAAATGGGAGCTATTGAAGGTTTGTGGCTCTTTCGTTTATTTGCTTCTGTAATTTCGAGAAATTGAATACGTTTGCTCAAGATCTCTGTTTCGATATACTGGCACTCTATTGATTGTCTATATTACGTACATGAAATTTAAGCTTTGTTGCTTTTATGCTGCTGCAGAGAGTCTCCTTGACCGCTTAGAGGTACTCTTTATTGATGTCTAATCTCATTAAGAGAGATTTGATAGCTCTTACCATGTTTAGTGGTCTGTTTTTTTATTAAATTCTAACGAATGTAAGAAGACTTTAGCCACTGCATTTATTTTTGAGTCTTAAGCAATTACTACGTGGTTTTGGTTATTTATCTTTCTCTTGACTGTCCTAGGTTTGATTTATTTTCATCATCTTTTCGAATAATAATGTTGATCGTCATTTTGGCTTTGTTGCATAGGTGGGATGGAAACGGTTATCATGATGGTGTTGAATTCTTGACTCTTCACTTTGTTTCAGGTCGGACCCTCTTGATCTTCTCCATCAACCTTCAGGTCTGTTCCCTCTCTTCTCTCAAGTTCTCTGTTTTCATTTTCTTCTTTACTCTCTGTTTTGTTTCTTTTGATTTAGAGTGAAAGCAAGAGAATGTTTTAAAAAAGAGAGATAACTATTGAAAACCACAGATTCTTCTTGGCATAATTATATTTTAACTACTCACCATATTTTTCTTTTGTGAGCTTCTAATTTGCCGTCACTCTGTTTCTCTTTGATCATTTCCTTGATCAAATTCTCTCCTTTGTAGGCAACTAATTGCAGAAACTTGGGCATAGTCTCTGTCTTTTTGCTCGCTCTTGGTGATTTCAACTTATCACACAAAGGTTAGGTCTCTTGCTTCTTCCTTGCTTAGATCAGTCCTTCCTTCTTTTTTCCCACAATTTTTCTTTTTGCCAATTGTTTCAGATCATTGATTGTGTGGCCTCTGTTGTTTGCTTCTTGCCCTTGATCATTGATCCAACTTTCTCTTCTTGTGCAGGATTTAATAAAGGTTCATACTTCAACAGATAGATACCTCATATGACACGATTAAATCATGTAGAGATGCTCAAGAAGATTCACTCTATAACTCCATCGCAACATCATATTTGTTTTTAGCTCATAGGACTCAGCCTCTGGGATGGATATGTTCAAGAGGATACTCACAGTAGCCATCCATCAATGTAGAAGTTGATAGAATTTGTTTTCAAATTGATTTTAGACATTTTCTTTTGTCAAATAATTTGGTTTAATAAATATTATTTGGATTATTATATAATGACTATTTCATATTTTGAATATAAGTTTTGTAGTTAATATAATTATTGAAACCTATTTAATTAATTTAGTTAAAAAATAATAGAAAACAATTTGTAGGAAATTTTTAGAAAATAGTTTTCTACCAAAAATAATCATAGAAAATTGGTAAGACTTTGTTGGTAAGGAATTGGTAGAAGACATTTTTCTACCAATTTTCCTACGATATTGACCGTAGGGCATTGAGCATTTTTTACGATATATGTAACTAACCTCTATATAATTCCCACTGAAGAGTGGAAGCTTGAATACTATTTACAACGGAAACTAAAACACTAGATTCTAGAGTTCTTTATGTATCATGAACACAGATTTTAACTCTTTACTTAAAATCTAAGTTACATGTCTTAATTCAGTTTCAGAAACTTCATATTTAGAGGACTACATAAGAAGCTAGAAATAAAGAATGGAATGAGAAAAAAAATAGGGATGACTTGAAAATAATTTATGAGATTATATAGATGAGAAAATAATATATAATTAATAGTAATAAAAGAAACTTTTAGAAAAATGAAATTCAAATATTAAATATATATTACAAAGAATAATTTTAAACATTGATAATACTGAACAACTAGAATTTAACCCGCGTTACACCGCGGGGCTAACATTTTTAAAAAAGTTGTAATGTTATTTTTCTAAAGATTAACTGAAGATATATCATATTAATTTATATTTTTCAAAGTAGATATCTATCTATCTATGTATTATTTAGTGTATGATTACTATTGGTTAAGTTTCCATTTTTGAAGTATAGATACGAAAACATACATTTTTAAGTAACGATGTATGGTTGATTTTAAAATTTTGAATATTTTACTCCGCGGTATACCGTGGGTCGATTTTTTATAACTAAAATTTTTAAATTTTAAGTTGTATTTGTTTTGTTAATATTGTATGTTTTGTTTTGTGTTTAAGATTGTATAATTGTATTTTGATTGTTAATTTTAGGATTTCATCCGTGATATACCGTTCTTTATTAATATCAACCCAAACCCGTCATCCCATGTAAACCCGTCTATATTATCCCGTTAGCTAAATTATTATTGTTATAAAATCCAAGAAAATAAATTATTATTGTTATAAAATCCAATAATTTTAGGAACTCACCCGTGGTATACGGTTCCTAGAATTATTTTAAATTTATACTACTAATATATATTTTATATTTACCATATAAAGTATATGATTTCAAGATTTTGTGTTTTTTATTTATTTAAATAAAGCAATGGATTTAATGATGATAGATATAGTTCTTTTTTTGTATCTGTATATGATTTTTCTATGTGAATATTTTGATTATTATAAATTAGTATTTTTATTGCTATGCAAAATGTTAATATAAATATTTGCTATAAATCGGTTTTATGCATATTTTGTGGAGTAAAATTCACGGAAATATTTTTTGAAGATATATGGAAAGATTGTGTAGAGATTTTTAGAAACAGATTAGGCAAGATATCCTTTGGTTAATATTTTTTATTTAAATTTTATAAAACTAAATAATAAATGTCAATGGCATAGTCTCGTAAATAAGTTGGAACTCTAGGATTTATTTGCTAAGTGTACTCTAGGAACTCTTCTATATTGTTTAGGTAATATAATCTTAACCCCGTCTTAGGACCCAATGACCCGTGTTTGTTAGATTCGTGATTGGCCTCCTAAATATTAGGTAATATTTTAAATATCTTTATACCCGTTTGATCCATTGATCCGTTTTTTAATAAACTGGTTCATATTAGTGATATGGAATTAAAATAATTATAATTAGAGATCTCTAATAGCATATATTGTAATTTCTTACAATTATATATCATTTTCATTAACATTTTCAAAAACATTTTTGATAACATGTTCGAATAATGGAATACTATATAACATTTTCAATAACATTTACGATCACATTTTCGAATAATATATTAGTATATAACATTTTTACTAATTGTGTTACATTTTCGAATTGATTAGTATATAATATTTTCGAATTATATTAATTGTGTAATCGTTTGAAGAATTTTTTTTCCGAATTATATGTATTATATAAACAAAATCTTTTAATATCTTTAAACCCATTGACCCGTTGACCCGTTTATATATATTAGTGACATGGAATAAAATTTTATGATTAGAATTCTCTAATGGCATATATTGTAATTTCTTACAAAATCTAAGTTATGATCCTTAGGATGTACTTCCCAAATATTAGTATAGGATTAATTGTACCATTACTACCATACATGTTTTTGAAAAAATGTAAGATACTATTTCTTATATATTCTTTAGAAACTAAAAATAAGTTAAAATTATATTAGTTTAATTATCAAATGTATACCGGGCGTAGCCCGGATTATCCCTAGTAAAATATGAAACTAGAAGACTTATAGTAAGACACAATTAGAAAACTAGGTTTAAGGTTTTTAACTCTATTAAAAAAAATCTTTAAACAAATCTCTTAATTAAAGAATAATATTAACAAAAAAAAAAGTTAAAATCTAAGGGCTTTTCGGGCCGGTCTGAGCCCGGCCGGGCTAAGTCCTAAAAACCCTTTACTCCAACGGGCTTAGGCAGAAAGACCCGATTTTTTTTTGGACATATATTTTAAAGTCTGATCCCACTATTTTTTAGGGCTGAGCCGAGCCAGCCCGCGGGCTTCGGCCCTAATTGACATGTTTAGATAATAGTGGATATTCCCAGTTTTTAAAGCTGTGGATTAAGCTCGGACCATAGTAGGATGGATTGCACAATAGTGGATATTTCATACGATTATTTGAGTATAAAATAAAGAAAATCGAAGAGATTTCATTCTACTCATTCTCATGAAAAACAGTATTTGAATATTTTTCTTTCAATTTTTTTTTTTGAACTTTTTAGTTGAAGAAGACACATGGATCCAAAAGCAAAAGTTCATGAGCATATGGTTGAAAGGATTCTGAACCTCATAAAAAACGTTAACTATTAGGAATGTGGCCTAACTTAACCCAAAAGCTAGCTCAAGAGTTAAGGATTGCCACATCCTTTATATACTACCCAAAGATCTTAATCCCAAACGATGTAGGACATTCTAATAGGTCTCCTCGAGATGTGGGTGGGAAACGGCCCAACGGGAACAGCCCAAGCCCAACATCTCAGAAATACAACAAGACATGCCACTTATATGGGCCACATAGGTGGGAAACCATTTTTGTGGGAATTTGCTTGTTGGGCCAACCTTGGGCTCTGATACCATATTAGGAATGTGACCTAACTTAACCCAAAAGCTAGGTCAAGAGTTAAGGATTGCAACATCCTTTATATACTACCCAAAGATCTTAATCCCAAACGATGTAGGACATTCTAATATTAACACTTACTGATTTTTATTATTTGTGTGCATTTTTTTGGGTATCATCCTGCTTAGGTTCAACGAAGGCAGCTCTTTGAATTCTTTTTGGTTAATGTATATCCACTGGTATGTTTAATAGGGTGTGACATATTAGTTTGAATGACTAGTTCTTTATTATGAAGAAAAATGGATGACTTTGTTCCTTTAGATAATCCATTAACAATTGTTGTAAATTTATATGTTATTTAAGAAAAAAAAAAGGAATAAAAAAAAGCTATTCAACTATATTAAATTAAACTTTTATGTCATATTCATGCATATCTCACTTACCACAAGAAACACATGAATCCAAAATCCATGATTCCTTCTACACCTTTCCTTTAATTTTCCAATAGTCATAACAGTTTTAACTAACACTTGAGCGAATGTTGTGAAAAAAGCGTCACCCACACGTGTCACTATCTTACCCATAATCTCATAATCCAACGGTCATAATAAATTCGACCATAGAGTAGTCGCTCTCACATAGTATCAAATCTTGGAGTACCAACCATTATATAACTGACACGTGGCGTAATCGTCGCTCCCGTCTTCACCGGCCACACAACGTGGCATTCTTCACCCAATAATTATTATTTGGTTTGTATTTAATTTTAATAATTTGCATGTTTTAAAGTTATGAATGAACTGGAAATGCGAACTCTTCGCGTTAGGGTCCGTTCGTTTCATCATCTACCATTTCCATCCAAATGGTCCATTTAAATGTTCCATCCAAATGCTCCATCTGAATGTTGTTCGTATTAATTTTTGGATGTTCATTTGGATGAAACATTTGAATGAATTTTTGTTTGTTTGTTTAATTTTTACAAATCTTTATCTTCATCTAGATGACTTTAACAAGAAAATGACTAAAATACCCATACTTTAATTTACTTATATTTTAAATTTTAATCTAAGCTATATTAATTTAATTATTGCTCTAAAATATATTTTCATCTAAATAATTTTTAAATTATTATTTTAACATATAAATTAAGTTTACGGTTTTGACGAAAAAAGATAATTTTACGATTTAGGCGGAAAACATAATTTTGAGATTTTTGGCGGGAATGCCATTTTTTGGCGGAAAAATATTATTTTGCGGTTTTGGCGGAAAAACATGATTTTGCGTTTTTGGTGAGAAAATATTATTCCGCAATTTTGGCGGGAAAACATGATTTTGCGATTTTGGCGGGAAAATATTATTCCGCAATTTAGGCGGGAAAACATAATTTTTACAATTTTTTTATGAAAAATTAAGTTTTGTGATTTTGGCGAAAAACTATGATTTTACTGTTTTGGCGAGAAAACACAATTCCTCAATTTTTTCGGTTTTGGCGGGAAGACAGAATTCCGTAATTTTCCCGCCAAAATCGTGATATTATAGTTTTGGCGGGAAAATATGATTTTACGGTTTTGGTGGAAAACACAATTCTTCAATATTTCCGGTTTTGGCGGGAAAACAGAATTCCGTAATTTTCCCGCCAAAATCGTGATTTTATAGTTTTGGCGAAAAAATGTGATTTTACGGTTTTGGTGGAAAACACAATTCTTCAATTTTTTTGGTTTTGGCGGAAAAACAGAATTCCGTAATTTTCCCGCCAAAATCGTGATTTTATAGTTTTGGCGGGAAAATATGATTTTGCAGTTTTGGCGAGAAAATATGATTTTGCGGTTTTGATGAATTCCATAATTTTCTATCAAAAATCACGATTTCACTTTTTGGCGGGAAAAAACATAATTCCGCGATTTTATGATTTTGACGAAAAATGATAATCATTGATTTCACGATTTTTAGAGATTTTATTTGGTTCAAATATGTAATTTTTAGAATATAAAATGAAAAATCTATTGAAAATAAACATTATTTGATTTATGATTATAAATGAGGGTATATTTGTCATTTGTTATTTTTGACTAAATCATCTCCATCCAAATGCTCCAATCATGTTCATCCAGATGAGTTTGACAAATTTGCCTAAAATTACAAACTCATTCAGATGATCCATCCAACTAATTCATCCAAATGATCTGTTAAACTGTAAAAAACGAACATCATTTTTCATCTCCATCCAGATGATCCATCTGAATGGAGAAACGAACAGGGCCTTATTGGAATCGTAAAGCAATTCGGTGTCTCATTTTTTTATTTTTTATTTTATTTTTTGTTTCTCTTCTCTTCTCTGCGATTTCTTAGGGTTTCTGAATCTTCTGGTTCTCTTCGCATTCGAATTCTCTGAAGTCAAACCAAAGTTTTGGTGTTTCTCTCTGTAAGTCATGTCGATTTATTTTGAAATCTCTTCGATTTCGTGCTTCTGTTGTACAACTTCGTGTCGTATCTATAATTTTTCTGACGAATTGGCTTTTATTTCGCTTCGATTGATGTAGTTCTTCCTGGGAATCGAAATCGTGTTTGTTTCACTGGATTTAGTGGAATGTGATTTTTCTTATTCATGGTTTGTTCTAGGTTTCGCGTTTTCATCTATCGTAATACTACTTTGTTGTTTAGGCCATTGAATTTTGCGAATCGTAATTTGGTAAAACAGAGATTGAATCTGAGGATTTGTGTCGTATGTAACCAACTTATCTTCCTCTGCAACTTTTAGTTACTGATTATGATTTGATTCCTGTTTCCATTTTTTCGTATCTGCAATGAAGAAAGTTGTGGTTAGTGTTAAGATAGTTTGGATTCAACTTACACGTTTGATCCATTGTTTATCAGTCTCTTTCGCGGTGTTTCGTTAGCGTAACTGCAATAACCAAGTGTTTTGAGCATTGGATTTCAGAACTTTTGTTATTTCAATGTTCTTATCTTTTTTTTTTCCGTGATTTTTCCATACAGTTCTCCTGTCAATCTAAGATCCTCCTGTATTGCTTTGTTGGCCATTTCCCTGGTTCTGACGACTTAATACGCTTATGAAGTTCTTCTCTTCCTGCGATTTTTAGTCAGGAAGGAGTCGAACTAAGATTTGAGATGGAGATATCAGCTCTTCTTACATCTGCTGGGATTAATATTTCGATATGCATAGTGCTTTTATCACTTTATTCCATACTTAGGAAACAACCATCCAATTACTGTGTATATTTTGGCCGAAGGCTTGTTTGTGGTGGGGCTAGACGTTATGATCCTTTTTGGTATGAGAGGTTTGTGCCATCTCCAAGTTGGTTAGTGAAAGCATGGGAAACTAGTGAAGATGAGTTATTAGCTGCTGCTGGTCTTGATGCTGTGGTCTTCCTTAGGATGGTCCTTTTCAGGTTACCGAAAAAACTCTCCCAAATGCTTTTTGTTTGTTCTGCTTCTTGTTTTCATAACACCCTCACAGTTGGTTTTACTTTGGATATTTTTTTTTTCTGCAGCATTCGTATTTTCTTTATAGTTGCTGTTATTTGCATCGCCTTTGTGCTGCCTGTTAATTATTATGGGCAACCGATGGTGCATAAGGAAATCCATTTGGAGTCATCCGAAGTGTTCACAATCGAAAATCTTAAAGAAGGCTCCAAATGGTAAATGTGATATTGTTTTTATCTCTACCTACGTCTCTTTGAAAGATGTTACTCTATGCAGAGAGTGTAAAGTGCTGATTTTTTCTTATTACATGTATTGCTCTCAGGCTGTGGGTTCATTGTCTTGCACTGTACATTATAACCTCAGCGGCATGTCTTCTTCTTTATTTTGTGAGGACCTTGTACCTTAGTTTATCTCATGCATACATAAAATACGTACTCTTGATTCCTCCATTTTATCTTCTTTTTATTTTTTTCCCAACCTTTTGACATTTTTTGATACTGTAGGAGTATAGGACCATAGCTAAAATGAGGCTTGGACATATTACTGGATGTGCCTCAAAGCCAAGTCAATTTACCGTTCTTATCCGTGCTATTCCATGGTCTCCTGAGCAATCTTACAGCGACACACTGAGCAAATTCTTCACAAATTACTATTCATCAAGCTATGTGTCCCACCAAATGGTCTACCATAATGGCATCATTCAGAGACTGTTGGTATGCATTCTTCTGGGACCAGTCAGTTTAAACTAAACTATTATTCAGCCCACCTCTCCTCTTGGTTTACTTGTCAGATTAAAACTGTCACCTAGAAATTCTCGAAAAATTCTGTTATTGCTCTTTGTGAGATGTGAAATTTTGCCAGCTTTTAAGTGTTCTTCTTCTTCTTTCAGTATGCAATTTTGTTGATAGCTTTTGTAGTTAGTACTTCATGGTTCTGAAGTATCATTTGCTGCTTGGATTTTATAAAGGATTATTTGTTTGATGACTACATGCAGAGATTTATGATATTATTTAGAACAGTAGATATAATAATTATACTTAGTTCGAGTATCAGCTAAAAGGGAATACAGGTTAGACGCATTCTTGGAGTATAAAAGGATCTTCTAGAGGAACCCTGTATGTAGTTTCTCATAGGTTATCTGTCAGCATGTTGAATCAAAACAGTAGTTAGAAATTGGGTAAATGATATGTGGATGGTTTGTCATTGTGATTACATATTGAGATTCATTGTACCGTGTCATAGAATAAGTGTGACCTATAGATCATTAAAATTTCTGTCTCAGCGTGAGGCGGAGAGGATGTGCCAGACTCTAAAACACGTTTCTCCTGAAATCAATTGTAAACCGAGTTTGAAGCCATGCATCTTTTGTGGAGGACCTACAGCCACAAATTCTTTTCATATCCTATCTAATGAGGCGGACAGTGTGAAAGGAATGGAGCTTGGTGAGTTGACTATGACTACGACAGAGCAAGTAAGGAATTCTTCTGACTTTCCCTGATCTAGGCATAGGATGTGGTTATGTGTTTTATAAGATCCACTGCATTTTTTTCACCTGATCATGAAAGAGTGACTTTGTTAACCTTTACTGGGATACAAACTGAACTATGAAAGTGGCAGTTCAATTGTCCGATACTTCTGAGACTGTGAAGTTTGGTTTCCTATGTTCAGTTGTAAACCATCATTTATAATCTGTAGTACCAGTGTACCATATGCTACAATCTCGTCCATTAGGATTTGCACTTTTGTGTTATAGTTTAGAAATAGCAGTTCTTAATGTCAAATGGTCACAATATAGATAGTTAACTAAAGCCACAAAAAATTCTGCGTTTTGCAGGAACGTCCAGCTGCTTTTGTGTTTTTCAAAACACGCTATGATGCTCTTGTTGTTTCAGAGGTTCTACAATCATCAAATCCTATGCTATGGGTGACAGACTTAGCTCCAGAACCTCACGATGTGTATTGGAAGAATCTCAACATTCCTTATCGACAACTTTGGATACGGAAAATAGCAACCCTTGTTGGTGCAGTTGCTTTCATGTTTGTGTTTCTTATTCCCGTGACCTTCATTCAAGGGCTGACTCAACTAGAGCAGCTGTCTCACGCATTTCCTTTTCTAAGAGGCATCTTGAGGAAGTGAGTACCCTGCAGGTTCCTTACGCATGTACATATATATGGTTTTGTTTCTTCTGGACATGATATTAGAATTGGCATTAAAAAGTAGGCGGAACTCCTGTGCAGTATAGAACACACGAGCCTTCTCTATATATTTCAAACTATCAGAGAAATCTAATTTTTTGTTCTTGATTTGTTTTATCATCTTTCAAGTTAATCAGCCACTCAAACCATTTTGCAGGCAGTTTATAAGCCAGGTCATCACAGGGTACTTACCCAGCGTGATCTTGATTCTATTTTTCTATGCCGTTCCACCATTGATGATGTATTTTTCGGCCTTGGAGGGATGTATTTCACGGAGTATAAGGAAGAAGAGTGCTTGCATCAAAGTCTTATATTTTACCATTTGGAATGTGTTCTTCGTGAATATTTTATCGGGGTCTGTTATCAGGCAACTGAATGTCTTTTCTAGTGTCAGAGACATACCTGCACAACTTGCAAGATCAGTGCCAACACAGGTAATTTACCCATAGTTCTTTTACATTTCAGAGCAAAAGTTTGATTTTTTCTTATTGTTCATGTTTCTACAGTCTCTTGAACATTAGCTAGGTTACATTTTGCCAAGATCTTGCAGCTTTCGGATTGGATATAGTTTTTTCTTGCGCTGGAACTTTATTAATTTGTTCTTTTTCCTCGTTCCATGATAAACTATTATATATCAGAGATATTAAAGCCCATTGGATGAATTTTACTCATTGTATAGTCTCATTTGGGATTGAGCTTTTCTGGTTGCTTAATGACCTCCATAGCTTATAAGCACCTTTTTGTGTTTCATATTTATTAGGAAAAATGAAAATGTATCATTGATTCTGAATATGTCTTTAACCATGTATGCAGGCTGGCTTCTTCATGACCTATTGTTTCACATCTGGTTGGGCCAGTTTGGCTTGTGAAATAATGCAGCCTATGGCTCTTATCTGGAATCTGGTAGCAAAAGTTGTTACCAAGAACGAGGATGAGTCATATGAAACACTTAGGTTCCCATACCACACCGAAATTCCTCGGCTGCTTTTGTTTGGGCTCCTGGGTTTCACCAATTCAGTCATAGCACCACTGATACTGCCGTTTTTGCTGATATACTTTTTCCTTGCATATCTCATATACAAAAATCAGGTAAGTGATCCATAAGTTCTCTGATCTTTTTACATAATATCACAATTAATCACTATCTAAGCATCATAATGGACTTGTATCTAATTTGTGAAAGCTTAGTTACTTTGTGAACTGCATGTTTTAGATGGAAATTTGATTTGTGCTTTTGGAGTGATTGCTTCTGCAATGTTTATAGTCATGTATAATGTGATAAGAGGCAGTAGTAGTGCCAGGCTCATGCATTAAGTCAGAAAACTCTTGATATTTTTAAAAGCCAATCCTTTTTATAGACCTTCTTAGCCTTAACAGAGTTGTTTCTATTTGCAGATACTCAACGTGTATATTACAAAGTACGAAAGCGGTGGACAATACTGGCCTATTTTCCACAACACAACAATCTTTTCACTGATCTTGACACAGATTATAGCTTTGGGTTTCTTCGGATTAAAGCTATCAACGGTTGCTTCGGGTTTCACTATACCATTGATTCTTCTCACTTTGCTTTTTAGTGAGTACTGTCGGCAGAGGTTTGCGCCCATTTTCAACATAATTCCTGCCCAGGTAGATTAAATGTAACCAAAACCTTTGATGTTCCTACTGCAGTTTATGCGTCTTCTCGGTGCTTGATAGATGTGTTTCGTTTCAGGTTCTCATAGATATGGACAGGGCTGATGAAATCTCAGGAAAGATGGAAGAGTTACATAAAAAATTGCATAATGTATACTCGCAGATACCATTACACTCTGAGAAATCATCGAGTAAAGCTGAATGCAGTAATCCTTTCAAAAATCAGGAGTTACCAGATCCTGAAAAATTGAAGCCAGGTTCCTAGTCCATACCATTGTTTGTGTATGATTTCAGATTTTACTTGAATACAGACTAATGAGATTTGCATTTTTCAGAGGAAGGGGATGCAATAGCGAAAGAGTTATGGGGATATCAAGGCAATGAATCATGTCAAGAACATGACGCTAAGTCCTGTCCCAGTGCTTCACCAGAGCATCTTTCTCCAAAGCTGATCGAACTTCACAAACGGAACTAGACAGACATTTTTTACTAGTGAAGTAATCGCGGAGGCTCCTACAAATCAGTGCTTTAAGCACAAGAGTTTTGTCGTGGGCATGCTCAGCTCCAAAACCAATGTTACTGGGAATACACTCACTTGAAGATAAGTAGATGTAAATTGTTTTCGGGATATCTCATCATTTTTCTTCGATGGAAATTCGTATTGAATCTCTACAAAACAGATGGGGGAAAGCATTCAAGCATGTACAGTTTTCTTGCCAAGTTTAAGATGTACATTTTATAGTTTCTGCTAGAAGAGATAAAACTGTGTATAGATATGCTAAGAAGAAAGATTTTTCTTTATGGAGCTCAGAGTATGAGAAACTAAAATTATCAATCTAGTGATGAGATGGCCATTTTTCTGTTGTTGTTCTTTGGAAATTATGTCGTACCAAACAAAGAGAAGAGCTGAGACAATTGTGGGACATGTGTAAACAAAAAGAAGAGCTGAGACCATAACATTGTGGGACATGTGTTGGAAAAGAGAAGAGCTGAGTTCATAAGAGCATCTTCAGATCTTCTTCAAGGTTTGTTATATGGGTATCTACCATTGTAAAAAACAAAAGATAATGAGAGACTTTTGGATGAGTCTCTCCACTATTCTAGATACCCACCTAATTATTATTTTTAGTGTCTTTTGTTTTATCATGGTCCGTGCTATACAGCACGGGATTTAATAATTTTATGAATTAAATTGTAAATTTTGTTCGAAAAAATAAGAAATAATATAGTATAATAGTATAGTATAAAAGGGAATATATCATAATATTTTATTTTTATTACTATTTGGATATAATGTTATATATTTCATTTGACGATGGTTGTATATTTTGTTTGTAGAATTAAATAATAGTATATGATAAATTTTAAACCTATATTCTATATCATATTGGATTATTTTATTGTAGGAATTAAATGTTGTTTAATCTTAACTTGGTTAAAAAACATGACTTGGTAATAAAGAATGAGAGAATATTGTATTGTATATCAAATATATTTAGCTGCATTAGATTTGTATTTTTGTTTATATGAGATTAACAATTTATTTGGTTCAATTAGGTATTCATAATTGCATTGTGTCATTGAGAGCAAAAAAAAAATAGTTGTATTGGGTCTAAGTTTTTACGTGGGCTATATTGGATTTTGTTTGGCCCAGTACCATGTTGTTTAAAAAAAAGAAAAAGAATTTTTGATAAGAATTTTTTCTTTTCTTCCTTGATTACGGACTAAATCTACGAATTAACAACGTCAAGATGCAAGATAAAACGCAAATATCAATTAAAAGGAATTTTTGTTAGCAAGTCTTTCAAATATATTTTTGTTAGCAAGTTTTAATATATTTGAAAGTAAAAATCTAAGCTTACAAATCTTATCATTTTTTCGTTGTAATTTTATAGTTTTCAATCTTGAAATCTGGTTAAAGCATATATCAAAGTAGCAGCAATGGAAAATTAAAAGTACTGTACCTTGAACTTTAAAAATCATATATCAAATCTGGTTAAAGCATATATCAAAGTAGCAGCAATGAAAAGAAGATGATAGTGACAAAGTAGAACACTTTTGCAACCGTTCTTTCCGGTTTTTTTTTTCTGCGGAGAGGCTGACATCGTCTCTGTCATTAGCCTGACTGTCTCCTCCACGAGATTTGGATAACTCAAGATAGTTCTTGAGGACACAAAAACTTGAACCGATGCATACAATAAGCCATTGAGGGATAATCTTTTGTGCACTCATTAAGCTAAACCCGGCGAAGAAATACCCATCGCACACTTGTACATCTTCGTTAGACGACAAAAACCCTCGTCGTTTTATAATAATGGGCTTTAATGGGCTTAGCTCATTAAATCAAAACAAATTGGTCCTATAACGTGGGAGTGGGGTGTTACACCAACCAAGTTGAAGAGTTAATTGCAGTCGAAAGAACCTATGTAATTATAGATGACGTTTAGGAAGATGTTGTTTATACACTCTTTGAATTTAAGCGGTGGGAGCCAAAGAAGGGGAATCGCATAATTTCATATTTCTTTATATATTTGTGACATCAAATTTTTAAAATGAAAGGCTAAGCTTCCAATACGTAATTGTAAGCTTCCAACGAACTTGCAAAATGGGTTTTTTGGAAGTGCCACTAAAGTGGGATTCCAAAATTTTTTGACTCTAATTTGATTCCGTAGCGACGGACTTCCGATGAAGGTTCCGTGCATTCTAGGTACAAAAGCATAGAATTTTGGATCTTGTTTTGTTTTAATCAATAAAGCCATCTAAAACCAAAACTCAAAGAAAACTATGAGCCATATATAGTAAAGCCTCTATAAATTAATACTCGATAAATTAATAAGCACAATATAATAATAAAATCTTCCAAGCCCAAGTCGGGCTAGTATAAAAATAAACCAAATTTGATAAGCTAATAAGATAATAATATTTTTTATAATCTCTATGTAAATATATAGTCCCATTAGTAACATAAATTAATAATTATGTAAATTTACACATTATATATATATAAAATATAAATATATGGTTTTAGTTATTTGTTTATTGAATTTTTGTTTGAACTCATCCTTAATTCTTTTTTCTAAAAAATAAATATTGTGTTTTTAAACTATCTTATTGTAGTATCGTCTATAATTTTTTTTTTTTAAACAAAAATTTTATTTAAGTTTTTAAATTTTGTAAATGTATCATTTTCATTTCGATAGTCATATAGGCGGTCCAAATACAACAATTGAGTTCACTTATAATGAATTTGAATGTATGTATATCAGTTGTATATGTGAATTTTCTTTTCTTTGATATTTATTGTCAAATTTTTTGTTTTTTTCTTCTAAATATTAAACTAAGTCCAAAACTAAATTTGTTTTTATAAAATTCAAAATATTAAATTTATTTGATCAAATTTTTAGAATTCATATGTTTCTAAAAATATAGATTAATAAAATATAGTGGTTCCAATATTATTAATTTATAGAGGTTTTACTGTAAGTGGTCCTCTAAAGTTCTATATATAAATTTAAAAATAAAGACCACAATGTGTTGTTTAAGTTCATAACAAAAAACTTACGTGATTTGATTTATCTAAAAATACAAGCAGCCCCGGCCCAATAACAAAGCCTTAGGGCCAAACATAATTTTGTTCATATATATTCATAATTTCAGCATATTCTATACTAACAAAAAATATTAAGGGCCTTATTCTATTTTTTTTTTCACAAAAATGGGCCTCTTGTCTAAGAATTTTTTTTAAAACGTATGGGCCTTAGGTCCACGCATCTCTGCCCTACCCCTTTGGGCCGGGGCTGAATACAAGTCTTCGCTTTTTCTGATGTTTTCCAATTGACTCCACACTCGTCTCTTGATTTAGAGATAACAACCAAATGAGCCTACAAATTGCATAGAGGAAGATGTTGTTGATACGCTCTTGGAGATCAAACGCCGAAAGTGGAAAAAGAGGAATCACACCTATATTGAAATAAAGACCTCGAAAAAGTCGCATAAATTTTGGAGCAAAGAAAAGGATAGCAGTGACAAGGTACGACCAATATTGCAACAATTTTTGCGCGTTTTCATGGTATTCCGTTTTTCTGTGGAGAGGCTGTGACGTAGCGGAAGCTTCTAGGGATAGATTACGAAAGTAATCTTGAGTATCAATGGATCTCAAGCAGGACAATCGTAGCTCGGAATTCTATTGTTATCGGAGATCAATGGATTCACGATAAACAAAGACTTCAAAGACTTCGTTTGAGAATACTCTTCTCAGTGCTTATCAAAAGCTCTTTAATTTTATTAATCAAAAACAACCGAATACAATAGAAGGCCTAAGAAGGCTATTTATAATAAAACGCGAAAACCCTAAAACATAGAATATTCTAGAACAATAATTATTAATTAATTAAAATATGATAATATTAGATATTTGGAAATATTCCAAATATCTCGCTGCATCAGGTCTCGTCGGCCAAGAAAAGATTCGTCCTCGAATCTTAAATCTGCGTTGCATCAGCTCCCGCCGGCCAAGAAAGATTCGCCCTCGAATCTTCAACAGGGTTTTCAACATAAGAGATCTTCGCAGATTCATCTTTCGATTTTGCCCAATTTTTGCATGAACCGAGTTTGACACGAATTTTGCACAAACCTGATTTGACACGAAATTTGCACGAATTTTTTCTTTTCCAATTATTGCACCAGTCGGATATTGCACGAAATTTGCACAGATCAGACTTTCCATATCTTCGGCAGAAAACACGAATTTTGCACAAGTCTGATTTTTCATGATTTCTGAAGGAAACCCTAATTTTGCACAGATTTGATTTCGCCCGGATTTTGCACGAGTCAGATTCTCGAAAGCATCTTCTGGGAAAACGAAATCAATGACTATGACATCATCTTCATAGATATCATAGATGGGATCACCATAGATCTCTCTGTAGATCTCATGGTTTTCTTTTCTCTCAACAAACAGACTTTCGCATGTGATATGATAGATGCTACCACACCTCATGAGAAACAGAATCGAGCTTTGATTAAGAAATCAAAGGACTGGCTCTGATACCAACTGACGTAGCGGAAGCTTCTAGGGATAGATTACGAAAGTAATCTTGAGTATCAATGGATCTCAAGCAGGACAATCGTAGCTCGGAATTCTATTGTTATCGGAGATCAATGGATTCACGATAAACAAAGACTTCAAAGACTTCGTTTGAGAATACTCTTCTCAGTGCTTATCAAAAGCTCTTTAATTTTATTAATCAAAAACAACCGAATACAATAGAAGGCCTAAGAAGGCTATTTATAATAAAACGCGAAAACCCTAAAACATAGAATATTCTAGAACAATAATTATTAATTAATTAAAATATGATAATATTAGATATTTGGAAATATTCCAAATATCTCGCTGCATCAGGCTGCCATCATCTTTTGTGTGCATATGGAGAAAAAAATGTTCTCCTTTGGTTAGGGTGATAGATGCTAGTCAACCGGAAACATTTTCATCTTTGCCATCTTTAGCCGAGCTTCAGCCACGCTGTCTTTAGACTAACCTTATGAGCAAATTCCTAATGGCAAGGCCATGATTACAAATCAGCAGATATACCTAACAAATGTTCTAGAAATCGACTTCGGTGGTCGTTTACGTGCCAAGGAGGTAGAAGGACTTTTCAGTTCTCATATCAAAAGGAGAGACAATGGCAATTACATTGTGTAACAATAACAAATATTTTCTTTTAAGCATTGATGGCCATGCCAGTACATATTTGTATTGATCCAAAACTGTTTGTAACTTTGGCCATCCGGATCATAATGCATTTCCAACGTGTTCTTAGATGCTAGAACGAAATTATCCTCTAGAACAATAATTCCGCCTTGAGCTGAATATGCAAAAGCCACAGTGAAAGACAATATCTCATCAAACCCATACCAAAATCATGATAGCTGTTTTTTTCGAAAAGACAAAAAGTAGTTGACTACGTTGCACATACTTGTTCTTCATCCATTATGCACACTGAACTAAACCAATCCAAGAGTGACACATATTCCTACTTTTATTGCCTAGATGTCATGGTCGTTGATATCTTTGTTGTCTTGCTTTGCCAATCAACTTTAATTTCACACAAAGTGTTGTATGAAATGGTTTCACACAAACTTCACACAATAAGAAACTCTCCATGCAACAACTTGTAACTCATGCTTAAAATCTCCATGAGTTCGTTCTTTAAGCACAAGGGTTTCTCGAAAACACACTCAGCTTCAAAGTGTTGCAATCTACAGGTTTGTTCTCTTCTTGTTCTGCATTTCTCTGTTTCGAGTGTATTATTGAATGAGAATTAGAAAAAGAGCTTTAGATGTTTGAGAGAATTGAAAGACATAAAACTAGTACATTGTTCACATATCTTTTACACAACATGACGCATACAAATTTATAGAGAGAGTAAGCTATTCTACACAACCACTCCCACTAGTCTTAATTAGTACTAGACTGTAGCTTAGTCTTACAAGCCACATGAGCAACTAACCTAACAACTCCATTAGCTTAAATATACTGCTTCCATATAGTTTAGTTTTTTTTTCTGATTTCCTTGGTTTTAATACAAAATCGGCATTACTCAACACAAAGGAACCATTGTTACTGGGAATGTTCACTCACTTGAAGAAATAATACTTTTTTAGTTACATTTGTCAAAAAGATTGAATTTTTTTAAAACATCTCTATAAATTAATAATTTATACTCTAAAATAATAAATATTAATCTTATACTATTATTTGGGAAGTACACTTTATAAGACACCCTTAACTAACCTTCCTTTTTGTAAGAATTTACTTAAGAATGCCATTACAAAAATCTTCTTTTAGAACAAATTTTATTCAATTTATTAAGGATAAACAAGTAAAATACTAATTTATGTCATTTAATTAATTTAATTAAATTATAAAACGAAAATCTGTTATTTTTTTTTTAAATGACCAATCAAAATGAACATATAAGATTTGATATCTAACTTACCATATTAATTTGTATTAATCATTAAACTTCACCTCTCATCTTTATATGATTATATTAATATGAAACAAAAAAATCATCATATCATCTACATAATAAAAAATAATAATTTTTTTCTGCATATGCCAAGATTTGAATTTTTAAAAACGCATATAAATTGTTCAATCTATAAATGAAACAATTAAACGGGTCAAAAATTCAGACTTGAGTAATATATTTCTTTTACACAAAAATAAAGTCAACAAAAATTATGACTGAGCAACGGGTCAGAATTTGAATATTTATATTCGATTTTCTACATTTATTTTTTTGAAATGTATAATTTTATATACTACAATAAAAATTTAAATATTTTAATTTGCAACATTTAAAATAAGTTTTACTTGATATTTTTAGAGAATATCATCAATACTTAATAGTTCAAAAAGTTAAAAATTATAAATACTATAATTTGATTATTTTTAAAAATATTTATAATAGGTAGCGGATTAAATATAATATATTATATGATGAAATGAGTTTTGATCCTTATAACTATTTGAATAGTTATATTTAATTTCATATAATTTGTTTTTTTGAAATTCATAATTTTATAAACTACAAAAAAAATTTAAAGATTTTAATTTGGAATATTTAAAAATAGTGTAGAACATTTAAATATGGTTTGACACCTCTAAATATTTGAAAATTTGATTCCGCAAGCAATTTTAGAATTAACGAATAATAGATTGTGCACGCAATATTTTAAAATGAAATATTGAGATTCTAAAATAAAAATATAGACTCCACGCACGGGTTGATTTTGGTATTATTATATACTAAATATATGTTTATAACATATTCGATTATGCGAATAATTGGTATATTCCGTAATTATAAATCTCAAACAAATTCTGTAATTAGATTAGCTCAAACAAATCTCTATTTCAACAACCAAAGAATTATAAATTAAAAAAGAATTTTCTAAATTAATTCAAAATAATAGCTAATTTTCTTAATTAATTCAAAATAATTTATGTTTTATATGCGATTCATTTATGATATTTTAATTTTTGATCTAACTGAAATATATGCAATCTTATTTTGTGGTTGTTAACATAAATTAACTCATTGTTCAAAAAATATTACTTTTTAAAAAAAAAAATTATTTTCCGTTTTCATATCTTAAAAAAAAAATTATCCATAATTGAGTATTATAGAAAAAATTCTATATTTATTCTAATATTGTATATAGGGACTGACAAAAAAATTAATATGTTTTCACTTACTATTATAATATATTAAATCTTAGTTCTAATATATATTATATAAATTTTGTAATAAATAAAATTCAACCCGTACTTATCTAGTTATTAGATAAATTAATATCACAATATATTAATAAAATATCATGGTCTCAAGTCTCAACATTATTATTTTATAGAGGTTAAACGGTATTCATCAAAACAAATGTTTCTTTTTGTAAAGGTTATTTGCGAAAAATGCCCAAAAGGCCATGAACTTTATAACAGAGAAGTTGGTACCATTGGAAGTGGTTTTAGTTTTATCATTTTAAATATCATTTTAAAATAGGAATTTGATTTTGTAAAGCTTACAATCATTTTCCGTGAAATGTATCATAGACAAGTTGGAGGAAGTAGACGAAACGAATCAGGTCAATTCAAATTAAGACAGCTATTAAGGTAAAATAAAAAAATGAGTAGATTAGAAGTACTAGTTGTCGTTTCAGAAAATCAAACACTTCAAATTGTTAGTATAAGAAAGGAAAAATCACATTTTTAACCTTCAAAGTGGTACTAAGTAGCACTTTAAACCTCGATATATTTTCATTAGCACTATAAACCTTCATATTAATTTTACTAACATTTTAAACATCCAAATTAAGTTTTTTGTTTATGTCGCACTAAAAGATAACAGAATAGTAACTCCGTCAACGAAAAATTTAACTCCCGTCAACGGAAAAGTAAAACATGTTTTTTTTGTTTTTAAACGTCAAAAAATAAAACGCGTTTTTTTATAAAAAAAATTGTTATTTTTCTGTTTGCCCCAAAAAAGCAAAATCCCCAAATTGAGTTACAGTTCTAAATCAAAACCCAGAATACAAGAAGAAGAGTGAAAGAGTGATTTCGAGTGAAATTGAAGAAATGAAATCAAAACCCAGAATAGAAGAAGAAGAGTGAGAGAGTGGTTTTGTGGTATCGATTCATTAAAAATCATATATTGAGTGATTGACTTTGGATTCATATAATGAAAATCAAATAGGAGAGGATTTTGTATTCTTATGAGCCCATGTGCAATGTTTTGTTTGGATTCGTATTACACTTATGTTCTTGTACTTCAAACTTAGAAACCCTAAATCCCAAATTGATTTGAGGATATTGAATTTTTAAAACTTTAGACAACGATTATAGGAAGTGGTACTAATGATCTTTTTTTTGTAAACACGTTTTACTTCTTTCTTTTTAAGAAAAAATACGTTTTACTTTTTCGGTGACAGGATTACTTTTTTGGTTGACGGAGTTACTATTCCGTTATCTTTTAGAGCGACACAAACAAAAAACTTAATTTGGTGGTTTAAAGTGTTAGTAAAATTAGTTTAGAGGTTTATAGTGCTAGTGAAAATATATCGAGGTTTAAAGTGCTACCCAGTGACACTTTGAAGGTTTAAAATGTGATTTTCCTGTATAAGAAATATTCCAAGCTATAACATTATTATTATAAGAGACCCTTATTAATTATTCGGTATCACGATGACTCCAAAAGGAGTTTATTGTTTAAAGAAAGACTACAAACATGGAGACTTGGTTTGCCCAAAAAAAAAAAAAAAAAAACATGGAGACTTGTTGACCCAAAGACTTACTTAGATGCTTCACCCAAGAAGACTCCTCAAAAAATCAAAGCATCACTCTTCTTCCTAAACGTCGACCGGTCAAGATTCATAAGGTTAGTCATTTCTTTTCCCCCTTTAATTCTTAACAATGGGGACGTGAGCATCTCATAGTTCACAAGTTCCGGCTTAGCTTAACCAAAGCCTGACTACGCTTAACTACATTGTTTTAGAAATGGAAGGTTGTATACCTAGCTTGTTTACGATTTGGTCATTGCTCAAAAGTTACGTTTTGATGCTATGGACAATACGTTTTTGTCAATATTATGTGTTGTTGGGTGTTTGGGTTCAGATGGAGGAGATTGTTTTGGAAACAAAAGATGCAGTTGATTGGTCATATAGAAGCGAAGGAGTTGTTAATTTGGTTCTCGCTTACACTGGAACCTCTCCCACTTTCGTCAGTATCATCTCTTTCTCAATCCCAAAGATGATTATATATTGCCTTTATTTCTAGTTTTTGGGGTTAGGAAGAAGTATATAACATTGATTGCAATCTTGTTTGTTTTTTTTTTCTTTTTTGTGGTTATATGTGAAGTTGGGAAAGGTGTTGAGGACAAAAAAAATGCGAAACACTGGGAATGAAAATGGTCTTACGACGCAGGAAAAGCTTATTTGGGGAGATATTAAGGATCTTGTATCTTCCCAAAACAAGGAGATTGCGGAATATTTGTTTGTCAAACATGTCATGAAACCTTTGTTGGGTCACAAATATGTTCATGCTGGAGTAAGTTTCCCTTGTCATGATTCTAACACGTTATAACAGTTACAAGAATCTCCAAGTTGCATTTGGGATGTTTAAAAGGTTTTTGATGATTTGGGAATGTTGCAGATTCCCCTTCCTGTAGAAAAGGAGTTTCTTGAGTCTGTTAAGAAAATAGTGACATCTCAGCGTCATTCTTGGCGCGCTAATGCAGCCAGTGTGGATACTAACCGCAGATTTGCGCTTCTCATGGATGATTTGACCATTTTCTCCCATGGTAAAATTAATTATTCGTGAATTAAGCTCTTTCTTTTCATTGTTCTATTTGAGTACTGCAAGTAACAGTTGATGTTTATATCTTGGCGTTGATCCAAATTGATGATGGATTTAAGCTATGGTTTTTGGTTTAATAACCTCCTCTGCTTTCAGGTCAAATTGAAGATCATAAACCATGCTTAACTGTTGAAATAAAGGTGTTTTCATGATTTCTTTCCTTTTAGCTAGCAATTTATTCCTTTTTTCTTAGCTGATATATTTACTTTGGTGAAGTAGCCAAAATGTGGATTTCTTTCATCTTCAAGTTTCATAACGGAAGAAAATGTTATTAAGAAGAGTATAAGTCGTTTCGAAATGTACCAAGTTCTAAAGCTTAGAGAAAACCAGGTGCTTTTTCTCCTACATCCCTCGAAATCACAATCAAACTTGGAAGCTAACACATTAAAGCCATGTTTTTCAGATATCACAAATCAGTGAATATGATCCCTTAGACCTTTTCTCTGGATCCAAAGATAGAATACACAAAGCAATAAAAGCGCTATACTCGACTCCTCAAAACAGTTTACAAGTGTTCTTGAATGGTTCTCTGGTATTTGGAGGCTTCCGTGGTGGCATATGCAAAACAACCCCAAAGCTTGAATTAGCTTTTGAGCATATACTCAAAGATTTCTTCAAAACCGAAGATGACAGCGGCGTACGTGCAAATACTTTCATAGAGCTTGTTACAGAAACTGTTTACGCATCTGGAGCTCTAGATCAGCTTCTTGACGTTCAAAAGCTTGACAAATATAACATCGAGGGAGCGATTCACGCCTACTATGACTTAGTTGACAAGCCATGTAAAGCGTGCCAAGAGTTGGAAAGTAGTAAATTATCGAATCAGTTTGGTTCCATGCATTCAATTCCACAGGATGAGAAAATAAATATTTTGAAGGATTTTCTAATATCTTCCACTGCTATAGATTGTAGTGTAATGATAAGTTTCAGACCAATAGAGACTGGGCTCTCAAGATCCTCTTCCCACGGTAATATTCATCTTGAATCAACAAAGCAAGAATTTGAGTATAAGGTACATGTTATTTTCACTTGGAGATACTAAATCATTGCCTTGGTTAAATTGTTTTTTCTCATAATTAAACTGAGGTCTACATCGTCGGCAGGTACACTTCATTGATCTTGATATGAGACCTTTGAAGAGAATGGAAGCCTATCACGAATCAGACAAGAAGATCATGAAAACATACCTGGAGATGCTGAAAAAGAAGAAAGGAGATCAACCTCGACGCTTTTAGAACTACAAAGCTATAAGAATCAGATTTCATATCTCATAAGAGTATTTTATGTTTCACTTTTAACGCAACAATTTTCTACTGTTTTCACTTATATCAATTCATATCAACATTGGTTATATGTTTACTGGTTTGATTGATGATGATATGTTGATCTCAACACTCATTTTACTAGATCATTCCTAATTGAAATTGTTAGGGTACGTGAACAAATTATACATGTTAAATTGAGGCCCCTTGATTAACCTGATTAATGGCAAGAACTGAGAAATAGACATGCATTATTGCAAAAGGTCATTCCATGGAAGCAAACATCTAACATAATCCAAACAAAACTAAATATGATTCCTTTTAAATTAAAACCCCAATGTCAAAAACTGACAAGACAACCAAGAAACAAGACTGTCTCCATAGAAAAGAAAAGAGAAAGATATTTGCGACAACCAAAAACCTATAAAATCAAACTCATCTCATGAAGGTTTTACGCTTGGTCTTCACCCTCGGTGATAACTTTAGCGGCCGGAACAGCCTTAGTCGCCAGGAAATCAGTGTACTCTTGGTACGGCGATTTGGAGAATCTCGTCTCTTTCCAGAACTCTGGTGTAAGGAACCCATATGTCTTCTGTAGGCAATCGAATGTAGCCTGCATCATAACACCAACAACATCAACCCAAGGGTTAAAGATAATCAACAAGATTAATCAATCAAAAATAATGAAGCAACTAGTCAAATTAAGTAATTGACCTGAAGATCATCAACAACATCTTTAGTCAACTACAAGTTGAGCTCAGATACACTTCAGGTAACTACTAAGCAATTGTGAACTAAATCCCTACTAAGCTATAATCAAATCATTAAAAGCAGAGCTAAATAACATAATCCTTCAGCTAAACATAATCAAAAGCATAAAAAATGAAGGATCAAAATCAAACCTTGACAAAGTTTCCAAGTGTTTTAGTAGATCCTCTGGAAGAAGTAAAGACATCATCAATACCAGCAAACTGAAGAACCTTCTTAGGAACCCTAGCAGCAACAATACCAGCACCTCTAGGAGCAGGAACCATCCTCACAGTAACAGAACCACACTTCCCAGTAACCTTACAAGGCACAGTGTGTGGCTTCCCAATCTTATTCCCCCAGTAACCTCTCCTAACCGGAACAACAGAAAGCTTAGCAAGAATAATAGCTCCTCTAATGGCAGTAGCAACTTCCTTAGAACACTTGACACCCAAACCAACATGACCATTACCATCACCAACAACAACAAAGGCCTTGAATCTAGTTCTTTGACCAGCTCTGGTTTGTTTCTGAACAGGCATGATTTTCATAACCTCGTCTTTCAACGAAGGACCAACAAGAAGATCTATGATTTGGTACTCCTTCACTGGCAGAGAATGGAGATAGATCTCCTCTAGCCTCGTTATTTTATTGTCTAGCACTAGACGACCTAGTTTCGTCACTGGAACCCATTTCGCTTCTTCCGAGGCACGGCCTCCACGTCGTCCACGACCTCTTGGACCACGATCACGGCCACCGCGGCCACCGCCGAATCCACGTCCGAAGTTACCACGGTCACCGCCACGCTCTGCGCCGCGTTCTCCTCCTCTTTCTGCCATTTTCGATGGAGTAAACCCTAGCGGATACACTAGTTTGGTTTATATAGTTGAGTGTATGATTAGGGTTTTCTAGAATCAGAGTTATGGGCTTGTGGGCCGAGAGGCCCAGCCCAATAAAATATCTTATTCATACCCAATAGAAGCGATATGCAAATTGGGTGTAATTGGTTTGCTTATCTTGTGAAACAAATTCTCGCAACATTTGTTAGTAAACATACAATTCGTTTGTTCTCAGTAATAAATAGGTCATATCATTCTCATTGTAAAGCTTAATCTCATTGTATCATCTCTCAAATGGTTCGAATTTTCAATTTTCTTTGGCTTTTTAGTGTCGCATCATTCTCTAATTTGGGCCTCTTTCTAATTGGTTATGAAGGCGAATGCAATCACTTTAACATCTAACTTGTTTGCTATAAAAGGAGTAGTGGTGATTCTTGAAGTAAAAAATTTGATGAGTAAAAATAGTTTCAATATATTTAAAAATTGGGTAATGAATGCTTACATAAGAGAATGAGATTAGAAAAAATAAACAATATCATCAGAAGTTCAACATCAATAGACTTTGCTCAAATATTTCTCGAGTAAATTGTCGACGATAACTTGATAAGCTCTTTCAGTTGGATGATAGCTATCCCAAAATATATAAGCTGAAGAGTTAGAACACGTAAATGGGTTCAATGAGTTACATAAATAGGATATCGTGAGCAGTCCTTTACCGCAACATCCTTTATCAGCTACCTCAAAACCTGAAATAAATGAGATCATTTGAATAAAATTTAGTTTAAAATAGATAATAAAAATGAATTATAATTTATATATATGTAGATAAATCTGTTAGAAGGACTTACCGTATTTTTTAGGGTATTGGATCATGTCGAAAAGAGTATCATAAACATTAATGTAAAGGATAACACCATCCAACTCTTTATCTAAAGAATCTAGTGCTGGAGAAAGTCTTGCGTTAAATTGTTTTGCCATGTTGTTTAGAGGTTGATTACATCTTCTTGTAAAAAAACCTCCAAAAACTGTTCTTTGAAGAGGAACACAACCAACGGGGACTGCACTAAACACTCCAATTTTCCGAGCTCCAAGCTTATGTAATTCCTAAATATTAAACAGAGGTAGGATAAATTAGTTTTTGGATGTAACTATATTATTGATTAATTCATATATTATAATATATATAACATCATATCTTTGACATATAAAGTACTTACTCTCACGAAATGGACAGCAGAGTCAGCCAAGAAATTGGCGTAAGAGGTACGATCATATCTATGAGCTTGAGCTAAATAAGTGTGAGCAAGGTCATTGCTACTAGACACCACAAGAAAGAAACTATGTTCCAAGATATCTTTGGCTTTTTCTTCTCCGAAATGCCTCTTGATCTTTGATATATATTCTTTGAAATATATGAGTTGATCCCACACCGATATCACTGACTACAAAAATAAACAGAAATGTGAGAAAAAGGAATCACCCATAAGAAAAAAAAAAAAAAACTAACGATCGTGATGGAAAAACATTAGATATAATGTACCATAATTTTAGCTGTCAATGGATCATAACCAGTTCCTCCAGATGCAAATGTTACACCTTTAAGAAGATCCTCAGGCTTCAAATATGGATTCATATATGCTGGTAATGTCTTAGCCAATCCCAACTTTTCGGCTGAAATATATTTAAACATACTTATTAGAATATATAAATAACTATGATTCATAATTTAGTAAAATGTAACAATAATTCAAATGGTTACCAATAAGATCAGAAGGAACTCTTCCATCCGAAAATCTTCCAGTGGCGAAGCCTCCAGGATAATCTTTACCGTATGGAGGGAAGTTACATTTAAGAAGAGTAGGAAGATTATTGTTATTTCCTGTATCCATTATTGAATCTCCAAAAACTATCAGCGCCGGGATCGTTGCGTTTATCCCTTGCTTGACTGCATTAGCTTCAACGGTGATTAAAACCAAAGCGAGACATAGAATTTGAAGCTTCATTGTCTTGTTTGGTTTACTTTTCTAGTCGGTATTTGCTTGTTGTTTTACAAATTCAAAGACATGTGTGCATGCTTATATATCTTGTTTCTGTTTGTTGGATTTCTAAAATTATCTCTGAACAATAGTTGTTAGGTTTTATGCTATCTCCAGTTATTTATTACTTTGATATAATTAAGTTGGGACGACAGCAAAACTTTATTGTTCTTTCTTATCTATGTTTGGAATTTACACCAAAACAAGTAATGTAACCATAAGTTTGTTATAACACTGAATATAATATAATTTCTACCAAAAAAAAAAAAAACACTGAATATAATAAGCCATACTTGAATATAACGTTAAAAACTTTTTAATTTTGGTTAAAAAATAATTTTTCATTATACAGGAAAATATTTAAATTGTGATTAATAAAATCATCGAGTACTATTTATATTTATTATTTCAAAAAAATTAATTTTTTATTCTATTTTCGTGATATATATATACTAGATAAGGCCCGCCTAAATAGGCGGGTAAAATTATATAAATATAAATTGTTATCGATGATATTTGAATTTTGATTAATATAGTAATCCATTCACTTTTCCTAATATTTAATAAATTAGTATTTTTTGTTTTAAACAAAAATTAAATCTTACACATTCCATTTTTCTATACATTTTCACTATTTATTTCATCCTAATAAACTAAATTTTAATTCTACACACTCTTTCGTATTGATGATATTTAAATCCTAAATAGTAACCGACACAATTTTTATATATTTAATTTAGTATTTTTAAAAAATGAAATTTCAATCTTCTATTTTGCAATATAATTTAACTATTTATAACATCATAGGAAACTTGATTTTAAGTCTTCATAGTTCATCTTAATGGATAAACTGCTAATAATAATTTTGTATCAAAATCGTATATATATATCATATCAAATCTATATCTTAGTTAATATGAAAAATTTAAATATAATTAACAAATAACAAAATATTTAATAAAAAAATAGAAATCCACAAAAGTTATGGAAAACAAACATTGTTTAAAATATAGTTTTCTTTATAACGTAATCTCATAAGTTTGTTTTAGCTCATGGCAAACTAATTTTAAATGAGTTAAAATTAATAAATAAATTATTAAAATATATATATTAACATTCTCATTAAGTAATCAAAAATTCAATCATATAAGCCATTTTCCCAAGAGAAATTGTTAATAATGCCCTGTTTCACACACCCTTTTTTAACATTGCCCCTTTTTGCTTGCCATTTTTAAAAAGAGATAATTAGGTGTAAAATAGAATTCTGAGCTTAAATTAAATTTCTCGCAAATAGTTTTAAGGCCCAAACAAGATTAATATTTCGCACCCAAACTGTCCGACTTTACCCCCACGCGCCTTCGGAATTGAGTCTTCATTTATGTCAGATTAATTAATGCTGTGTCAATTCCCAGTCAAATAGCGTGTTATATTCAAACGATTCATTATGTTTTTGATACTTTATTATGTTTGAGACAGGACTTTTGGGTGTCCATCTGTCCAACCCTTCGGTATCCCGCCTTCTCGCACCCTAACCCTATTTCTACTGACATCTTTCTGGGTAAAACTATTCATTGCACCGATAAACCTCTCTCTTTATTCTCAACTCTTCTTTTTCTAAATCCTCTATAGCCCTCAATTTCGCACTCCCGCTGAAATAGTCTTAGTCGGAATCTTCACTTTCGTCGGAAGTCCTCGCATCCGTCATCAGTCTCAGCCGGTCGGTGGTAGATCGGAATTGCTTTTCGTTGACTAAATTGTTTTACAAGTTTTTGTTTTGTTCTCCCACTCTCTCTTTCGTTTTTATCTTGTGAATAATCGGCCTTTAATTTTCCGTTCTAGCATGCATATCTCTTTCGGTTCTGGTTTTGGTTTTCTATTCCAGATCTACATTTTTTTTTAGACATCCTTTTTTCTCCAGTCTGAATTTTTTAGATCTACAAAACCTATTACGGCTGCACCTTTTTTTATATAGCTTCGTCTCGATTTTCAAACTAATATCTAACCCTACCTTTTTTGCTTTTGGTTGGCAGATATGGATAACCATGGCCTACCGTCTCGTTTATTTGCTGATCGGGAAGAACCTGCTGGTGATAGGGTCAATCAGTATTTCAAGCTTAATACGATTCGGGTTGTGTTGAGGGCTCTTCAGCCTGAAGAACTTGAACAAATCCGTCCGGTCTTTGGGAAACTGCTTGAAATGTACGCTAAACCTGTCTTTTCTGGCAAACTGACTCATTTTTTGCTGACGCGGCAGTTGGATGTGGTCAGACGGCACGAGATCTGGGTTGTTTTTGCTGGGAAGCCGTTTAGGTTTTCCCTGAGGGAGTTCGGGATTGTTACTGGTCTAAACTGTAGGCCTCTGCCGCCGCTTGATCAGTCTTTGGTCAAGTGTCCGCCTGGTGTTACGCCTTACTGGTTCACGCTATTTGGAGGCGAGGAGTTTGTCACCGCCGAGATGTTACAGGCGAAGCTGCGGAGGCCGCGTGCGCTGACCAGTGAGTTAAGGGTTAAGTACGCATGTCTTCTGCTTGTGGATGGTCTTTTATGCCGCCGGTCGTTTAACATGAAAATTCCAAAAGAACATGTGGAGATGATTCGCAGCCTGGATGTTTTTTTGAACTATCCCTGGGGTCGCTACAGCTTTGACATGACAATGCAATGCATTAAGTCCAGGGCGGTTAATCAATTGGCGCAGGCGACTGTCGCCATCCAAGGTTTTATCCATGCTCTACAGCTTGTTTTCGTCGAGGCTGTTCCAGAGGTCCTAGATGCCGTTGGTGACGCGACGGATCCTGAGTCTGGTGGTGAAGAATTGTTTCCTGTAATTTCGTTGAAGCTGGATAAAGTCTGGGATTTAGATGTTCAAGAGGAGGTCTGTTCATATATCTATTTTTCTCTTTACACCTTCAATTGATATTACAGCTCTCCATATATTCATATTTCTATCTAATTTTCTTTGTTGTTCTTTTAATTCCTTGGAGGTCCAAGTGCTGCCAATTATTCCTGCCAATGAGGAAGGTGATGCTGTTGATGAGGGTCTTGCGGATTGCAGTTGGTCGGATGAAGTTGGCGACCCCAGTGTTGAATTCATGCTTCGACAGTTGGAGGATGGGGTTGTGTTTAAGCGTGACATGTTTGTAGGTGGTTTTAGAGGTCTCGCAGCTCCTGCACAGCCTCCTGCTCGTGTTGTCAAGAAAGGGAAACGCAAATGTATTGCCAAGTTGTTGCCTACAGAGATGTCCAATGGAGAGGCTTCTTCATCTAAGAAACTGAAGATGCGGTCACAGCGTACCAAGCTTGCCTGTGGTGACCCAAATTCTAAGTTGCTTGCTGCTGTGTCCTCGCAAATCCGAGCTGGTCTGAAAGAATCTCAATCTACTGTTTACGCTAACCTCTGTATTGATATCAAAGAGATGGAGTTGCGCCTCCAGCAAAGTTTCAAACAAAACGTTTTTTCTGTGGTGTCTGAATACCTAGCTGCGAAAGACACTGTCAACACTGTAATAGGCGATGTTGGGTCTGGAGGAGGGCTTCCTGAGAACCATATAAACCAGGCCCCGGTTCAACCTCAACCTTTGGTTTCTGACCCTTACCCACCAAAGGTTAGTTGTTTGTTGCCTAAAGCTATTTAATTACACCGTAGCTCCTTCTCATTCTTTTCTTACTCCTTTCTTTTTTGCTAGGCTTCTACTCCAACACTCCAAGGTGAAAATGGCAGTTCGACTGCGGCTGAAATTGCGGATAAGGTTTGCTTTTTTTCCTCTATACTGTTCTTCATATTTAATTCAAATTTCATAGATTTGTAACTATTATATTTGTAGTCATCCGGTAGTGATACTGTTGTGGAATTCTCTGAACAACTCCCTGATTCTGCTGCTGAGGCTGACTCTTCTTCTGATAAGTTCAAACTGTTAATCTCGCATCTGGTCCCGACTATGTAAGTATGCCTACCTTGGTTTCTCATGTTCAGTTGTTTGGTATCTATTTTACTAATTGAACATTCAATTCTGCATATGGGGATGTATGTTCATTTGTTAATGTTCATGATTTCATATATTTTGTTATGTAGGGAATTCTCGGTTGGCGAAGGATTAGTCCTTAAAGACAAAGATGTTCTTAACATACCCATCATTATTCCACCAGACTCCCCCCAGGTCTGTACCAATGTCTGTTTCTCCTTCCCTCATTATTTTCATACTTTATTTCTTATTTGCCCTACCTGTAGGTCATGGATTCTTGTGTTCTTGTCATGCGAGACTCTCTCTTCAACAATGTTGATCCTGCCTCTGACCCTAGAGCCGAGTTCATGCGGTCTAACTTCCCTGGCTCCTTGGCTGTTGTCTATTCTAAGTTTAAGAAGACTTCTCGGAAAGAATTGTTTGATTTTGATCCTGAAGTTCTGGATGCGGTCATTGATAGGTCTAAGCTTAATGGTCGGGAGTGGATCACTCACATTGATTGCTTGTACTTCCCGTTTAACATCGACAAGAATCGATGGATTGCTGTCATGGTCAACTTGCGTAATCATGTCCTCACAGTCTTTGATCCCAATGCTGATGCTTGCCGTGGTTCTCGATTGAAGCCCCAGCTCGATTTTATCTGCGAGATGTTTCCATACTTCGTGCGTAAAGTCGGTCTCAATGATTTGATGTCATCGTTTTCATTGGAGCCTTTGGCATTCAACCGCGATACCTCTGTTGTCCAAGCTTCTGTTCGTTCTAATACTGGGATCTTATCTCTTCTGTTTATAGAGGCGCATGCCCTTGGTGGGTTGGAGAAGGTGTACCAGGTCAACGAGTCTGCTATCCGTCCACGGGCTGAAGCCTTGGCGGTTGAGCTTTATGAGCACTGCTGCGGTGAGCTTGGTGCTGACTAAGAGGCCGTATCTTCTGCCTATTTCTTCGCTTTTTAGCTTGAACTATGTTTGTTATCATCGCTGTGTCCTTTTGAACATTTCCCTTCGTCGCGTTGTTTTTTGGTTTTGCTGCTACTTAGTTTCAATGTTGCGGATGCTATCCATGTACTCTTTACCCCCAAAACTCTATATTAATTACTATCTAAATGCTTGCATTCAATCTGTCAATCTTATAGCAGTATGTCTGTTATTATCCGTCTATGTTTACTTGTAAACATGCATTTTTATTTGTAGACATTTATTTTAGAATATATAGCCGCCTCTTTATTGGTTTCTCTCTATCCGCGTGACTATCCTTGCAGGCATTTATGGATTGCTTTTACTTGTTTTTATTTCTACTTTTTGACACAGCAGAGACTAGCTTTGCTTTATGTGGAGCATTTGGAAAATCATTTGCAGTGATATCTTAACATTACACTAATATTTAAACATTCTTTTACAAAATATCCAGATAATTACCTTAAATTAGCGATTGTCTTGACGTACATACCTAGAAATTGATCACTACACAATAGTTTAATAACTATTGATTAAAATACATCGGCACTTGTACTTGATCGAGAGGCAACGAAATATAACTCTACTTAGTAGTTTAGCTAGCTATAGACATAAGTACATTTAAACTTGCCCGCCGTTGGGTCGGGGTTTGGTTATCGTCTTACCTTAATCCATGGACGACCGTCGCCACTACACAAATAAACCCAACCCACGATATAAGAACAAAGTGGCGGAGCGTCTGTTCCGCTTGGTGGCTTGCCTGAAGTTCACTTCTAAGGATTAGGATTTCCTTCTCCAACTTCTCTTTCGAACTTTCTCCCTCTTGTTTTGCAATGTCCGCCTCGGTTTTCGTTTCCTCTTTTTTGGCTTCTTGTAGCAGCTTTATCGCCTCTTTCTGCGATCTTATCACATCCCGCGCCTCCAGTAAAGCACTTTTCTGCCAACCGTGTGGTTTTTCGAGGTCACGCCACTGGAAGAAGTCGCACACGCTTCTCCAAGCTGCGCCGCAGCGGTAGAAACGTCTCCCTGGGTTTGCGTCGGTCCACGCTTGGCTGATCATTGCTGGTTTATCGCAGTCGCAGAGAACCCGTTGGTCCGGTGGCATGGTGGTCCTTGTCATTCCCGCAGAGCTCGAAGAAGTTCCCGATGTTTCGCTAAGCATTTTTCCAGATCTATTTCTGATTGTTTATTCTGTGGTGGGGGCTTGGTTGTGTAGCTCTTATTTATGGCGGCTCCGTGGCTTTATGTGGCCCACATAATCGGGATAACTTGGTGCCCTCTAAACCTAATTTTTGAATTTAGTTTTGCTTCCCACTTGGATAGCCCTCCAAATTTATATATACAGTTGTACACGAATATATATAATGGTATTTTATTTGGAGGATGGTCCTCCGGAATTGTATATAGTCCGTAGTTGCTCGTTCTTAAGGTCTCCAGTTTTATTTATGTTTGCCGTAGGTAGGTTTTATATGAAGCCGGGATTTAAACGAGAATCATAACTGAATTCAGAAATATATTACATTACAAGGCGTGCGGACTCAAACGATCGACGCATTACACCTGGTTAGGACTAGTTCAACATAATTTAAAGACATTGGTGGAAGGCATGTTCGCACCCATACATATTTAACTTAAACGGTGGGTCTCTACTTCAATATCTTACAAACAAAACACAAAAGCTTCCCACTCATAAACCCCGAAACATCAAGCAAACTTCCGCCTAGCTGCTTTACACATCCAAAATATGCAGCTCCACATATCTGCATAGACGTTTATATTTGATTATTACTAGCTATATTGAATTATTAGGGACAAATAGTATGTAAGTGAATTTAGGATGTTTACCTTACATTGCCATCTCGAACCTTTAGATTGGCATCTTACATGTCGCCCGGTTATGCCCAGGCCCACGGCAACGGGTACAGCTCCGTTTCGCCTTCTTCCTCGTCAGCTGCATAGTAATACAGACCAACTGTCAATTGTAGCGCTATATCTTATTTTGTACATTGCTATTGTATTTCTTACAACCCACTATCTACCTTACACTCTCCACTTGATAGGTATCTAGAACGCTTTGGCCTACCTGGTGGCCTTTTGGTCAGTGGTGGGTGAACTGTCCTTGTCGCAATTGTATCCGGTATGTCTCGGAGAGTGCTCATGTCGGGCACTGGATATATGCTGCCATTGTAGGCTAGGCTCCAGAAGAACGTCCCGTAGTGTGGTGCAGCCAGCTCCTCAACTTTGATTTCTGTTTGTCCAGCAGCTGCTATGGCGTGGCTGCAAGGTATTTTGAGCAGCGTGAACTCTTCACACGTGCAAGATTTGTTTTGGAGGTCCACAATATAAGATAACCACGTTGGGGTTTTCACTTCATAGACATCCTTGCTAATTTTTAGCACTTCATACGCTGTTGATCTCATGTAGCTTTTGTTGACAATCTCCTCCACTTTAGGCGTTAGAGCCCTATCATGTCGCATTGCCTTGTCCCGCCTCTTTGTAAACCATGACATAAGTGTTCCTCTGATGTACTCGAGAATGGACACAAGAGGCATCTCTCTCGCCTCCTTTAGCACGGCATTGAGTGACTCCGCCACGTTGGAGGTCATTATGTTGTACCGATCGCCATCGCAGTGCGACCTTGTCCACTGGTGCAATCCAATTGACATCAAGTACTCAGCACATTCAGGAGATACACGCTCTATTTCCGCAAAGTATTCGTGGAATGTTGCTTTCCGGAAAGCTCTAGCTGCCTTTGAGATCAGGGCTGCTAGGACGCGTGTCTTAAACTTGGCCGCTACGTTTCTTTGCAGATGGACGATACACGCACCATGTGAGGCCGTGGGATACACCTGTATGTGGTTTTCAAGTTAGATATTTTTTTTATTATCGCAAAAGGACTATTGATATCAAACGTACTCCAGCACCTAGTGAAATACAGATCTAATTATTTGTTTGGGGCGTTAATTCATTTAGTAGACGTACCTTGTCGATACCGCTATGAATTGATGAGTGGCGGTCAGAGACAAAAGTCAGGGTGTCATCGTCCGGAATGAATTTTTTTAGGCAGCTAAAGAACCATTCCCACGCCTTGTCATTTTCACTGTCCACGATTGCGAACGCGATGGGAAAAATTTGAAAATTACCGTCTTGTGCACTAGCCGTAAGAAGGCAGCCCGCATAACGGCCTCGCAAATGAGCCCCATCTATTATCAGGACATTTCTCATGAACCTCCACCCCTTCACACTGGCCCCAAGCGCCACAAAGCAATATTTGAACCTTTCATCCCCGTTGACATCAACCTCTGTCTGTAGCTCTGTTATAGTCCCCGTGTTTGCTTGCTCTAGCATGTGAAAGTAGGTGGGAAGTAGACGGAAACTCCCAGCCGCCGAACCCTTAGCCATATCCATCGCTAACTCCCTTGCCCTCCACGCCTTCCAGTAGGAGACATTCACACTGTGCTCGTCTCGCAAAGCCTGGCGGAGTGCAATGGGGCTTGGGCCAACCCCAACCCCACTGTATCTTGATCTCATAATCTCGGATATGACTGAAGTGGTTGCTTGCCTTTGGAACATGTTTCTCGCTTCAATTGGGCATGTATGTTCTAGTTCAGCAGTTCGGATTTGGAAATAGTCTGTGTCGTCCAAGCGGACCACGTAAACCCTCCAGCGACACGCGTCAGACACACATCGGACTATGACCACGTCATTGGTTGTCCTGTCATTGCGGTAGCTAAACCTGCGATTTATCGCATGGATTGCTATTTTCACCCTGCAGTCGTCTCTGTTCTTGAAGACCCGTCCGATGAATAGCTCATCTCCTTCGTAGTCCCCATCGAGAACAACCATCCTCGTTCTATCCCCGCCTGAGTGCAAATGTAACAGAAAAATTCCAGATAAATATCTAATTAGTATGATATATGTGTTATGCTACAATCAATCTACATGTTTTTATAGATCTCTAAATAAATATTTAACCCTTACCTTCTGGATCTGTATCATCGATTACTGGTGCTGCGTCCCTAGCAAAGGTTGCATCTGGGAGGTTTAGATATCGGAACAAGCCTTCAGTTGGATTGCTTGCTGATTGGCGGTTTGAGGTTTCGGAAACCGCGTCATCACCTATAGAAATAGATACCGCTAAACATTAAAATATATAACTCTATAAATTAATAATATCCGCTATAAACAAAAATACATGCGAGAACCGTTCCCGATACCTCCCTCAGGTTGCGAGACATTCTCCGTTTCAGGTGCCGGTATAGAACCCCTGTTTCCACTTCCATATGCCTGATCTGAGCTGTCCCCTTCGCCCTCTAGCCATTTTTTGTGTTGTTAGGACAGATAGATCTTAACTTAGAATGGTAGAGCACTATATTTAACTTCACCAACCTTTTTCAAATTCTTTGAACAGATCCCTAGTCAACCGCGTCACCCGGAGGTTGGCCTCATCACCGTCTGAACTTTCAGCTGGGTTTAGGACACTCACTGGAGACCTATTCACGGTCTGCTCGTTTACAGCATCCCTGAAGTGCCTAGCTGCTGCGGCTAGTGTTGGGAACCCTCGTTCTAGGTATGTACTCCCTATCCATCCGGGTGCACTGCTACTGCCTCCGTCATTCCTTGGTAGTTGGCTACAGATGACGCCGTCAATCGCCTCTTTTGCAGCTCTGCGCTCCATTTCCTTGGCCACCTCATCCTTGCTCATCACCTCCCCAAAGCTGTGGTCAGTTACAACTGGAACATGTTTGAAGCCGTCAAGCTCGAGGCTCATGTTTAGAGGCATTGGAACTGCTAGCAGCGTCATCTCATGGATATCCACACGGATCGCCAAGAACATGTCCATATCATCGTCGCTGACGATGTGAATCGGAACTGGCTTCACCGTCCCATCAACATCCATCCATTCCGGCACCTGGTACGTCAGCTCAATCTTCTCCTTCGTCGTGTCAATGCTGAGCTCCGTCATAACCTTCGTTTTGGTTGCCTCCACGCCAGTACCCTCCCTTAAACGCACGTATTTGCCTGGCCTGTCCGATAACTCCACGAACCTCCACACACCGCCTCCATCTTTCATCCACCATCCTTGCTGAACGCGAACCTGACCGGTATATGATTCGTTTGTCTCCTCCATTTGCAAACCCCCTGTATATACCAATAACAACCGACTTACTAAATTAGAAAAATATTCGACTCTACAATTGTTTATGAAGAAGCACTACCCCTACCTCAGTTATTGATCTATCCTGCCGATGTAGAGACTCACAATTTTTTCCCCGTGTTGCTATTTTTTTTTTTCAGTAGCACACCCAAACAGACCGGCGTTGTTCCCCTATTTATTGAACATCCATGCTTCGAAGTTAGGGCTTCAAAATTTTAAATTCCCGCCCGTTTGCTTCAATTCAAACCGGCGACATGAGTATTAAATGCGTGCGCAGTCATCACATCATCGTCACTTCATTCTCTCTGTCGCCGCATAAGTGTCCTTTCACCTGCGGTGCATTAAATGCTGAAGCTTCGGAAGTCAACTTTTGTTGCATACGCGCGCCTCATGGTTTTTCCGTAAATAGATAGATTCCGAGGTCCTTTTTTTGCTGTTTTATATCGCCCTTCATAGGTAGACAAACTAATTGTCTCTGACCTCATTTATTTGCCCATTTTTCACTCTCACCAAATCGTCTCTTTTAAAAATACCCCTTAATTAATTCAAATATGACCAAAGTACCCTTGCTTTCATAACCTAAGATCTGCACGGTTCTATCAACCATTCTCTCTCTTTCTCTCACTTCGAACGGCGACGATTTTCCGATCTCGATTCCGATATCAAATCGGCGTCTCCTTTCGATTTCGCTTTCTATCGGTGGTAAAATCTCGTTGTTCGTTTTCGATTTGATCTGTTCGATTTCGATCTGTTCGATTTCGATCGGCGTTAACATCTTTTTGTTCGATTTTGATTTCCCAGCGTCTCCGTCTCCGTCTGTGTTTTATTTCGATCTGTCCCACATCGATTCCAGGTTAGATTCCTCACTATGTTTTAGAAGCTTTTTTGAAAGGTTTGTCTTTTGGAAGTTAGATTCTGTGGTTTGATTCTGTGTTTCTGTGAAAGTTTTGTCTTTTTGAAGCTTTTTTGATCTCATTATTGACTGATAACGCTTGATTTGACTGCTTGATTTTGAACTGTAGATTTTACAACATTTTTAAAGGTTCGTTCTTAACTTGTAAATGCTTCTTAATGCTTGATTTAGGGTATATCCTCTCTGATTTATTCCATTTCTTGATTTTATAACCGTTAACTGTGGATTTACAACATTTTTTAAAGGTTCGTTCTTAATGCTGAATTATTCATTTGCTGTAATTTACAACCGTTTTAAAAAGGTCTTAAATGCTGAATTATTCCTTTGCTGTATTTTACAACCGTTTTAAATGTTTTACATTCTTGATATGGTTTTTATGCTTGGTTTTTACGCAGATGTCTAACAATGACTCATTGGATGTGCTTAACCTACCGCCCCGTATATATAATCCCGGGTTTGAACCAAACATTGGAGCTGTTGTTATTCAACATTTCGAAACGCATTTGGTCAAAAAAGTTGAGCTCGCACTAGGGGAGGAACAGTTTAATCTAATTAAAGCCTCTTTCCTTGGTCCTATTATTGAACTAGCAAAAAGAAGTGGAGTTAATTTTTCGGGGAAGATTTTCCACTTCTTGATGCAGCGAAGGTTGCTTTTAAAGGAGAAGAATCTCTGGTTCACATTTGACTCCCAGCCAATGCGATTCTCAGAGAGAGAATTCTTGCTTACCACAGGTATATCTAAATTAGTTTTGTTTTGTAAGTTTTTAATCAATTTACAATGTGTTTTAAAAGTTTTACAATGTATTTAAAAACATTTAACAATGTGTTTTACAAGTTTTTATAAAACTCTAATATCAAATTTGTATTCACTTACAGGTGTTCAGTGTGACCTGATTGATAGTGAAATGCTTCGAAAAGGCAAAGCTCCATCAAAAGCTCCATATTTCTGGACTCAGAAAGAGCATTTTACGCTGGAACAACTCCAAAAACGTTTGTTTGAACCAAATCAGCTGCATCCGCTGGATGCTGAAGAGAAACTGAGTCTAGGTATGGTAATTTTGACAGAAGCCTTTCTCTTTACACCAGGTTCGTTGGAGAAAATCCCTTTGTCTAGACTGGTACATGCTTCAGAATTCGCAATCTACACATCTCAACCGTGGGGCAAGCATGCATATAGGGTTCTTGCTACAAGCATCCAACGGATAAATGAGAATACTTGGGCAAGAGGCACATATGAAGTAAAGGGCTTTGCAATGGCGATACTACTATGGGCCTTCAGCGCAGTTCCATCTTTGGGCTCAGCGTTTGCAACAGAATGTGTTACATCGAGATCTGAGTATCCTTTGTGTTTGAAATGGGAAACAACTCAAACACCAAGATTTTCTCATCTTGTCGATGTCGTCAAAAAAATGAACTCAGTAAGTGTGGAATCCCCTCTTTTAATTGCCTTAGTTTTAAGATTGATTTTCAACATATATCATATTTTTACAAGAGTTTTTAAAGGTTTTACAAGTTCTTTTCTTTTGCCAGGTCAAGGTTAATACAGTGATTGGAAACCCGTACGAATATAGCTATTTAGTTGCTAGTTCGCATGAAGACGACATAGACTTCGAAGAAATTGTTCGTCTTGTTCAAAAAGGATACAGACTCAAAGCAACTGATTGGAGTGCTGGATTTATTGATATTTTTACTGTATTACAAGAAATAGGGGAACAAACAATGAATAACAACTTGTCTGACAGCCAGAAACTCGACAAGATCCTAAATTTACTTCAAGACTTCAACAGGAGGATTGCAGTAATAGAGTATGTTCTTAAAAGCCGTCTTGAAAAAGATGAGACTGAGAGATGCAAAAAAAAAGAGGTAATTAAATGGGATTTTTTTTTTTTTTTTTTGTCAGTTACATGTGTATATAGTATATATTAAGATATCTGTATCCTTTTTTTTGCAGTCTAATATACAAGAAGAAACATGTGCCAGAACAGAAGAGGTATGTGAATAATTTTATTAAATCCTTTTCAATCAAAATTCGGATAGCTTTTTACAAGTATTCAGAATGTTTTTAAAAAGTTTTTATAACTCATCTTAAATAATTTACAAGGTTTTTTAAAAAGTTCTTACAAAGGTATTCAAACTTTTTTGTTACATATTGTTTTTTGTTTACTGAATATGATTGTTTTGATTCTGTAGCAGTCTGACAAAGCTGGTCCCAATATAGATGGTGATATTGGTGTTGATGGTGATAGCAGAGAAGGTGATGAATGTGGTCCAAGTAGAGATGGTGAAATTGATGTCGATGGTGATAACAAAGAAGATGATGAATGTGGTCCTAGTACATTTGAAGATTCCATTCGTGAGCCAAACACAGAGGACGGGAGCTATGCTGGAGATGATGAAAACAGCCAGAAGATTCGTTCTGAAGATGATACAACTGAACCTACAGCAAAGGTATATTGATCTACTTTTGTTTAAAAAGTCCTTGATATCTGAGTATCATTTTTGGTACTAATCCTATGGTTTTACAAGAGGTTTTAAAGTGTTTTAAATGGTTTTACAAGGGTTAATATGTTTTACAAGGGTTTTATAAGGATTTTACAAGGGGTTTTAAAGTGTTTTAAAGGGTTTTACAAGGGTTTTAAAAAGATTTTATATAGATCTTACAAGTGTAACAACTTTTTGAAAACCCCTACCCTAAATTTCTCTACTCCAAATTTCATTATTATCTGAGAATCATTTTTGGTACTAATCCTATGGTTTTAAACACTTTTATAGGATAAAACCCCTACCCCAAATTTCTCTACTCCAAATTTCAATATTATCTCTAAAGATAGTCAGGATAAGGAGAAGGAAGGAATTTCAGTTTCTGAAACAAACAATGAGGCATGTAAGAAAAGTTCTGAAAGTAAGAAGTACTGTAGAAAGAAGAGATATGTCAGAGAAAGAAAAGAGGTTAGTATTCAATATTATAAAAGAAGATTTCTTACAAAATGAAGGTCAATTTAGAGATATGTTTTAAATGTTTATAATGAAATATATTCAAAGTACTTACAGGGGACTTTTTTTTTTTACTTTTTTCACCTGCAGACAAATAAGCGTAAACAAGGGGATAATTCTTATAATGATATTCCTACAAGAAAACAGGTAAGAATTCTATTTTGTAAAACAATCTGTTCGTTTTTATAAACTAATTTCACAAGGAATGCATTGTTGCATTTCTTTTGTACATATATAAGCAAAGACATTACAAGTTTTACAAATTGTAATGTCTTTTATTACTTCACAAGGAATGCATTGTTTTAAACTGAGTATTCGTGGCATTGTTTGAAATTTTTACAAGTTGTTTTTATAAGTGTTATTTTGTTTTTTTTGTTTGCAGCCTCAGAGAAAAAAATGCAAAAATACTGACAAAGTTGCTGCTGATCTTGGAACAAGAACATGTGATCAAGAATTAGGGGATAAAGCTGATAATGATGTTCCACTAAAAACTAGTCAACAAGATGTAGATAATAAATCAAAAGCTGATGGTCCATCAAGAAGAAGCCAGCGAAGTCAAGTGCCTTCCATTTATTCTCAGCCACCTTACACGGCAGAGAAGAAGAAGCACCCAACACTTCACCCCTTTGCAAAAGTTGACACAAAAAGGTTTGAAAGTTTATGTGAATGGAAGAAGTCGACAAAAAACAAGTGAGTTTTAAGTTTGTAAAACTCAAAATAATATTCATAACGTATTTTAAAGGTTTTACATCATCTCTGACTTTTACAATGTATTTTAAAATGATTTTACAACGTATTTTAAAGATTTTACATTGCCTCATTGGATGTTACATTGACTCATTGGATGTTCTTAGAATTATATATATATATTTGTTGTAGGGTGCTAACAGTTGGGGGAATCAAAGTAGATTCCAAATGGTTCACAACACTAGAAACGCAGGGGAAACCAATATCAGGATCGGTATGTATGATTTTCTTTAAAGTATTCTAATCTTGTAAAACTTTAAAAAACCATTGTAAATTTTAAAGTTCATATAGACTAGCAAACATGAGTAATTTGTTTTCCTTTTTGTGTGTGTTTTTCTTAGCATGTTGATGCAGCTTTACACTTGATCAAAACTAGAAGGGAAAATCATCCAGAAATGTACCTTAACAAAACTGTTGTTTTTGTTGGATCATCTTTCTTAAATGCGATTGACGATGAGTATGCTGAGTTTGTAGTCGCAAAAGATGATTTTCAGTTTAGTTCTGAAGAGATAAGTAAGCTGGAGATTGGAAGCAAGACAAATCACATATATGCTCCTATGTGCTTGAAAGGAAAATGTTGGGTTCCAGTAGTGATCAATATCGAGAGAAGGTCTTTGATCATTCTCGATTACGCGACATCATTTGTTTCAGAAAATGTTAAAAGGATGCATGTGGTTGCATATTCTGTTGCGATGCCGTACATTTTGCGCAAGCTCCTCAACAAAACAGATATGGATGTTTCAGCATTCAAAATATCTGTAGTGGACAATATATCACAGGTAAATTTTGTGATAAGTGAGATTGTAGATTGTATTCATTAAAACCTTTTTTATATGTCTTTTTTTGTTTTTGATGCTAGGCTGAAAAGATTGAAGATACTGGGATGTACATGATGAAGATGATGGAATGCTATGCTATGCATATTAATGCAAATGAGAAACTTTCAGAAGGAAAAATTGGAGACATGAGAAAGAAACTTGCGGTTGACATCTTTACAGAAATAACAGATTTCTAGGTAAGACTTCTCTGAGGTTTTAACATGTAAATTAGAAACCTACAACTAAGCTTATATTTCTTGATTTATTACTTTGATCAGGGGCTAATTGTAAGAGCTGGGAAGAAAAGATTGCTGGGGGAAAAATGATCTGTTCTTTTTGAAGAAAACGTTGCTGTTTTACAAATTTTTAATTTTTGCTGAGAATATCTGTAGTGATTTTCCCATGAATTTTACTTTGTATAACTCTCTAGTTGTGAATTTAAGTTTTTTTTTTTCTATGTACCTGCATCTATAACATCCAGTCTTCATTTATACCATTTTCTCTTTTGATGTTAAGTTTTACAAGCTATCTAAACATTTTACAATGTTAAGTCTTCATCTATACCATTTTAATGTTTTTACAATGTATATGATTATATATAGAAAGAACTTTTAAGGTTTTACAATGTTTATAAGCTTATGAAAATAAAACCATCTTATTTATATTTTTATCAAAATTTTCATGATTCTTTAAATTTACAAGTGTTTTACAAAGTATTTTCAAGTTTTTAAAAGATTTTTCAAAATTTTGCAAGGTAATTTTAGTTTTATAATATATTTTTCAAAGATTTACAGTGTGTTTTAAAAGTTTATAACGTGTTTTAAAATGGTTTTACAACCTGTTTTTAATCGAACTAAGAATAAGATAGTTGTAAATAGTTGGGCCGAAATAAAAAAGAAAAAACCTTTAAAACACTTTAAAACCCATTTGATAGAGAAAAAAAAAAAATAGAAGGGGAAAAAAAACCGATTCTCTCAGTCTCCTTCTCCGTTGAGTACAAGAAGAAGAAATTAAGGGTTTTCGCTTAGCTTCACGGCTTTAGATTCTACAGTTTCGGTTCCATCTCGGCTTCTCCGTTTTCATAAGGTTCAATCTCGTCTTCTCCGTTTTCATAAGGTTCAATCTCGACTTTTCGGCTTCTTCTTCGATTTCATCTGCCTAGGGTTTTGGGTTCCGTCACATCAGTCGATTTTACGGTTAAATTACTTTAAAACTTCGTTACTTTTTTGATTCATATGCCAAATTAGGTTATTTCCCCTTCAAAATCGAGTTTTTGTGACATTGTATGATTTTTGAGATTTTGTGATTTTTTTTTTTGTAGATCCGTTTTTATTCTTACAAGGACTTAAAAGGACTCTAGAAATTCAATTAATTTTACCTTTGTTTTAAAATCTTTTACAATCGATTTTACAAGCAATTTAAATGGTTTTCAAAAGGGATCTAAATGGTTTGATTCTTTGAGAATGTGTTTGAGTATTGATGAGACTTTTCACTTTTCACAAAGCTTCCAAGTAGATAATGATGTTTGCAATGTACTACTCTATTTGCATTTCTAGAGTTGTTCGTTTACATGATTTAATTTTACATGCGTTTTTAAAGCTTCTTAAAGCTGTTTTACAAGCAGTTTAAAAGCTTATAAAGGGGTTGTAAATGGTTTGATTTTTTTGAGAATGCTTTTTGATGGAGATGTTTTAATTGTTTTTCTATCTTTCCTGCAACACGGTGAAAAATGAGTCAACCTACAAAGAGGCTGTTTCTCCCAAAAAGACTGATTGACCCAGGGAATGAGGTGGATAATTTGCAAAGATTATCAAAGTATTCTTCAGAGAAACTTGTATTGAATGTTGTCAAGCATTCACTTAGTCCCACTGAGTTCAATCGGATTCAGAATTCTTTCTTGGGACCAATCATAGATTTTGCGGAACGTGAAGGGATCTGTTTCTCATCACAGCTGGTCCATCACTTTCTTCAGAGAAGAATAATGGTTAACAATGAGGAGTTGTGGTTTGTCTTCTCAGAACAACCCCTCAGATTTTCTCTGAGGGAGTTTGTTATTACTACAGGGCTGCCTTTGGGTGATGATGCATCACAAAGCCAGTCAAGACGAAAAAAGAGAAAGAAAGAAGATACATGGATGAAGGATGGTTTAAGTTTGAAAGATCTCCTTAAAACCTTGTCTACAAAACGCGATGAGATGGATGATGATGAGAGGGTTAGGTTAGGTGCTCTGATTCTAGTGGAGGGCATCTTAATTGCTTCAAACCCTGTAAACAAGATAGAGAAAGAACATCTGCAAAGAGCTAGTAGTTTCACAGAGTTCTGCAAGTATCCGTGGGCTCGCATTGTTTACGGGTCTTTGGTGGATTGCTTGAAGAAGATAACTCCGACTCAATTGTTTAGAAACCAATGTGGGCTTCCTGGGTTTGTTTTTGCAATCCAGATTTGGGCTTTAACCGCAGTTGCAGAGTTGGGACAGAATTTTGGCAGTCGGGTCCTAGAACCCAACGACAATCGTCCACTGATTTCGCAATGGATGACAACAAAATGCCCAACTAAGAAAGAAATAGCAAAAGTTACAAAGGTTGCAACGGTATGACAGTTTTTCTCTACTACTTTTTTCCAACTAATAAGGTTTACAATTGTTTTACTTTGTTATACAAGAATTTTAAGAAGTTTACAAGGGTTTTAAAAAAATGGCAAGATTTTTACAAGACATTTTTAAAGGTTTTACAAGACATTTTAAAAGTTTTTACAAGCTTTAATACAGATTGTAAAACCTTTAAAATAGATAGTAAATGCTTTATGAAATAATTGTGGATCACATTTCTAACTTAAATTCATATTCTTTTTTATGCAGTTTGATATTAAACATATCATTGGCGATCCTGAACAATATTCTCATTTGGTTCTCCCCCCAAATCCAGAAGACAAGGACTGGTTTGAAGTCTTTGACCTTGTAGTCCAAGGTTATAGGATGACCAGGCAACAATGGATTCATGGATGGATTGAGCTTGCAGAATGGAAAATGCAAAAGCCTGTGAATCAGCCTAGACAAAGGCAACCAAAGTCTGAGACTGTAAATCAGACAAAACCAAGGAAATCAATGTCTTATAGTGAAATACTAGAACTGATCTACAAGTCATGTTTAGAATTGAACAAGAGAATGTTGGTGGTGGAGAAACATTTAGGGATCAAAGCACCTGATGCCAGGGATGATGAAGGAAAGGAATTCCCAGCTTCGTCAAGTGGAGTTGTAAGTGGAAACAAAAACGATATCTTTTTAAATATATCTTTGATCTATAGGATGGTCAAATTTGATTATGTTTAAATATATTTTTGGTGTTACAACAGAACAAAAAGACTGAAGAAGAGTTTATAATTGTCTCTGATGATGAAGAAGAGGTTGAAATACCAATCAACAATCAAGAAAACAAACAAACAGAGACCAGAGAAGAATCATGCAGTCCACCTGATGAAGATTCACACGAGAATGTGAATGATGAAAACGTATGTAACTAAATGAATCTGATTGGTTTTTATAAAGAATATCTGTAGTGATTTAAAATGTCTTTTAAATTTATAGGTTGCTCAAGAAGAGGGAGCCACGGATGAGGTTCCACATGCTACTGAAGAAAGCGATCCACAATGCTCGAATGTCAATGATAAGGTATGCTTTAGAAGATTTACAACGTTTTTAAAGGATTTTACAACTTATTTAAAAGTTTCTATAAAAAATTTACAACCTATTTTAAACTATTTATAGGTTTCTCAAAAAAAGGAGAAACAACATGAAGAGATGAGAAACATGGATGGGGCTCCACAGGGAACTCAAGAAAGTGATTCACAACGATCGAATGTGAATGATAAGGTATGCATTAATGAATAAGATTTATAAAAAAGTTTTTTGTAATGTTTACAACATTTTTTAAAGGATTTTACAACTTATTTATAGGATGACAAATGTTTCTACAACTTATTTATAGGTTGCTCAAACAGAGGAGGCACAACATAACAAGATGGGACACTCAGAGGAGCCGTCACAAGAGAGTGATTCACAACAATCGAAAGTGAATGATAAGGTATGCATTAGTTAAATCATAATAATTTACAAAATTATTTTACAACGTTTTTTACAAGGTTTTAGTACGTATTTAAATGATTATAATAAGACGTTTTCATGGTCTTCTGTGTTTTGCTAATTTATTTCTCTAGGAAGAAGAAGCTCGGCTAAAGAAGGAACATTCAGGTACACCATTATTTTTTTTGTTAAAAATGATGTTTTTTTTTAATAATAAAATGGAACATCTAATATTTTCATGGTGTCATTTACTGTCCAAGATCGAAAACTAAGTGACATAGAACAGAAGGAAATTGATGATAGGGTCATACTCTGGGCTAAAAACAAGAACTTCATTTTTATGATATCATCACTTCACCAGGTAATCTTATAATAATTTGTTATTTTTCTCATAACTACAAAAAGTAACGAAATTTATTATACATTACAGATTATTTGGTCCAATAGTTCATGGGAGACTGTTCATCACTTCAATTTGGTAAACAATGACAATGAGATAGGTTTAGCAAAACGTAAAGCACTGCTTGCTTTACATCCAGACAAACAACATGGAGCTAGCGCCGAACAGAAGTATCTGGCAACAAGACTTTTCAGCGTAATAAAGGTTAGTTTAAAACAGTTTTTCAAAATAAATGCGAAAACAATTTTTTTATGTTGAATCGTTTCTTATTGTTTTTTTATTAACTTATTTTGCAGCATGAATGGGATATCTACATCAGGAAAAAGCAAGTGTGAAAGAATGTAGTTAACATAAGTTCCTTTCTTATTGTAGTTATCTTTTTAAACCAGTATGTTATTTTGTAAAACAGTGATAACGAATGTGTTTATGGAACAGTTTATTAGATGAAGGATATTGTTAACTATTGCAATTTATATCCAGCTTGTTTCAAAGTGTTATAAAGGGTTTTACAAGGGTTTTTATAGGTTAATACGTTTTTACAAGATTTTTATAAGGGTTTTACAAGAGGTTTTAAAGTGTTTTAAAGGGTTTTACAAGGGTTTTTGTAGGTTAAAAGGTTTTTACAAGAGTTTTTATAGGTTAATACAAGTGTTTATAAGGGTTTTACAAGGCTTTAAAAGATTTATGATGTTATTTCTATAAGGAGGTTTTAAGGTTTTTACAATGGTTTTTAAAGTTTTTTAAAGCGTTTTATAAGGGTTTTACAAGGGTTTTTATAGGTTAATACGTTTTTACAAGGGTTTTATGATGGTTTTAAAAGAGGTTAAAAAGTGTTTTTAAAGTGTTTTACAAGGCTTTTTGTAGGTTAAAAGGTTTTTACAAGAGTTTTATAAGGTTTTACAAGGTTTTTTAAAGTGTTTTAAACGGTTTTACAAGGGTTTTAAAAAGATTTTATATAGATCTTACAAGTGTAACAACTTTTTGAAAACCTAGTAACACCTTTCTCCAAGAATAAACGTAAAAAAGGTTTTATAACAAGTTATGAAAGTTTTTCAATAATATTTTTTAAAAAAGTCACAAAATACTTAATATGTTATGTAATAAAATAAAATAAAACTATATTGGAGCCACACAACTACTTTTGTTGTGTCCATTTTGACCACACCGACGACATTTGTAATTTGTTGCAGATTTTCCATACTCCCATCCACTAGGTATTCTCTTTTTCTTAGGCCTGCCACTAGGAACACGAGAAGATGGTGGTCGACAAACAAAAGCAGCAACATCGGCTGGAATCTCCCATTGTGTCCTATCACCAACGGGATATATACTCTCTGAATATGCTAGCGTCCACCTGTCAAACAAAGATGTAATTTTAAAAAATTGTAAGAGTTTTTAAAGGTTTGCAAGACAATCAGAAGGTTTTTTTAGGTCTTACAAGGTTTTTAGAGGTTGAACAAGTTTTTACAAGACATGATAAGGGTTTCACAATGTTATTATAATATTTTACAAGGTTTTTTAATGGTTTTGATAAGAAATTGATTTACAAGGTTTTTTAATGGTTATAAAAATTTTTAAAATACAGTTTTATAACTTGTTTTATATAGTAACATACCTGTAAAGTTAGAATATGACATACCTTTTGTTGGAGTATAAGGTATCAACATAATCATATTCGTTAAGATTAATATGTTTTGCAGCCGCTATTGCATGAGCACACGGGATTTTCGTGATATTGAACACACAGCACGTGCAGTCTCTTGTTTCCAAATTCACAACATGAACCAACGTACCTCCTTTCACTTCAAACACGTGTTGATTCACTTGTGACACTTCAAGCCAGCGTGCAGTAGAATCATACAGTGTCTTTACTTGCTTCATCACATTCACAGTAACTGAATGCCTATTACGAGTACCCTTCTCATGTCGTTCATTGAACCATCTGGTAAGAGTAGACCTAATTGTATCAAACAAACAGACAATTGGATACTCACGGCTTTCTTTCAACAGAGAATTCAAAGACTCAGCTAAGTTTGATGTCATAATGTTGTATCGATTGGCAGGTGCACAAGCACGTGACCATTTTTTGACATCCAAATCCCACAGATACTGTGCCATCTTGTTGTCAGCAAGAGACAGTTCATGGAACAATTGTTCAAAATCAAACCTTGTGTAAGCATAAGCTGCATCTTTCATAACTGGAATAAGCGTAGAGGATGACTTAAACCCAGTCTCAAGGTTTTTCTCCAAATGAAAAATGCAGATCCCATGATGAGCAAGTGGATAATTAACAATAAGAGCATTGGCAATTGATGATGCACGATCTGACACAAAAACTAAATCAGGTTCATCCGGGATAATTTTCTTCAAACACTTCATAAACCAGTCCCACGAAGCATCATTTTCTGAATCAACTACGCCAAATGCAATAGGATACAAATGAAAGTCACCATCTTGTGCTGAGGCACCAAGCAAAGTCCCTTTAAAATTTGATTTCAAATGAGCACCGTCAATACAAATCACTTTTCTCATCAACTTAAACCCTCTAATTGACGGACCAAAAGCAAGAAATGCGTACTTAAATTTATTGTCAGGATCGACCTCAATGAAGGTTGCAGAACCAGGATTCTTCTCATTTACCATGTACATCCACATTGGCAAGAACTCATAACCATCTTCAGGTGTACCCCTAGCAACATCGATTGCATGATCTTTAGCTCTCCACGCTTTTGAATAAGAAACTCCAATCCCATTGTCGTGTCTGAATTTTTCTATCAGTTGTTTAGGTTTAAGCGCAAGCTTCTCTCCACGAAAATGATTACTTACCATTTCTCCTAATGTCCTAGCAGTTGCTTGGCGATGATTAACCTTCCTTAGCGAAGAATCACAACAGTGCTCACTAACATACTTTTTAATAATAAAACTATCTGATGCCTTAACCCTAGTTGCACGTAACCTCCAACTACATTTTTCATCAATGCAACGAAGAGTATACCGTGTTGAGTCTGATTTCTTAGTCCGGAACTCGAAGTTATTCTCCATTGCAAATAACTGCATCTGCCTTCCCATTTCCTTTTTGTCCTTGAACAACTTTCCACAATACAAAGTATTTGAAGATGCAGAAATAGTAGAACCACCTACAGGAGCTGAACCTTCAGATATATTAGAGAAGGATTCCGTTTCAGTTCTAACCCTCTCCGGGATGGTTGAGTCAAATCTCATCTGCAAAAGCAAAAAAAATTTGGATTTGAATTGTTTTACAAGGTATTTTAAAAGGATTTACAAGTTATTTTAAAAGGTGTACTAAAAAGGGTTTTTAAAAGGGTTTTACAAGGTATTTTAAAAAGATTTTTTACTGATTTTCAAAGAATTTGTAAGGGAATTGAAAATACCTCATTCATGACATGACATGCAGGAGCTGAAACAAAAGTTATAGGAGCAGGGTTTGCAGAATACATTTGTACCTGTAATATAATTTTTGCAAATTTACAAGTTATTTTGAATCTTTGTTAACTTATTTACAAGCTATTTTAATGATTTGTTTACTAATTTACAAGGTTTCTTTACTGTTTTACCTCATTCATGACTTGATATGTAGAATAAGGATCTGTATTGCTCTCACTACTAATTGAGATGTTGCTTGTCCCCATCATTGGATTAGTGCTTGTTTTCCCCTGTAAAGATTATTAAAACTGTTTACAAATTTGTTAAACCAGTTTACAAAATTGAATGTTGGTAAAATACCTTCTCAACAGTTACACATAGCTGAATACCGCCTCTGAATTCCGCAAGCTTTTTCATAAATGCTTGCACTTGCCTATCATTTCTAATATACATAGGAGGCATGTCTTTTGTAGAGGGTAATGAATAACTGAGTTTCACTATATTAATACCGACATCAATTCCAAAATCTTCTATAACAACAGCACACAAATCAGTGAAACACGTATCCTCATTGATAAAAGTAAGAGACCCTCCTCTTTCAACATCAAATTTAAAATCCCAACAATTGTTATTTTTCAATTTCCAAACACCAGATATGCAATTCAACTCAATCATTACGACCTGATAAAAAAGACAATGTATTATAATGTTAAACATATGTATCTTTATGATAGTTCACAAGGTATTTATAAAGTTCTTCATGGTTTTACAATATTTTTTAAAGGTTTACAATCTTCACAAAAAACATGGTAAATCAAAATTATTTCACTAATAGTGTACAATAGTTACTGAATAACATAAATACAGTGAGAAGATGAAGAAGAAATTTTTACAATGGTTTTAGAAAGTTTTTAAAGGTAACACGAATTATAATTTTCAAGCAAGACAAATTCGAGAAAATAGATAAACACAGAATCGAAGCTCTTAATTAATCAATTCAGATTTGAAGACGAATTCGATGAACTTTTGGATCTAAACGGTTCAGATTTCAGAAGCGATTCGAACCTAATTGATGCAGATTGGGATGAGTCACAGATTTTTGATTACAGACTCGATTGATCCTCGTCGATTGAACTCGATTGAACTCGACGGATCTAAGATGAAGATATCGACGGATCTAAGATGAAGATACTCGACGGATCTAAGATCTCATCACCTTTTCTTCGTCGGCTGTGAAGGTGACGAGAGCCGCCGAGATTTTTGTTTCGCCGTTCCCCAATTTTGTCGTGGTCAATTTGGTTCCTCAATTGGTCAATTTGGTTCCTCATTAAGGGTAAAATGGTCAATTTCAGGGAAGCTATTAGGGAGGGGGCATTTTTGAAAAGGGGCATGAGAAAAGGGGCATTTTTGTGAGTCCCCCTTCTCCCAAATATGTTTAGTTTATAATTATGACTACATGCTCTAAAATTCTTAAAATAAAATTAAGTATAACCACACTAATTTTCTTATGAAATATTCAAATATTCGTTCGTTTTTATAAGCTCATTATTTTTTGTAAAAATTTTGTGTTTTTTATTTGACGAATAAAAACACTATATTACGATGATAAATTCAATTTTATCCAATTAAATTAATGTTAAATAACTTATATTGTTATTTAAAACTATAACCGTTGTGGAAGCCCCCTCGGCCCAATGGTTGACCAAGGGTTAATTAATGCTTCTACACCAAGAAGTCTGGGGTTCGAGTCTCAGATACTGCGATTTATTAACAAATATGCAGATTAATCGAGGCAAGTGTGCAGAAGATCTCCAGCGATGTACAATTATAGCCGTTCGCCAGGATTCTACGCAGAGAGGGAAGTGCAGTCGTTCGCCAGGATTCTACGCAGAGAGGAAGATAAAAAAACTATAACCGTTATTGTTTATTTTTTAATATCCATACTAAATGATTTTATAGAAAACAATTAACACATGCCAAATCTAATTGACCAATAAATAACACATGTGAAGATAAATTGTTAGTTTTCCTTTTTGGCTAAGAAAAATAAAATTAACAAATTTTAAAAATTAGATATATAAATTAGTATATGTAAATATTCTTTTTTTTTTAGTTTTCCTATTTCGCCAAGTGTTTTGGCGGGAAAAATTGCGGGATCACTTTTCCCGCTAAAAAATATTTTGTATTTTGTGGACCTAATTTTGTTATATTTCCTTATATATTTGTGATATCTTTTATTAAAAGAAGGGTAATTTAGTCATTTTGTACATAAAAAGGGGTATTTTTAAAAATAGACAGCCAAATGAGGCATTTTTGAAAAGGGGTATTGAAAAAGGGGCATTTTTGTGAGTCTCCCTTATTTTTTTTAATCTTAAAAAGGAAATTTTGTTTTACACGTGTCAAAATCTAAGATCGATAGATTTGCCACGTGTTACGATCCTATAAGTTATTAACTTTGAAAACCATACTTTATATAATAAGATAGCAGAAGTATTCACATGTGTGGGGGTTTATTTAGACCACATGTTTTTTTTTTTTGTTTATTACATAATTACTTGATAGGTAAAGCAGTATGGGTTTCCTCTATCCTCCTACCTAATAGTTTATGGCTGACAAAAACATTAACCATCGGATCACCTAATGCATTTATTTTCTTTATAAAAGTTACTTCGATATTATGATATGGTTTCGACATTAAAAAAAAATTTATAATATATACATATCATTTGTTTAATGAAGTTTGGTGTGGTGTCGTCCATTTTTTTTTCCGCCAAGTGTGGTGTATTCCATGAATAAAAAAAATCATATAAACTATAGCAAAAATTAACTCACCATTTTACCTCAAGATTAATATTCAATCATATGTCAATATATAAGAGATGCTATTTTAATCTCACTATTTTTATTTTTTTCAATATATTAAAATTTTCAGTTAATTTTCAAAGAGCTTTGTTATAGATAGAATCCAATTCCAAACCAAAACCTATATTATGATAGTAGATAAACAAAACAATAACGTAAAAAGAGTAGAAACTCTCCAAAAAAAACTATGTTCTCTTTTCCTCGGCCTAATCCGGTAAGATCTTCCAAAGCTCTCAATTGTTTGGATATGTTTCACAAACAAAACCTAACCCTTATTTAAAATAAAACGTAAAATAAAATACTTTAGAAAAAGTAAATAAGAAAATGGAAATCCTAAACTATTTTCTAAATCATAAATTAGGAAGTATTCATATCAAGCTTATTGAGTGGAAAATAGACAAGTATTAACCCTGGTATTGCATTACGGTACCAAGAAAACGGCGAACTAGTCCATCAAAGACAACTTTATTTACCGATCAAGATGCTTATCGATGGAAATATAGGATAGTTTGTGACTTGTAGAAAGTTGATTAATCTGTTTCACCATCGATAGCCGTTCCAAAAGTAACAGATTGAGCTTTGGTAGATGGAGCCGTTTCAAAAGTAATAGTTCGTGCAAACTGCTTGTTTGAGCTATTCAGAAAGGTTAAGAATTGTAACCTTGTGAATGTTGTTCTTTCGTATCATCAGAATCACAACACTATTTGTTTCTCACAACACTATTTGCATTAGCTGTTGGTAGAGTTATAAACGAACAAATATTGCTATACCAGAAAAAACCTTTTCTTTTCGGAAGTTGATTTCACAAACCAAGTGGTCGTGGTGTAAAGGTTTTCATTTGAAGGGAAATTTCCATGTATGTCTAGGTCATGGATCAATTCTCTTTTAAGTGTGAAATTATCTAAATCACTTCCACTTGGCGAGTTAAAATGGTATCATGTTTTAGGTCCATTAAAAGGTCCGGTGAGTGGCCTACTCAACGGCTACACTCAGAATTAGTCAGGTGGTTAAAGTCTGGTGACTATGTAAATTTTTTTTTTTGATTTCCCTTTCTCCTAGTAGCTTAAATTTCTTAGCATTATCAGGTTCGAATTCTCCTAAGTTATGCAGCTCTATGTTTTAAACCTCTTTGATCTCCATGCTCTCCAACACCTTCTTCGTAAAGGATACATACATATATATATATAGAGTGTTCACCAAGAAGCAACCAATGAAAATAGTGAAAACACTACCACAATGCAAATCTGAAGTAAGAGTCATGACTTCCCCAGCCATAAGGTCTCTTCCATGTTCGAAAAGCCAACTAGAGAACTTGGCAGCTCTTGACCCAATATTAACCGGGAATGGAGACTTTGAAATACTATGCAAGAATTTTTGAGAAAGCACAAATGGATGTCCACCGGTTCCACCAACCTAGAACGCTGTCGTAAAAATAATGAATTTTTAGTTACAAATACAATTACTAAGTTCTTCGAAACAAACAAATAAAATTCATTCAAAGTGAGAAAAAAGAAAATTGTTTATTAACCATCTCATCTAAACATCAAGCATGCACATAATACTTAAGTGTTGGCTCATGCTTGGTCATAGATATGTTTTTCCTTCTTGTGTGTGGTTCGTATCAGGTGGATTTTATTTGATGATGCAAATTCTAGGTAATAAAATGGAGAGGGAAAACATATTCCACTTGCCTCCATTTTCAGGTTTTCTTGTATATACATATTTTATACGCAAGGGATTCACTTTCCTTTTTTTCCAAGTTAAGTAAACTCATTAATTGCTTGTACTATCAAATTAGGATTTAACCCCCGGTATACTAGAATACAATTTTTCATATAATCTTAAGTAAATCAATTTGATTTAACCTGTCTAATATTCTAATATTAGTCTTTTTCACGAATTAATAAAATGAAGATTTACCCCATGGTGTATTACTGGTTAATGATTTTAAATTTATATTAATATCGATCCAAACTTGCCTCACCATAGAACCCGTCTTGTGATATTTAAAACATTTTATTAGTTTAAATATTTTTAGTATTTAAACTAATTAAAGTGTAAATATATCGATAATGATATTTAATATTTTTTAAAAATTCAGAATGTATTTTATTTGGTAGAATTAAACAGCTGAACTAATGAACCGAATTATACCGAATTAATTAAACTTTTAAATTTGGATGCTTGTTAAGTTAAGTTTTCTATTTATTCGGATTTGAATTCATTTTGATTTTATTTATAATATGACTCTGAATCATTATCTCAATTTTTTTAGCCAATGTAGTAAACACTCATTTTTTTCATCAATTGAATATATGTCTGTTTTGAAACATTTGAATCACAATACATGAAGGAAAAACTTTAAATCCTAACAAAATCTTCTAAATATCTATATTATTAATTTTAGAATATTATTTTGATATTTCGATTTTATAATTAATGCTAAAATATAATTTTGTTTGATTGTATGGATAATAGAAAATTTATTGTTAGAATATTTTTGATATATGGATATAAGTAATTTTTTATTCCATATATATTTGAGAAATTGTTCAAAATGCCCCTTTTTCAATACCCCTTTTCAAAAATGCCCCCTTTGAGAGTCCATTTTTAAGTTTGCCCTCTTTTAATTTTTAATGACCATTTTACCCTTATTTGAAACAAAATTAGGTCCACAAAATACAAAATATTTTTTGGCGGGAAAAGTGATCCCGTAATTTTCCCGCTAAAACACTTGTAAAAACCTTTAAAATACCTTGTAAAATTTTCCCGCCAAAAATTTTTTTTTGCGGGAAAAGTGATTCCGCAATTTTTTTGGCGAAATTTTTTTGGCGGGATAAATTTACAAGGTATTTTAAAGGTTTTACAGAGTATTTACAAGTGTTTTGTAAGGTTTTACAATGTATTTTAAAAGGTTTTACAAGGTACTTATAAGGTTTTATAAGGTATTTATAACTTGTAAAACTTTATAAAAAACTTGTAAAACCTTATAAAATAGCTTGTAAAATCTTATAATATCTTATAAATACGTTGTAAAACCTTTTAAAATACATTGTAAAACCTTATAAATACCCTGTAAAAAAACCTTTAAAATACCTTGTAAATTTTTCCCGCCAAAAATTTTGCGGAATCACTTTTCCCGCAAAAACAATTTTTTGGCGGGAAAATTTTTTGGCGGGAAAAAATTTTACGGGAAAATTTTACAAGGTATTTTAAAGGTTTTACAACTTTTTACAAGTGTTTTGGCGGGAAAAATTGCGGGATCACTTTTCCAGCCAAAAAATATTTTGTATTTTGTGGACCTAATTTTGTTATATTTCCTTATATATTTGTGATATCTTTTATTAAAAGAAGGGTAATTTAGTCATTTTGTACATAAAAAGGGGTATTTTTAAAAATGGACAGCCAAAGGGGGCATTTTTTTGGCTGTCCATTTTTAAAAAGGGGTATTGAAAAAGGGGCATTTTTGTGAGTCTCCCTATATATTTTTAATGTGTTTAGTTATTTTCTTTTGAAAATATTGGCATTGTGTGTAATAATTTACCAAAAAGGTTATTTTAGAACATGTAAAATCATATTCATAAAGAAACCGTTTGTAAATAAAATGCAGCTTTGAAGTTGAGATCATGAAAGATAAAAATTATAAGATCTTATACAATTTTTTGTCACTCTACATATTATTTAATATAGTGTCTTATATATATATATATATATATTCAATAATATTATAAGTTTAGCTTAGGAAAAAAATAATATATATTTTTCAAAATTAGCTTTGAATTGATATACATATAATTACAAAAAGAGGAAAGGAATATTGATCTATATGAAATAAGAATCTCTATAACTATGGGGTCGTTCAATACGCAAAGGACTCGATTATATTTATAGTAAAGTTATGTATATGCTTTGGGTATCAAAGAAGTAATCTAATCATAATGTTCCAATTCAAGACAACTTAAACTATAAAATCTACTATCCAATCGATGTAAGAGAATAATTTATTTCTTGTTCCTTTTTTTTTTTTCTATTGTTCTCTATATTATACCACAAATCTCCTGCAAAAGAAGAAGAAACAGAGAAGAGAGAAGCCGAAACTTTTTCCTTAAAAAGGGAAAAAGCAAGTTCCAACATAGCAACCATGGATTGGTTACAATGCCCCTATCACTATAATAGTTCTCCTCTAAATCCTACAAACGTCTCATCAAAATGTTTTGCGTGTTACGAAAAAAACCATGATAACAAGTCAGGCTACATGTGTAATTTATGCAGTTTTTATGTCAATGAGGAATGCATGAACACCACCATTCCTTCTCGTCATAAACACCCTCTCAAGATCGCAAGGTACATCTACGACATCAACCCATGTTATTGTTCTCTATGTGAAACAGGATTCACGACGAAGTATAATTATCAATGTTCACAATGTTCTTTTGTCATATGTATACCTTGTGCGAGAAAACCTCTGATCATTAACGAAGATAAAGACCACAAGCATGAACTCCAACAAATACCTATAAAGCTCTCATTCACTTGTGATGCGTGTGGGTTGTGCAGTACCAATCAGTACCCGTGTATTTGTCATCAATGTTGTTTTATCGTCCATAGAAGATGCCTCCACTTTCCACGTGTTATATGCATCAATCGACATGACCATCGTATCTCTTATGTTCGTTCTCTTGGCCCTGGGAAGTGGATTTGCGGGGTATGCCGCAAGTTTGTTAATGGAGAGTGTGGAGCATATTCTTGCTTGATTTGCCCTAATTATGTTGTTCATTCGAAATGTGCAACCAGACGTGATTCTATTTGGGATGGAAGAGATCTCGAAGGGTATCCCGAAGAAGATCAAAGTAAGCCATTCGAAGTGATAGATCAAAACCTAATAAAACATTTTAGCCATGAACACAATCTGGAGGCTTCAATATCAACATTAAGACTTGAGGAAGATGCCTTACCACGTGAGGAAGATAAACATTGCTATGCATGCACCATGCCCTTATATTCTGAATTGTGCTACAAATGTACACAATGTGATTTCATTCTTCATGATGCATGCGCTAATCTCCCTCGTAAGATAAGACACGGGGTTAGCGCAGACCAGCTGACTTTGATTGCCAAAGTGTATCATAGGGGTAAGTATGGCTCTTACTTTGAAAACTATTTCTGGTGTGCTATTTGTCTACGTTATTGCACCGGTTTTGCGTATGGCAATTTTCTTCGTCGAATTGATGTGCGATGTGCTTCTATATCCAATGAATTAAAACATGAAAGTCATCCACATTGGTTATTTGTATCTCCCGACGAAAAAAAGGAAGACATGAGGTGTGAAGTTTGTCAATACGTGGTCCAATATACCCTTTATCTACGTTGTAGTGATGTGAGGGATTGTGATGGCTACATTCTATGCTTCAGATGCGCTACTCTACCAACATTGGTAAGACACAAATACGATGACCATCCTCTCTACTTACATTACGGTGAAAAAAATGTGAATTCTACATGTTGTGGGATATGCGAAGAGGAAATATATTTAAAAGGTTGGTTCTATAGATGCAATGATTGTGTCTCTACTCTGCATACTGAATGTGTATTTAAAAATCTTCTACATTCAAGACCTGGATACAGTTTAGTGAAGTGCATGTGGGGTAATAAGATGACATTTGATTTGATTCCGAACCGTCTCTCTCGGCCGATTTGCTACTTGTGTAAGAATCGTTGTGCGGATGATTTGGTTCTCAAGAAAAAAGCGGATAAAAATCTATTCATGTGTTTTTCATGTGGATTTAATTGACTTATATGAGTAGAGTGAAGAAAGCTACCAGCTATTGATGAAAAGTACCAATACTGATTTCTATATTATATAGTCACATTCTATTAAGTCTCTTGTAATAAAAAGCTTAGATATTATAATTGTAATGATAAAATAATCTTCACAGATAAAGTAAGAAAAATATCATCCTTTAAATAAATAATTAAGGAAAATACGATTTTTATGTAGAGGCTGGGATAATTCTTACACTTAATTGAAAGGAATAATGCCATATACAATCAAACCTCAACAAATTAATTATATTGGGACTTAAAAAATGTATTATTTTATAGAGATTTTAATTTTAATTAATCCATAAATTAATATTTATATATAGAGTTATCAATGATGCTATATCAAAACATAGCACCCAAGACTTGTCATTGCCTCATGCCTCCCTTCCACATGTAATAAACTATTGATGTTTCCTCTGATTCCTTTTCCTTTTCATGTACTCCTTTCTTGGAAATTCTTCAATTACAAGATCGAAAGAACCTGAAAATGTTGAGAATGCAGAGCTTGGGGAAGAAATGTTTGCAAAGATTCCCAAATTTAAATCTAGACCTATTTAATCTTTGTTTTAGAGAGCGATTGTAATCATTATGCTTATGGCTTTGAGATTATATCAGCTTGTTGTATCCATTGGGTTTTGAACTTTTGTTGGTAGAAAATAACGAACCTTTCTTGATTTAGTTTCTGTAATGGTTATTTCTCTCAAAGTGGGGTCTTTGAGTTGCTATCGAATTCACACTTTTTACGTAGGAAATGAAGATTGTGTTGCGTAGTTAAGATCAACCCCAACTATTTTCATGCGGCCTTTTTCAACCCAAACTCTGACCCTATGCACTTATCAACCCGAACCCATATAAATTTCAAATAATAAACCTGAACTATATAATTGTTAGCTAATTTCAACATATACCCGTTATTATATAATGTAACAAATATAAATTATGTAACATTTAGTCAATTGAATAAAAGGAATGATTCATACACAAAAGAACAGACTATTACAACTTAGCAATTCCAATCGACATTAACAAATACAAAAATAATTATGTTGAAATTCGCTAATAGTTATATAGTTCAGGTTTGTTATTTAAAATTTACGTGGATTTGGGTTGATAAGTACAGAAGTTCAGAGTTTGGATTGAAAAAGGCTCATGGAAATAGTTGGGGTTGATTTTGACTGTTTTCCCAGAGATTTATAACCTCACTATTTATACCTCAAAATGAATATTAAATCATACATCAATATAAGAGATGCTAATTTTAGGGAAAATTGGAAATAAAGGACAAATAATTAAACTATTGTCTATCTATGCATTTTATATTCATGATTGGTCATATATACTTTAATATTGGTCATATATGATTTCATATAATTAAAATCCCAATATGCCCCAGTCTTTTAAAATCTTACTAAACTATTAAAAAAATCAAAATTAAATTGATTTCTTTCTAAAAACAACTTGGAAAAAATATAGGAAAAAATCAACATTTATTTACATTTCATTATTTGTTTTGCCGTAGATAATTTCATATCTTCTTCTTCTTTGATTCTCTTGCCCATCAAAGTTAAGCTTTCGTAATTGTTCTCTCCTCTCTAATAACGCCATATTAAATAACTTTTTTCTTCTTCTTCTTCTTCAATCTCTCTCTCTATCTCCCTTCCTTGATTTCAATTTCGTAAAGGAGCGCAACTGTAATTTTCCGGGTTTTGAAACAAGAAATTAGGCGTAATCTATAGGAAAAAGTGTGAAGTATAAAGAAAATTCTAATTTGTGTTATAATTTATTCACTTAGGTATAAAGAATTTTAAAGTATTCAAAATTCAACTAATTTTCCGGGTTTTGAGACAAGAAATTAAGCGTAATCTATAGGAAAAAGTGTGAAGTATAAAGAAAAATTCTAATTTTTGTTATAATTTATTCACTTAGGTATAAAGAATTTTAAAGTATTCAAAATTCAACTTCTGTAATTTGCAGATGTAATCAAATTCACTATATTCAATTTCCATATTTTAAGATTTTGTTTTTTTTTTTAATCTAAATTAGATAGAATGTACTTTCTAATTTTTATAGAATAAAAAAATCTTAAGAATATGTTTTCTAACATTCTTAGAACATGAGTAAATGTTAGAAAACATATTCTAATTTTCGTAGAGCAAAGAACAAAGTATAGAATATGTATTCTAAAAGTCGTAGAAACTAGTATTCTAAATACCGTAGAACAGAAATGACTTCTAAATTTTGTAGAACATGTAGAGTGTGTAGAATACATACTCTAAATTTTGTAGAACATGTAGAGTGTATAGAATATACATTCTAATTTCAGAAGACATATTCTAAACTTTATAGATTAAATTTTATCCATCTAAAACGAAAACAAAACAATATATTTTTGACATTTTATATATCTTCATGTCTTCTTCATCATTTTAATACATATTTTTCTTAATTATTTTTGAAACAATTGGTTCAATCTTATGCAAGGGGTAGTTTAGGAATACTTGATATTTGTTCATAGAATTCATATATGGACAAATACTTAAATATTTATCCTTTATTTCCAATTTTCCCCTAATTTTATCTCACTATTTTCAAATTTTCCAATAGACAAAACTTCATTTCATGAATTAAAAAATTTCCAAAAATAAATAATTACTACCTACTATTTTTTACTTTTTACTATATTACAAGGCAAAGAGTCCCTTGGAGTTGGCAAAGAAGTGTTTGCGGCTGATAAGCTCCGGTTTTCTGTGACCGGTAAATAGAAGACCGGTTAACAAAGACGGAGGACCGGTGAATTTAGTTTGCACCATTTCCCTCACTTTCACATACCCGTCTAGTGTCATCAACTCCATAAGCTTTCTACAGCTCTGAGATTGACAAAAAAAAATACAGAATGTTATTAGAGAGCTTTAAGAGGTTATATATGATCAGTTTTACTATATGAAACCATAGGAGAAAGATTGTATATTACCTGAGGATTTAGTACGTCCATTTGGTTTATGATTTCGTCCTGCCACAAAATGAAATGTTTTGATTAGTATTTCCATAGAGCTCAAAATTGTAACGGTACGAACTTATTAGGTGGCAAATAGAGAAGTTTTTTACCTCTGGTATACCGGGATTTTGCATCACGGTACCAAGAACACGGCGAACTAGTCCATCGAAGACAACTCTATTTACTGATCCATCTGCGTTTATCCATGGAAATATAGCCATAGGTAGTGACTTCTCAGAAGTTGATTCCTTTGTTTCACTTTCGATACCCGGTCCAAAAGTTACAGATGGAGATTTGATAGATGCTTCGTGCAAATCGCTTGTTTTTGCCGTTTCAGGAATGTTAAGAATTGTAACCTTGTGAACGTTGTTCACAGCGACATGCTCTTGCTTATCTTGTGAAGTACTGTACCCGCTGGCGAAATCATCGTTTGACGTATGTTCCTCCAAAGCCCTCTCTAGGTAGTTTACTGGTAGAGACTGTTGACCATTTCTGGTAGTTCCACCATCCTCCAATGTCAAGAAGTACTTTGATCGGTAGAGCGAATGGACAAGACGGAAATTATCATAGCCATTTACCTGAATAAGATAGCATCTGGTTAACAAGTTACTTGTAAAATGATGTAACATGAACAGAGTTCATAGTCCAAGAATGTAAAACTAGTAAACCTTGAGTGTTTATAAGAGATGGTAAGACAAACCTTCAAAGCTACTCCAAATGTTTGAAGTACTTCTACAATGCAGTCACAAGTTTCTTGGCCTGCAAATGAATAAACAGAGGTTTAAAATACAACACCGAAGGAAGTCGGGAACACATGCTAAAGTGTTGAAAAGGTTAGCCTAATGCTTACTTGGAATATTAATAAGACAGTTGACTTCTTCAATGCTTAGCCCTTGGTCACCAGCCTTCTGAATAGCATTGGAAACGGCTTCGAAAACCCGGGGACTGAATAAACAAAGTTGCTCATCTGCAGATCCGCACATAATACAACTAGCAACACTGGCCATCGCTTGCCAAGGAGAATCACTTAAACTACTTGGTATCACAGTAGCATCCGTAGAGTTGAAAAGTTCTTTCATATCATCAGAACCACAGCCACTATTTGTTTCTCCCGACTTGAAAAGAAGTTCACCAGAACAAGAGTCATCATCCTTAAACAACTCTATTGCGTTCGCTATTGGTATAGTTATACGACGAACAGATACTGCGATACCAGGGAAACCTTTTTCCTTTCGGACGTTGATTTCACCTTCACCTAACAGCTTAAATTTCTTAGCACTATCAAGTTCAGATTCTTCTACGTCATCAGCTCTACGTTTTAAACCTCTTCGATGTTCAGGCTCTCCAACACCTTCTTGGGGTAAGGATACAGATATAGAGAGTTCACCAGAAGCAACCAATGAAAAGAAATTCAAAACATCACCACATTGCAAATCTGAAGTAAGAGTGACTCCCCCAGCCATAAGGTCTCTTTCGTGTTCGAGAAGCCAACTTGAGAACTTGGCAGCTCTTTTCCCAGTATTAACCGGGAATGGTGACTTTGAAATACTATGCAAAAAGTTCTGAGAAAGCACAAATGGTTGTCCACCACTTCCACCAACCAGGAAATTTTTGTCTCGGAGGTAGCTATAGGCGGTGAAGAGGTCACCCTCGGAATATCGTCGTAAGGTATCTTCTAGCAAATTTGGCATACCAGGTGCAGTAGGCATGCTTAGAAAGACAAGCTTCAACAGTTCTACAGCGGTAGATACTACCAGAGATTTCTGCACTTGTACACTACCATTGTCCTTTTCATCTACATGCTTAAAAATTTGATGAAGACGATAATGTCCAGCTCGTCGAGATGTATCTTTAACTTGATCCATAGTAACAGTTTGAATGTCCTCTGAGTGAATTGCAGGTCTAGTCCGTTTAGAGGGCACCAGTTTAGCCATCTTCTTGAGCTCAAGAACATTATTAAAGGCTTGACTTATACTCTTTTCATTGAAGTCATCCCATTTTCCTTCATCTTTACGATGCTCAACACAACCGGATTCCGTCTTTAGATGTTTTGCATAACGCTCACTGAGCAGATTGCAAAGCCTCATGACCGCCTTCCGAACTTTATCATTCTTCATCAATGTTTGAATCCGTCGCTTGCAAGGTAAAGGAGGTGCAGGTAGTTCTGGAACTGAAGCCCAATTTACTCCATGAAATTTTGCCCCAAGAGCTGCACGGTGTCTAACATATTTACTCAACAATTTCCTGACCAGAGAAAATTTGTGTCAGTGGCATATTTTAGGGAATGTTTTCAACAAGAACCAATTTGATATATGATCACCATTCATATAAACACAGAGATATAGTACTAAACTTTTATTGGATGTGTCAAGCGTACCTGTCCGCCTCATCTGTCCACAAAAATCTTTGTGAAGAAGTTGATGTAGTCTTTGAACTTGCATGCTGGTTGATGATAGAAGAACACTGAACTTCATCTTCAGTAAGATCGCTAATCTCTGCATTTTCTTGTTGATTATCCTGATGCATCGGAATGGGGGTTTGGTCCTCTTGAACATTCTCACTATTTGAGGCATCGGTGGCTTCAGAATTCAGAACCTTCTGTCCATCTACTATTATGGATCTGACACCTTCTCCTGTAGGCTTTACAAGAGATGTTCTTTTTCTTTTCCTGGAAGATGAAGGACTCTTTTCTACAGCGTAAGTTTTATCTTTTGGTTTTGATTTCACGCGTCTTCCATGCTTCGCATGATAAGCATGCATAACCTAGAGTGAAAACCAATAAGTATAAGAACATCCAGGTTAGTCATGGTCTCTACAATCAAAGACAATAAGGAATCTATTCGCCAAACTACCACCAGGTCTCAAATATTTATCGCCACAAAATATATACAAGTACAACACAAAACATATCTTTACCTGCTCTATGGTCAGGTTCAGATCCTTAGAAATCTTCTCACACTCTTTGAAAGAGAGTTTTTCCTTCTTATCTATTGCAATACACTGTAAGAGCTTCTCACGCTGTTCCGCTGTCATGACATGATCTGAGGCCCAAGAGCGGATACCAAAAACCTAGAGAATTGACAGAGTTAGAAACTGTTTTCTGAAAACATAACATAACAGGCAGCTGAAACTATTATCACAGGAGATGATAGCAGATCAGAGTTTCAATGATATTTTGTAGTTTCATGGACTCAGTTGTTGTATATATAATAAGCTAGATATAGAAGATCAGCATTTATACCTCTTGAGAAACAGATCCCGGAAATGCTTGCTTAGCAGCTCTGTGATCAGCAGCAGCATAGCAATACTCTAGAGTAAGCCAATATTCATCAACAGCATCTCTATTTGATAGAATAAAGTCATGTCGAATACGCGGACGAAAATCAAGAGACGTGACATCGGATTTAGCAGCAACAAACAAAGGTTCCTCTATATAAGGTTTAAGCTCCACTGCATGTGTTAAATTAGCATACTTCTCCTCAATCTCGTCACGTCTGAGTCTATCACTTACCATCTGAATCAACTACAAAATAAAAATCGACACACGCAATAGAGTTATTCATTTTTTGAACTGCACATATATGAAATACAGTACTTGAGGTGTCATATAATTATTGATATTACCTTTAACCGGCGTAAAATATCAATAAGCATCGATAATACCCCAATGGCACGAGTATCCATTAGAAGCTTATACTCGTCGCTAGGAAGCTCAGAAAGACGCATAACTTGTTTGCATTTCTTCATGATATCATCAGCTTTCTGAGTAGATCCAACAACTTGTAAAAATAGTTGGAGTGGCATGGCTCTAAAAGCATCTTTAAGTGAAAACAAATTCTCAGATATATGATCATGTATAGAAGAAAAGGCATTGTCCCACCCAGGCAAAGAACTAAAATAGTCCCAAAGGAAACAGTGTAGAAGCTTCACACGAACCATCTTTGCAAGCACAACCCCTTTGGCTTGCATAGCTCCTGATTTGCTAACTCGCGCATCTAAATCCGCATTAGTTCTACCTCTCTGAACGACATTCAATACGGGAATCGTCTCGTCGCTTTTCCTCTTCGATAATCTCTGGCTACGGAATCCTAATTCAAAAGACCTAATCCTTTCATGAATTTCATTTCCTACGTCTCGAGTCAATTCTTGAACAGATGGATGCAAAACTATTACAGAGCAACGACTACGACCACAATCATTTACATTTGGAACACGAACACCAATGCATTTGCAGAGCCCTTTTTCTTGAAGCTTGTTTAGAATTCTATAAATGGTTTTCCTATCCACCTTAGGGCTCCTGTCTTTCTCAAAACTTAGAAGCCATTTATGGAACTCCGCTCTCAAAACAAACTTCTCCTCCTTTGGCCAGCCAAGAAAGAAGAAACAAATAGTCAGTTAGAAGGAAAAAAAAGGAGAAAACGTTTATAACAAGCAAAGTGGATAAAGAAAACAGTAAGTACATTTAAGCGCTCAAGTATTCTCTGCTCTCTCCGAGAGTTTTCGATAGTAGCATGAGGTTGCTGCACTTTTGATTTAGCCGACTTCGGTAAATCAGGGGACTCCTTTGCAGTATCAACAACCTTATCACCAATCTCATTGAATGATTCTTGTAAGTTACGACGTGTAACCACCTTTCTTCTTTTGGCTCCTGAATTCCTTTCAGAATCAGTTAACGTTGTAGGTGTATAGATGTCAGCATCTGAAACTTTAAAACTATGTTTGGTAGAGGTCTTAGCCAATCCACCAGTACCATGAGGTTTACTAAAATCAATATTTTCCCCTCTAATATTTTCAGCTTTATCAGGAAACATATCAGAAGACTCAGACCGAGTATGACGAGAACTCCAAACTCGAAATACTCGAGTCTTCTTGTGGCTTTCTGCCTGTAAATGCATACCAACTCTTGAACAAATACTACAAAGCCGAGGATAGATCTTCTTCTTATCAATCCCAAGTCTTTCACATACCTGTAATACAACAGTCAATCATAAGTTTATCAATCCTAAAAAGACTACTCTTTCGAATAAGTAATTTTCTCCGAAAAACTGTTAGCCAAATCTATCAAATGAATACCTCCATAACAGCCAAGCCTTTAGATCCTTGAGCATCAACCATATCATAAATTTGATTATCTATTGGAAGCTCCAACGTCTGTTCTGTTTTTTGAATACTCCTTCCAAACTTTAGGAGTTGCTTTTTCCTAGAGTAGTTAAAATCTTCTGCTGAAAATCTTTTTAACAAACGGAGACATCTTTCAACCTACAAAAGAACAATCCACATGAAAAAAAACAGTTTTATATCCAAACAAAACAGAACAGAAATACTAAGTAAGAGCAATTGGCTAGCATGTGTATTGGCAAAAGATGCAGATTATAGTTCACCTTATTGTTCACCATAGCATCAAACTCCTCTACAACATGAGAGTCTATCAACCGGCGACAAACCTGATGTTATCCCACAAGAAGATTCATTCAGAATATTCTAGTTGAACATGAATCTATACACTTCAACCATAAGGGAAAGAAAAAAAGATATATTACACTTCTCCAAGCTCTATGCCTTATATTTGATCCCATATAACCAAGGTCTTGCTTAATATCCGAGACGACTAAAACCTGCACTACAAGAAAATCAGTATACAACTAGCAAGATCCACCTTGATAAAAAAAAAGAGAATGCTCTGAGTTAACTAACTTTCTCGGTAGCTTCTTCGAGCTTATCACAAACTGCCTGCATTGCTGGCAAAAAATCGTTAATATGTGTGTCCTCTTTCAGACTATCTCCGGCGGCAGTAGCCTCGTGCTCCGACCCAGAGTCCTCTTTGCAAATCTCAAACCTCTGTTGCGAACCCAGAGGCTTGGCGTAACGAGTTAAGTATATCATGTTGGTGGTAATACATGAAGTATTTTTGGAATCAACTTCTTTAGTTCTCACAACTGCTGGTTGCCTAACAATCAAACCTCGAGATTCAAGCTGCTTCACACTATAGAAGAAGTTCCTTCCTTCGATACCAAACTCTTTAGCAAGCAGATTTTGTGCATCTCCATTGTCTCTAGCAATAGCCAAACGTTCAAGAACACGACGCTGAATCGCGGGAATAGTCGTGTTATTCGACTGAGTATCGTATAATCCAACGAAGTTAGCTCGTAAGTTCTCATTAGCGATGATCCTTAAATCGAGTCTTAGTGCATCGTCAAGCTGTTGAATAGAAGTATCTGATGATCCGTACACATTGTTCTTCGTCTTGAATTGGAGCTGAGGGATCGTGAGAAGATTTCTCCATACATGAACCTTCACGGAAGAAGAAAGAGTAGAGAGACGTGACCATAAAGAAACGAGAGCGATCCCTGTGTTTCCCTGAGAACAGATTTCATCCAGTGCTGTGGATATAATTGAATCCATCTCTCCGGTTAGGGTTAGGTCAACGGGAAATCTTCCGATCAAAAATTAGTCAGTCAATTTCGTCGGATGGGTTTAGGGAATTGAATTTATACAAGTGGAAGTTGGGAGATGGTGGCGGGATCAGAGGACGATCGAGAGAAAGATATTATCTTGAGTTCTTGGTGACGGGTTCGATCTCAAACAACTGCGAAGAATATATTAATTAGGAGGTTCTTATATTTCTTGTACATGATTGCTAAATTAAAGTTCTTTAACATTTTTGTCCAATCATAAAAAATATAGTAATTAAACAAAAAGAAAAATCTGTGTAGTATTTATTTTGCTTTTATATTGTACTAAGACCATGTTTATCGGGCCAACTAATGGCCTGATCTTAGGTTAAAAAAATAATAAAATGTTGGACAAGTGGGTTTAGAACATGAGAAGTGGTCTTGGGCTAGAACTGATCTAAGCCCGTTCTTGTGGCCACGTGGCACCCGGGGATTGGTTCGAATTTTGTTAACGGAAATTGTTTTTCGTTTTGTTTTTCTCTCCCGTCTCTCTGTCTCCGGCTCCGGCTCGTCTCAAATCAATGGCAAAATCAGAAGGAGAAAAAAAAGAAAAGAAAGAAAAGAGATGCAATAATTATTTGGCGAAATCAATGGCGAAATCATAAGATTGACCAGTTCTGAGGAGAAAAAAAAAAGAAAAGAAAGATTTACTTGTTAACATATAAATTTTCAAAATTTTAGTTTAGTTTTTAATGTTTTCAATTTTAAAAATAATTTTTGTAATTTTTAAAAAACATTTAAAGTTTTTGATTATTAAATTATTAATTCATAAGATCTAATCATGTTCTACCAATAATCACTTGTTTTACAAATGATCTTAATTAGAGCTCTTATAATATTTTAATATTATTTCATCCTTAAGATCAATCTTCAAAGATGCACCCTTGCATATGCCCTAAGATCTATTATTTTTTTTTTCGTCTAGATTTATTATTAATTGCAAATTATAAGAACTGTTACATAGACGATTTTACAACTGACAATTTATTCCGACCCTTACTAGATCCACGACAGACTATACTTTTTTCTTCATAATCTTGATGAATACCTTCAATGATCCACGACCTAGCGACACTTCTTTCTCTGTGTAGAATCCTGGCGAACGGCTATAATTGTACATCGCTGGAGATCTCTTGCACACTTGTCTCCATTAATCTGCAAATTTGTTAATAAATCGCAATATCTGGGACTCGAACCCCAGAGCTCTTGGTGTAGAAGCATTAATCAACCCTTGGTCAACCAATGGGCCAAGGGGGCTTCCACACTAAGATCTATTATTATCAAGTTTTTTTTTTCCTCTAGATTTATTATTTATTGCAAATTATGAGAACTGTTACATAGACGATTCTACAACGGACAATTCCTTCCGACCCTTATTAGATCCACGATAGACGACACTTTTTTCTTCATGCTCTTGACGGACACCTTCAATGATCCACGATACTTCTCTCTCTGCGTAGAATCCTGGTGAACGGCTATAATTGTACATCGCTGGAGATCTCCTGGACACTTGCCTCCATTAATCTGCAAATTTATTAATAAATCGCAATATCTGGGACTCGAACCCCTGACATCTTGGTGTAGAAGCATTAATTAACCCTTAGTCAACCAATGGGTCAAGGGGGCTTCCACTATTATCAAGTTTTGGTATGCTTTTGAGTTTAAAATTTTATTTGAAATATATTTATTTGTTTTAATATTGATGAAAAATAGTTATTTCCTTTACTCATTAAATTTATTTATCCTTACTTAAATTTTAGTTATAATATTAGTTGCAGAGATTTATTAAAATAGTATATTTTTAATATTAATTTGAATAGGTGTACTCTCTTAGAAAAATTTGTAGAAATTATATCCTTTTAAGTTCAAATATAATGTACCCATCTCCTTTTCAAAACATTACTTCTTACTTTTTGGAGTTTGTCATCAACTTTTTATTATCTAAACAAAAAAATCTCCATGTATTTTCAATTTTCAGTTATGTCATGATTTTCTTATTTTCTACAGATCCAAACTATTCAAATTTTAAAATTTATTGTTTAGATATGGGATTTTAATGAAGAAAAAAAAAACTCTTAAATATCGGTAGATCCATTGTTAAACCCTTATCTAAATTATTAATGAAAAATTTAAAGAAAAAATCTCTTAAGTACTTGTCAGTCCATCTAAAACTCCTAAAATAAATTATTAATATATAGTTTTACTGTTTTAATAATTAAACGAATCTGAAATAAAAGATAAGCACAAGAACAGGATCAATTTCTATTTTACATGATTTGGAACTTTTAAATCCATATCAGCAATTTTAAAAAATTATAATTTTTTTGGACAAATATTGCATTGTGTTAAGTCTAAAAAAAAATATACACGTCGTTTTAAATGAGCTAATGTTTAGGCGGAATTATAAATGAAGAGTTTTTTATTTAAAATTTTGTACTTAAGATTTTTTTTTCATTAACAATTTTGTTGAGAGTTTTTAAAGGATAAATGGATGGACTAATACTTGAAGGGTTTTTCACAGCATCGGTTTGATATCTTTCATAAAGTTTTATCTAATGACGTCGTTCTGGTGACCAAATGACCAATGCGGCAACAAAGGGCTGAAATGAGCAGACACAACTCTAGAGTCAAGCAGTTCCAAGATCGGTGTGAGACTCACGCACCTCGGGACCTTATACTGATTAATCGATGAACCTCTCGAGATGGCATAGTCCATGAGCTCCTCAAACGTACCCTTTTGCACCACACGTATCTCCAACGGACCGATAGATTTATCTGAAACCCGACTTTGTCTATAAACCGAGTTCAGCGATTCCTCCATCTCCAAACAGCACTTAGCCATAACTTCGTCGCTAGGAAGAGCATTGCTTTGGTCTCTACCAAGTAGCTCCCAGTAGATTACGTAATGGCCCGGTATAGTCTTCGTTTCTGCATAGCTCGTGTACTCGATCACACGTGTTCCTTGCTCTGCAAGCAACCTCGACGCATTGTCCACTGCCTTTTGTAGATCAGCCTCGTCTGTTTTATCAGATTCAATGCTCAGCAAAACATTCTTTCTCCGTATGAATTTGAACTGTGGAGCGAAATTATGGAACCCCGTGACACATAGGATGTCGCCAACTCTGTAACGATAGAGCCCCGCGTAGGTCGTGATCACGAGTTCATACTCTTTTCCGACCTCAACAGCAGCTAGCTCAACAAGTGAGGTTTCATCTAATGCTCCATCTCCATCGTGATTATATGGGAGGAATTCGAAGTAGGCCATGTTAGGCATGATTGTGTAAGAAACCTCCGAGGGTTTACACATGGGATTTAGGTTAATCCCGAAGTAACTTTCCGACGAAGCATAGATGCTGCTTGCAATCGGTAATCCTCCGCTATAGTACTCCAACATCGGGATATATTGAGCCATTGCTCCAGTAACAATCACATCAAGGTACTTAGTGTTAGGCCATATCTTTGTGATTATCCCTTCCCAATTCTCTTGTGAACAAATCCCTATCAAAAACTCAGCCAGTTCTTGATCAGGTTTGTTCAAAATCTTCGACATTCGGTTTTTAATCTCAGGATCAAAGATTTTAGAACTTAGGATACCGGTTGAGATATCCTGAGCAAGTTCCTTCCAATTGTTCTGGAGGAAGCTTATGGCACGGAGGAGTCCAGAAGGAAACACCGCGCCGAGTCGGAGAACTTCATGGCGCATTAAGAGACCACATAGCATTTGCGCATACATGCTTTGTGACGAGTCGGAGCAGAGGATGGCTTCCCTAGGACTAGTGTAGTCGCTTTGCAGATCGGACGTCCTGAAGTGGTCGCTTTTGTAGTAACTAGTGAGAGCCGGACGAGCCGGTAACCCACCTGAAGTCTTAGACTCCGACTTCACAAATAAGAAGTATAAGCCTTTGCCCTTGTCTAATCCCGGCACGTAGCTACAAACATTTTTTTGGTTAATTAAATAAATCGTTAAAATTTTGGTAAAAATTCGTTACAAATACACATATAGTTATATGGTTAAAGTATATACTAACAGATTCATCACAGGCATGAGAAGACCGCCTAAAAGCTGTCGTCGGTCTATATCTTCCTCAATTGTCGGCATTAATTTCCTCTCACCAGAAGATGTTCCAGAGCTACGAATGCATACAAAAAGTTATAAATTACGTCAAAGAATAGCCAAGTTACTTCACACCTTCATCGAAATTCAACGGTTGTATTGGAATGTTTCTGTATTTTATAAACACTTTTTATATCAATATATTTGATTTGATGAAAAAAAAAAATCGATAAAAAACAGTATCCTATAAGTATTTTATAAATTTTTTATATTATGATTGTTATGAGGTGATCAAAATCACGTCATTAAATTTCTTTATAACAACGATATTAATCATTTTGACTTCATTTATAACATACCTTGTGAGAAACTCGTTGATGGGGTGAGAAGATAAGATCGGAGAACGATCACCGTTGGATATACGTTGAATCTCCTTCTTCAAATTTTCGTACATAACCACCGGAACTTTGCTCTTGAACGTTTTCCTATCAACGGCCCCATTAAGATCGAACCGTTTCAGATATTCGGTGTTCGAGTTACGACTTAGTATCTCTCCAAGAACCTTCTCTTGAACCGAGTCAGGGTTCCTAGTCATCTCTTCAATGAACTTGAGAGCCTTCATGTCTTTCTCGGATGTCGTCGGTGAAGCCATACGAGATAGAAGAGGCGAATCAACGGCCATGGTTGATCGAATGTTTTTTTTGTAAAAGCAAGAATATTAGCAAATGTTTGATGAGTATAACTCTCTGCAAAGAGAAGGCTGTATTTTATACAAGGGGAAGTTCCACGTCAACAAGTCAAGTGTTAAGAAGAGGGCTTCTTGATTGGTGAGAGATACACATAGACATCTCATCAATATAATATTAGTAAATTTATTTTAATTTAAATTGAGAATCTCATTATCAAATATAATCTCCATTGGCTAGGTAAAATTCATAAATATATTAATAATATTTTTAGAAAAGAAATAGAAATCAATATTAATATTATTTAATTTAAAACTTTTATGTTAGATTTTTAATTAAATATCAGATTAAATGTTTAATATATTCAACTGTATTCAGTATTAGTAATCTTAATCTTAATATCAATAATTATCAATGAAATCCATTGTAAATAATACAATCAAAGAGTTATAATCTATAAATATAGCTATATTTAACATTTTATTTAGTTCCATTTATAAACTAATCAATTATTAGTTTAATTAGTAATATGTCATAAGATTGATCACTATATATATTTCTTTGAAAACTGAAAAATGTATGACCTTCCAACTTTAAAATATCAATTTTAAAACTGAAATGTATCTACAATTATAAATATGATCAATCTTAAATATTTTTCTGCTAAAATTTCAAACTATATTATTACGTATAACATATTTCATAGTTTTATACTTATAATATTAATTCATTTTTATTTAACTAAATAAATTTCATCATATGAAACAATAAATATAAGATTCATCACTATATATTTTTCTTTGAAAAGTGAAAAATAAATGACATTTCAACTTTAAAATATCAGTTCTAAAACTGAAATGTTTCTAAGATTTTCAATATGATCAACCTTAAATATGTTTTCACTAAAATTCAAACTATATTATTACGTATAACATATTTCATAGTTTATACTTATTATAGTAATTCATTTGTATTTAACTTAAAAAAAAATTCATCATATAAAACAATAAATATAAATATTTATGTAGTGAATGAATTTTTAATAAATTATAATTTATAAGATGTTTAGGTGGACGCTAACGTGGATGCTGATGTCGATAGCATAGATGGAGAGAGAACTCTCTAATTATATATATAGATTGTTACAAACACTGACATCATTTTTGTATGCAAATCTTTCTTTGTTTTTCTTTGCAACCCACACATATTGACAACACCAAGCAGTGAAAATATTTACATCACTTGTTTATATCAACACAAAATATCTGAGTTACCACACTATAGTCAGTTATATAAGGCAGCTTTCTTCTTCTTCAACTCCGCATCCTTTTTTTTAGCAAGACTGACTCGTTCTTTCGTCTTCTCCAACTCCGCTTGCTTGACATTCTCTTCGTGTGCTTTCTTAAACAACCTTATAAAACTCAAGAGTATCGCGGTAACTGCAGCAATATTGATTACCAGGTATTGTTATTAGCTACATAATAACAATGAGCCACTTTCTAATGTATTAGCACAAATGAGGATGAAGTTTATTGTTTCCGAAGCATACCTTTTTCAAATGGATAATCGTTAGGACTCTCGCCAAAATAGTTTGCAAGTGCATCAGCATTTCTTCCCTGTCGTCCATCATAAGATTGATTCAAAAACAAATGTAATTAATTTCAGGATTAAACACATTGTCAAAGGTTAGGCGCTTGGAATCTAGTAGTAAGAGGTTGACAAACATTACCACGGTGGAGTAAAGACTCGGTACCGTTGCTACTTGAGTCTCAGCCATGGATATGAAGTCTTTCAATAACTGTCGAAAACATCAAACTATATTTTAGTATCCGGAAGAAGTTAAGTAGAAAAACAAAGAATTGATTTTACAAAATGATAGAATATTTAGTCATGGACCTAATCTCAAATTCATGATTGATAAAAGATATGCAAAAGATCGAGAAGATAGAAAAACAAACATACTTTAAGGAAAACTTGAGAAACAGGACCATCACTTTCGGATGCAGTGAGCTCCTGGTTCAGTTTTTCCAATCCTTTGGTTATAGCTACAATTTCCTCAGCTAACAACTTCAAGTGTATCTGAATCGACAGGACAATCGAATGATGAGCCAATAGAAACTAAGAAACGGAAAAAGTAAGTACAAACGCAAACCTTTGAAGCTGATTCAAGACTTTCAAGATCCTTATGGAAGTCTAGTAGATCTGATGCCTTGGAAGCAAGGACCTGGAATAACAAAAGAGGAGGATTTCTAAAACAAGCCCGCTCATTTAAAATAAATGATGCTTCTTTCTTTCGATTGTAGTTTTACCTTGCAAAGATAATGCATGAGAGTCATCTCGCTGTTAGCAGCACGTGTATCGCTTAATATCAATAAACTGTCCAACTTGAATCCCACTGCACTGCCTGCAGAAAGCAGAGCAAGGGTCTTTATCAACCACAAACAAAAGTATATGATGCAATCCCATTCTTGAACTTAGCTCACATTGAACAGAAAGTTTTTTTTTTTTTGTTGCCTTAGGAAATATCTTAAGCTAAAAATGATATAATACTCACCCTTGGCAGTTCCTTGGTTCATTATGTTCCCCAAGCAGAGAATAATTTTCAGAATCTCTTTTAGCTTTTCGGAAGTACGGACCTGATGAAACAAGAAATGAGAAGAAAAAGTTCGAGAAAGAAAAACGGGCGCAGTTAATAATTATTGCAAATATCTTACCTCCTTACATGCAGAATTCACCGCATTTAAACCTTTATTGAGTTCTGTTATCTGCAAAGTAATCATCATCAACAACAGAACCAAGAATAAACAGTTACTTGGACAATGATAAAAACCAAAATCTTTTCCTCCAAAGAACAGAAAATAACATAATAGGTAATACCACCGAACCTTAGTGCCGAATTGAATTCTGAAGGAAAACACTCTCAGCTTCGATTCTACTCCTGGAACCTTCATAAGCTCTAGGAAGTACTGCGGTAGGAAAAATGGATGAGAGAAGAAAACGCATTAATCACGCGGAAATGCTCTTTTAAATGGAGCTTTAGCTTTAGCTAACTAAGCAAATTATTAAAACTATATGTAGGAGTGAAAACAGTGTGAGATTTGTAATCTAAAGACTTAAACAGACCTGGTCACACTTTCCCAAGGTTGCCTTGTCACCAGTATAGCTCTACAACAAACCAGTCAATTACGACCAAGAACAAGGACTCATGTCAGTAACAAGTGAATAATGAAAACCAAGAATTGACATATTTCCCAAAATGATCTCTAAAATAAAGTAAGAAGTAGATAATGCTACTCAAAAGTCAAGAGGTAACCTCAAGAAGCTCCATCTCCTCCTTTGTTGGGCAAAACCTTATAAGATTCTCTATTTGATCAATATCTAGTACAGACTCATCCATTGCTAGAAGTGCAGCCTAGATGATGCAAAGAATAATGTGAACAAATTATCATTAAAACTATAAAACATTAATTTGTAAATGACTTGTACTCTAGTAAGGTAGGTTTTGGAGCTTACCATTATATCAGGCAGCGGCATCTTTACTTTCCGAAGCATAATTTCTATGTTAAAGGCTCTCCTCAGGTCGATCTAGAAACGAGTAGAACAACCGTCCATCAAACAGAGTGGAATGTTTAATCACAAAGCAAGCATACTTGCAATGGGCTTTAAAGTATATGGTTAGATTAGCTTAATAGAGATCCTCTTTGTACAACTTTTTATATCTTTTACAGTAATGCGGGTATTACTCAAACTCAAAAGGAAAAAAGATTGCTAACTACACAAAGTGTTGGAAGATGCATGGTCACATATGCCAAGTATACTATTGTATCCTCGACTTAACATTTTATAATTGGTTTATAATTTCTTTTAAAATTAAAATTTAAATATATAATTAAAGTATACGGAAATATATTATTTTAATGTTAAGATACCATAGGAGGTTCTAACCAAGCTATTATGAACCACTTTTCTTGTAAGAGTGACTCCTTTCACATGCTCCATTTTCGCATTAGCGGCTTTCCTCTTCTCCAAGTCCGCTTTCTTGACATTCTCTTCATGTGCTTTCTTAAACAATCTTATAAAGTCAAAGAGGGTCGTAGTAACTGCAGCAATCCATCACCAGGTATTGTTATTAACTACATAACATTTCCAACTAAGAAACAAGTAAGGACTATTTTTCTATGTATATTGCCCAAGAGAATCGATACCTTGTTCAAATGGACAACGGTTAGGATCCTCGCCAAAATAGATGGCAAGTGCATCAGCATTTTTTCCCTGTTGACCATCATAATAAACAAAGCATTTCAAGATCAAACACATTTTCAAAGGTAAGAGGTTGAGAAATTACCACTACAGAGTAAAGACTCAATACAGTTGCCACTTGAGTCTCAGCAATGGATATGAAGTCCTTCAATGTCTGTTATCAAATACATAAAACTAGGTTTTAGGATCCGTAACTAATCTCAAATCCATGATTAATGAAAATATCTAGAAGAACAAAACCGACGTACTTTACAAAAAACTTGAGAAACAGAACCATCAGTTTCGGATGCAGTAAGCTCCTGGTTCAGTTTTTCCAATCCTTCGATTATATCTTGCATTTCCTCAGCCAAAGACTCCAATTGTATCTGAAATAGAGAATGATGAGCCAATTGCAACTAAGGAGTAGAGGACTGGAAAAAGCACGAACGCAAACCATTGAAGCTGATTCAAGACTTTCAAGATCCTTATGGACGTCCAGTAGATCTGATGCCTCGGAAGCAATGACCTGGAGGAAGAAAGAGCAGAGTTTCAGGACCATTTTCTAAAACACTCTCCACGGAATCTAGAGACTGTTTGTTTTTATAATTGTAGTTTACCTTGCAAAAATAATGCATGCGTTTAACACTTAAACTGTCCAACTTGTATCCCACTGCAACACCTGGAGGAAGAAAGTAATTTGCCTTCAGAACAAACATGTATATGATGCAACAGAAACAAAAACGCGCCGTTCTTGAATCAAAGAAATCTTATTGTGTTGCATTGAGGTCTTTTGCAAACCTTGGTTCGATGTGTTCCCTAGGGAAGGAATCTTTTTCATAATTTCTTTTAGCTTTTGTGAAGAACGAACCTAATGATGAATAAGAAATGAGGGGAAAAAGTATAAGGAAAAGAAATGCATCTATGGACTGCACAAAAACTAGCGGTAACTATTACCTCCTCACACGCAGAATCTACCACACTTAACCTTTTTTTGAATTCTGTTATCTGCACAGTAATCATCATTAACATCAGAACTAAGAATATACAGTTACATATATAGACGCTGATGAAACCAAAACCCCGGACCTTAGTGCCAAATTGAATCTTGAAGGAAAATACTCTCAGCTTCGATTCTACTTGTGGCACCTTCATTAGCTCTTGGAAGTACTGCCATAGCAAAATTGATGACAGAAGAAAATGAATTAACTAAGTAAGCTAGTTACTAACCATATATATTTATACTAGGAACCGAAAACATTGCAAGATTGATAATCTCAAGACTTCAACAGACCAGCTCCCTCTTTCTCACGGTCCCCTTGTCATCAGTGTAGGTCTACAACAAATCAGTCAATTACGACCAAGAACAAGAACTCGTGTCATTAAAAAGATACATTTCAAAAAATAAAGACAGAAGTAGATAATGCAACTCAAAAGTCAAGAGGTGTAATTAACCTTAAGAAGCTCCATATCCTCCTTGGTTGGGAAAAGGTTTATAAGATTCCTTATTTCATCAACATCTAGTACAGACTCATCCATTGCCATGATTGCAGCCTGGACGACGATGCAAAGAAAAATGTGGATAATTAATATTAAGCTATGAAAGATTAATGTAGGTTTCGGAGCTTACCATCATATCAGGCAGCCGAATATTTAATAACATTAGCCTAATTTCCGTGCCGTGAGCTCTCCTAAGGTCGTCAATCTTGAAAGCCATAAGACAAACATAAACTCTTCAAAAAGAGTGGAATATTGAATCACAAAAGTCACTTGTTTATATAGCTGTACGTGACAAAAGTCTCCACCAGAAAAGAGCAAGTTAAAATATCTGTCAATAACCAATTGTGTGTTAGGTATATTTCACATTACCAGTGGAACTTTTTGAGGTTTTGGTTTTGGTTTTGCCCCAAGAGAGAAAAGGTTCTCTATTTCTGATACATCAAGTTCTGTTGCACTAGCAAAAGAAAATAGAAAAAAAAATGATGATTAATTTCAAAGCAATGGTCAATGAGATGGGCACTTCATTGGAATTCGGTTTCTTCAGGGGATTACCAGAAAATCTGTTCATCCTCGATATCGCGGCATGCTTGTTGTCGTCTCTGTAACTCATCCCATAAGCTCCCTGGCAAAGCCCTTGTTATTTTAACCCAGTGTAATCGCTTCAGGGAGGACTTTTTTTTATCTGGACGTGGAGAAATACAACACACAATTTCTGCTTCCTTAGGATCAACCTTAGCTCTTAAGGCACCAAACATCGGAAGTGGAGGTGGAGGTGGAGGTGGGGCTCCTGGACATATCAGAGGACGTGATGGTACTCTTCTAGGCATAGGAGGAGGAGGTGGTGGTACTCTTCTATGCATAGGAGGAGGAGGTGCTCTTCTAGGCATAGGAGGAGGAGGTGGTGGTACTCTACTACGCATAGGAGGTGGTGGTGCTCTTCTAGGCATAGGAGGAGGAGGTGGTGGTGGAAGTGGTACTCTTCCACGCATAGGCGCCACCACGGCATCAGCACCGCCAGAGAACTCGACAAGCGACATTGGATCAGGAACCAAACAGACGATTTAGTAGACTTACCAAACAGATTGTTTCAGATCACTTTCTTCACCGATTTTAGATCAAATGACACTAATTCAGAGCAAAAGTTCCCAGAAAATATAAGAGAATGATCAAATGACACTAATTCAGAGAAAAAATTCCCAGCAAATATAAGAGAATGATCAAATCGCATAGACTTGTGAAAGCACAGTTGACCTTGAGCAATAGACTTTGTCCGAAATTTGAGGTTTAAAAAGACAACAAGAGTATTGTCCATTTTTTGAATTATTCATTCATACATATATATCTATATATATCGTTTAGTTGTTTGATCATATACATTCTTTTCCATTCTATTAGTTTTCACAACAAATATATCTTCTATCCAGCAAGTTTCAATTTTTATTTATCATATATGATTCACTTAAGCCCTTAAAGAAAGAACCACTACACAATGACTCTATTGCTAGAGTACATTTGACATTTTCTTGTCCTTTCTAATAGAAAGTGTCTAAGAGAGATCCGTTTGAAAGCGTCAAAATAACGGTCCCCCTTGTTACTTTGGGGGATGTATTGGACCAATGAATTTGACAGAATTTAATAGAATTTTAATTCTAGTGTTATTCAACTAGGTATTTTATAAATTCTTTAAAATTCTTGTGTTATTCAATTTCTGAAATTTTTAATTCTTTTGTGATTTGGATAGAAAGAGTCTCACGTAATATTAACGTCGTCGGTGAGAAGTTAATATTACTATCGGACGATGATCTATCACGTCGTCGTTCTCATTTCTCCCTCTTCTTCGTTTATGTGTGTTCTCGGCCATGACAAAATGTCCTTTCTCCCTCCTCAGATTTGGAGATCTTGTGATTTCATTATTTTACTTTGGCTTGGATTCGAGGATCGATATAAATAGAATCGTTTCCGATTAACAGATAGTATACATGACTCCCCATGACGCGTGACAAATTCCATTAATTTTTTACATGCTAAGCTTCGTTCTTGAAGAAAGAAAAAAAGAAAACAAATTATCTATTATTATGAAAATGAAACACAACAAATAAGCTTATGATGCGGCGGATAAAATAATCAAAACTAACAAGAAAAAACATTTACTTGGAAATTCATGGTGATTGAATGAAAACTCACCTAGTCCGACATGATCGCACTTGGCTATGCAATGGGAATGAAACTGTGCGTTTTAGCTTTGCCGTTTCATTCTCAAATACCTTATTGGTGCACTTTTTTTGATCCGAATCAACCACAACAATCGCCAAACTCTCACATTGTTTTTTTTAGTTTCTTCATTCTTATTCTTCCCGGTACAATCGTTAACATAATGTTCTTCTTCCACCGCCACGCTAGCAACTTGCATTGACCCGTGGCTTGACGAGACAACCATGACAATACCGAGACCTAGCCAGATGAGAATAGGAAGAATGATCAGGGACAAGGCGTAGTAGATGATCCATTGGAATCCGAAATGGTTTTTGCCATGAAATGTCCATTCAAAAGCAAAAGCGATTCCGGAGAAGAACGTGGCCAAACTGCTTATAGAAAAGATTCTAACGATTCTCGGGTTAGGAACGTCGAAAAATGTCTTGATGTGGTTAAGCCAACGCTTTGGTGGTTGCGGTGGACTAATGGTGGTGGTCTTTAGCTTTTGGTCCATGTTCGTTTCTTTTTCTTTGAGAGGAAGAGACTACATAAGTTATTGAAGCTTACTACTATATAATTAGGAGATAAATTATTATTTTTTTACTTTTTCTTAGTTGAAAAGTTGTTCAGATTCTTGCGATTTAATGGTATGAGATTTTGAAGTTTGAAATTATAATGCAGAACAGAAAATAATTTAACTATTTGTTAATTAGTTACATAAAACAACAAAACCAAGTCAAACCTGCTTGCTCTCTTTCTTCCTTTTGGTCAGTCTCGTGTTGGCTGCTTCACGTGGAATAGTTGATATAGGGGAAGGAGTAGAGCTGTCAAAATGGGTGGGCCGCCCATGGACTGTCTGTGTCCAACACCTAATGGACCGGTCATGGACAAGCCCATTTTGATATAGGCGTTAATGGGCATGGTCTTTAATGGACATGATCTTTAATGGACTGGACGTTATTGACATGGGCGGTCCAATACACTCAAAATGTTAGGTCAAATCAATTTGGGGAAAAATCGAAACTCATTTAGCCATTTACTAAATTTCTTAAAATCGAAATCAGAGATTTCTCCGCCGATTTCTTCGCATATCTCTTGTCTCCATGGTTCAACACATCAATTTCATCAACTTCTTTCAATTCAAGTGAGAACATTTGCGATTTAGGGTTTTTTTCAAAAACTTACGTATTTCAAAATTTGTTCTAATGGTGACCAATGGACAGCCCATTTGGACATGATCACTATTTGTCCATAACTAAAATGGTCAATATTGGACCGGACTAATGGACGTGGACAGCCCATTTTGACAGCTCTAGGAAGGAGCAGGTAAGTGGCTTTCTTCAGTTACACAACTTTGGGAAGCACCACGCTTGGCGAACGACAAAATGTAGATAAAATTGTTTTCAAGGGTATCGAAGAGCATTTAACCACTTTCTATCTCCATGATAGCATTATCTCTTTCAAAAAGAGAGCTTTTTCCGCTGGTCAAGTGCTTCATCGCGAGCGGCTAATGCTTCCTTCCTAGCTGCTACCGCTTCGTTTCTTTACTTAGACTGTTGCATCCCTCTCAGCAAGGATGGACATGATTTTCAAACATTTAGCATATGTTGGATGAAACATTTAGATGGACCATCTGAATAGAAATGTCAGATAATCAAACGAAGAGGCCCTTATTCATCACCAACGAATTATGTTGCTCCTTTATCTGACCATATGAATGAGAAACTAAAGACAATAGAAATACAAAGCAAAAGTTATCAAACCAAGATGTAAGAGGCTGAAATCTTAAATCTAAGAAGAGAAGCAAACATGCTTAAACCCTAAGAGAAACAATAGAACAAAGAAAGCAAATTAACCACTTCTTCTGAAGCACATGCGATGAGATTTACCAAAGATGTTCGGTGGCCAATCCAAATCACTTCCTATTTCAATGAAAGCCGATTTTTCAAACTCGAGACCCAAAAATTTCATAACCGGACAAGCAAAACTACTAAAAACTGACATAACACACATATGACAAATTTATTCGTTGATATTTTAATTTTTTTATGAAGATTTGTCATTTCATGTAATTTTTATGAAAATTTGTCATTTCATGTAATTGAAAAGAGTGTTCTTGAAAAAATCCTAGTTATATGGTAATCCGTAAAAATATCCTAGTATAATATGGTCAGCATAACTGGTTTTGCCATAACCGGAAAGATTCCAAAAAAAAAATCGTCACTTTAAAATTAAACCAACCGAACATCGAAAAGATTCGTCTGTTGTCATCTTCTTCTTCAACTTGTTCTCTGTTTCTCTCTTCGCCTCTTGAGTTCCTCACTTCTCGGTTCTACATTCATTCATGTCTCTACCCAAATCTATCTGGTAAATCAAAATCAAAAATTTCACAATCCCCAGTTTCAATTCCATCCCCAATTCTCATATCATTACAATCCCTAGATCTCTCTCTGAGTCTCAATTTGCTGTAGTTTTCATGGACCTTGTTCGATTGAGAGACATAGGTTCAATTTCACCTCAGAGAAGAAGAAAATGGCTGATTCTATTAGCGGTTTTCGGTGTTTCAGGTTATGGAGTTTACAGGGTTTACAATTCTGAATACATCACTAGAAAGACGAAGCGTCTTATGAAGCTATTCGGAGGTATTGTTTCATTCGCCGAATTGGTAATCGATTCGGCGGAGACGATAAGTATCGTTTCTCGGGATTTGAAAGAGTTTCTGGATTCGGATTCTGATGAAATCCCTAATAGTTTGAAACAGCTTGCGAAGATTACTAAATCGAAAGAGTTCACTGATTCTTTAGCTAGGGTTTCTGAAGCCGTAGCGATTGGGGTTTTCCGCGGGTATAATTTCGATCAGGAGTTGAAAAACGTCGAAAAAGAATCGAATTTGAGTGTAGTTGATAGAGTTTTCTCAGAGGAAGGAGCTGGTTTTGTTTCTGTTGTTGTTGGTAGCTTTGCTAAGAATCTTGTTCTTGGATTTTACTCTGGTGAGATTGAGATTGATGATTCTTCAAAACCTAGATGGATGAATTTGTTTAGTGATGATAAGTGTAGAGAGCTTTTAGCAGATTGTATTGAGAGATTTACTAGCTCGGCGGTATCGGTGTATATCGAAAAAACGGTTGGGGTTAATACTTATGATCAGATATTCTCTGGTTTGACGAATCCGAAACATCGAGATAGTGCTAGAGATGTTCTTGTTTCGGTTTGTAATGGAGCTCTTGAGACATTCATGAGAACTTCTCACGATGTCATTACATCTTCAGGCGAGAAAACTGATTCTTCTTTAAGGAAGTCGGAGAATCGAGAAGAATCGAGAAACGGATGGGCTGAGGCGCTTTCGACTACATTAGCAGTGCCAAGCAATAGGAAGTTTATGTTTGATGTTACGGGAAGAGTGACGCTCGAGACAATGAGATCAATTCTTGAATTTGTAATCTTGAAAACGTCACAAAGCTTTAAGAGGAGTTTGGATGTGATTCATGAAGAAGTTACAGAGAGAGGACGTCAAGTAGTTGGATACGTAGGTGCCAAATCTTCAGTGATAATCACTGTTTGCCTCGCGGTTTACCTTCACATCTTTAACCGCATTGTTCGAGGCTCTCCGGTTTACTTAAGCCAGCATTTCTAGTTATCGGATCGATCTTTTAGCTCGTTAGAGTTGTTAGGGACATTAGATCTTCAGCTTTCACATTCTTATTGGTGTTGGAGCTGAATAACGTAGAGTTTTAGCAGTGTAATGTACGCACCACATATTGATTATTATTTATAAGAGGATTCTTGAGGTAATCTCTGCATTTTTTTTTTTGAACAAAGGTAATCTCTGCATCTATGCAACTATAGATGATATAAAACATATGATTGATTACTTAATTAGGCTGTAACTGCTAAATTGCATAATTGGGCTGAATTATTACTTAAATTGACGCTGAATTTGAAGGTTTATCACTTTCGAGTGTTTTATTTCTATCTTATTCTATAATCGCTTGTCGGTGTTTTTTTATCGCCTAGTACTAGATATTTTTAACTGCGTCGAAGTGTACAAAAGATAATAATGTTTATTACGTCGGAAAAATGGATAAATTAATGGTAATTTCTTTGTAACAAATCGGTAGTTATTGAGGTTCCCCGCTCCGATTGACGCAACACGCCAAGATTTTGCCAACGCTTAAGCAAATCAGATCGACGATTTGTGTTCCCTTCTCTTTCTTCTCTCTTTCTCGCATCGATTTCAGCAAAATTAGAAACGAACCAGTCACAGAGAGAAAGAGACAGACATACCAGAAAAAAAAAAAAAAAAAAAAACCCTATTCGATCACGAGATCGTCGCAACGTTTCTAGTATTCGAATCGCGAAGAATTTTGCAGAATCGGAGGTTCGCAAGCCGTGAAGGTAGAAAATGCTTAATGATGGAGAAGAGACTCCTTCTAGGTAAACAAGTGGCGATGATTTCATTATTTTGTGCTCTATGCTTGATCATGCTTAGTTCCAGTAGTTTCTCCGTGAATCATTGAACGGAGATAGTTGTCTATTTCATGGATTTTGTTATTCCACCATGAAAATTGCTTATTCGGAAACTAAGATTTTGGCATTAATTCAGCATTTATTTGATCCGATCTTTATCTTTCTATATGTAATTTTGTGTTCTAATCGAGAATCTGAGAAAAGGTTTAGTAGTGTGTGTGGCTTAATTTTGATTTTGTTGTCTGCTTCATGTTTTTGTCAGACATGAGATTCTGAGTATGGTTAAGAAGCACTCAAAGTCATTAGGGAAGACGTCTCTTGATGAGCAAGATGCGTCTGATGTAGAAATGGACTCTAATTTCTGGCATGGTGTGTTTGATGTTTACTTCATTCGTTGCATGGAGTCAAGGAGACGGCAAGACGATGATCTTCTGTTTTTTGTCAGGAAATTGGTATGTAAGCCGGAAATTTACAACATCGGTATTATCCTGCAGGCTTGTTAATGTTGCTGAGTGTTTTGTTGCTTTTGCCAGAGCTGTAAGTCATATGGTTTGACTGAAAATGAAGAAGCACCAGCTCCTTACTTTGTGCGCAGGTGGGCACCTAAGGTAAAAACTGTAGGAAACAGATATCTGGTTATATCTTCTTACATCAGGTTTTGTTCTTTTCAATTGCGAAGAAGAAAACGGTTTCGGAAAAATTGATTTACTTATGGAGCATCTTTTTTCTTCTTCTTTAATCGGGTGAGGGAGTGTACTTTAAGCTACAGGATTGTTCTTTGCTGGCCTACATGCCAAAGCATTTTATGATCTATCATATCTTATTTATCCAGGAACTAGATCCCTTACCGCTTCAAAGTATCCATGTCTTTGTGGTGTTGCACCTTGTATTTATTGTCTATAAACACATGGTAATGAATTTCTGCTCCATTTTGAAGCAGTTGGATGAGCTGCTTGGTGAAAGTCTGCCTGAAGTTGATTGGAGGAAATCATTTTATTTGAATATGATTGCCCACACATCATTCACTGTTACAGTGGCTATTTGCAGGTAACCGTTTCACTTTCAGATTGTGATTAGCGGCATCATGTATTCATGTCGGTCTAATTTACATTAATTGTCAATTCTTGTTCTTTTATTGCTGTTTTGCTACTATTAGTATCCTCCTTTCTTGGTTTTGGGTTCAAACACATCTTATTGCATCAAACATTACTTCAGTCTAGCTATTTCTTAGGTTGGAATCGCAGATACCCTCTTCTTCATTTCAGTGATTTAGCCTTGAGTCATCTCTATGGCCCGTTTCTTCTGTGGTCCATTTTCTACTTATCCTATGGCTTTTTTTGTCTTTCCATTTTACTGCACCATGGTAACTTTGAACTGCTTGTGTTTTAGTAATGAGGCCCTTAAGACGTACCAAGGCAGTAAAGACACAAAACTCTCTCCTATATACAAGGTTAGAGCTCCTAAAGTGTTGGATGAAATTGCTCTTGACTCTTCAGCTCGTCTTCACTCTTTTCATGAAAAAGCAACAGAAGCAAAAGAGTATTTATATACTCTGCTGTTCAGAATATGTCAGTCCAGTTTTGTTTTTATCATGAGCCTATTAAAACAAGAGTAGGGAAACGGAATATGAATCCAGTTTCGTTTTTCACAAAGAGAGGACATTCCACAGGAATGTTGGGCCAAAAATAAATTGGATATTTCTTTCTGAGCTTTATGTTCGTTTCATATTCTGTAAGCCAATAATAATCACATTCTCTGATCTGACATTCATATCGTGCAGGTAGTAAAAACTGTATATGCATCACCTAGTCGTGTTAATTTTCATCTGGACTCAAAGAAGGCAAGTATAGTCGTTTTTCTCGTAGCAATGTTTTTCCATTTGGAATTAGCGTTTGATGTTTCCATTGTTGTGTCAATAGGAAGTAGAAACAACACCTGCCTACCCAGAAATTTGTTTTGCCGTAGATGATTTTGACTCAACCTTTGATGCTGTGGTAACATATTTCCTTCTCCCTTCCTTTGTATTACCCTTGTAACGGTTATATTATGTCGTCCTTTCGTTCAAAGAAACTCTAAACATGAATGTCAAAGGAAATGTGACATTTTGTTCATAATGAAATCGTCTCTGGAAGAATAGTTTTTAGTTAGAGGAAATCTGCATGAACTCCCCTTTGCCAGTTTGCCACTGGGGTGAAGTTACATGCATTCTTAGTTTCTCCTTAACTGGATAGTAAAATCTTTTGTAGCATACATTAGTTGTCTTTTGGTACAGGATCCAGATAATAATACCTTTTGCGGTGCTTTAACATCCTCTCCTTATTTGAGTTTAGTACCTGCTATTTATTACCTTCTTCAGAGGATTGGCCTGTCTTCTTCTTTAGTTTTGCTTAGGCGCAGAGGAGTTTGGCTTTATGGTTCCTATAAATAACTTAAGTCGTATGGTTAGGTTCATGCATGGAAGCTGTTATACTGACCGACAGTTTTTTCCAACCTTGTTCATTGGCTTTGTCATTGATGTTTGCAGGTTCTGACAGAAAAAGATCATTGCTATTGCGTACTACTAAATTCTCACGATGGGGCAGCCTTTCCAAGTGCAACTGTTAAAGATTCGAGTGATTCTAATACGAATGCTGACCCTAGAAGTGTGAAAGATCCTAAGGTCTAGTTTTTTCCCGTCTATGTTTCTCTATTTTCAGCAGCTGCTGCCAATCATCTATCAATTATTCATTTGCTACCTTCTATGAGTTTCAAACAGATTCCTTAATATGTGGTCTTGTTTAGCAACTGGTAACGTAATCCTTCTTTAAGTAGGAGAACAAAACTAAAGGCATTTATCTTTTGCAAGCATAACTGTTCATGCATGTTGAGGGCCATGAACTATTCCCCATACTTTTGGCTGAACGTTTGGCTCTTACTTTCCATCGAGATGACCTCCATCTTGTGTTCTCTAATAGATCTCTATGGTGCACATTATACTATGATAGCCTGTTTCCATCTCAAGGGGTTTGACTGCAATTGAGTCTTAATTTTAAGTATGCTAGTCAAGCATCTGGGTTGGCCATTCTTCCAACTGAATCCTTATAAAAGTCCTGGAATATTCTGTGTCTGTAGACAGCTTTGAATGAGTTCTCTGTCCATAAAGGTTATTTAAGGATCTAAAATATCTGTTGAAGTTCAGCTGCTCCGTGCAAGGAGATTATTGGTATTTTAATGCTTTGAAAGTATCTTTTAACTATGTCATATAAAGGAATATGTCGGTAGTTTCTCTGATGCTTGCAAGGGTCGATCTTAAACAAATTAACTAAGTATTGTTTTTGATTTTTAGAAAGATGTTTTAACTTCAAGCACAGTGGTTTGTAAAAGGCCTATGGACACATTACATGGTCGTGACTTCCTCATGAAAAAGAAAATTGACATGCTGGTGCTTTTGGTTGCAGGTTACTCTGTTTTCTGGGTTTGTCAGCTATCAGATGGTTCGAGAAGCCTATGAAGGTCACTTTACAGTTTCTTTTCTATTTCTTATGCAGTTTTAGAACCTAATTCAATTCTCCAGCAACTTTTGTAGTTATGGTTTACTTGCCTTAGTCTTCTAGTACTTAGCACTATGATCTCGGTCTTTCATATTTCTCCCAAAATATTTGGGAGAAAGTATATATTAAGGGTCAATGATGGTCTCCAGCTTGCCTCCACTATAGCGCACAGAATTCATTAGTGGTTATTCATGTCAGGGAAAACATGCAGTCTTTATATTCATGCCTTTACTCATTTGCTGGAATCAATGGCTGACTCAAAAGTAAAGTCGAAAATTTTGGAAGTAATGGAACGGTACCCAACCTCAAGATGGCTGGACTACACAATTAACTTTTTTAGACATCAAATTTTGAGATATTAAGAGCTAAAAGACCTAATGGAACATATTGCTTGTTTCCTTGTCAGTATAGGCTGAGATTGCTTTCGTCGATTTGGGCTAATTGATATTTTCACGCTTTATGTTTTTTCATCTTTAAAACTTTTTTATCACAGGGGGGAGGAATCGGTTTGGAAGTCTCCTATCACTCGGTCATAACACAGGAAAAGCAGACAGACTTTATATGAGAGGTCCAGGAGGACGTGGAGAAGTTGAAGTAGCTGTTTCTGGCGTTATAGGTACTTTTCTTTTCTTATGCTTGAATGGCTCTTTATTTTTCTGTTAGTTTTTTTTCTATTTTCTCGAGTTTTACAGTGCAGTTAGTAATATTGCATGGAAGATAAAAAAAAAATAAGTAAAAACATATAGAATGCCCTAGCCAACAACTGCCTTAGGTCGGATTGTCTTAGTAACAGAAATATTTGAAGAAGTACAATCGCCAAAAGTTAAGAGTAACAGATTCTTTAAAATGTATATTGAAGACGTAGCATGCTTTAAAGGATGATTGTATAGAATTGATTTTCTCAGATCAGAGCCAAGTAGTTTTAGGGCCTGTTTCACCAATGTCTTCAAAGAAGAGCATCGATCTCGGCTCCATTTTCCGTAAAGCAGCCTCTGTTGCATCTGTCGCAGCTAAACATGCAATAGCAGCTGCAACCGCGTCATATGATGAAGACGAGATGTTCCCTCTTAAATGCTGCTTAATGTCCATCTCGTTACCGTGGGACACTATTGCTCATGATCTTTTATTCAAGGTAACAGACGATTTCTCATCAACAAATGAAACTAGTGGATCTTCTCGATATATTATCCCTTGTGCTGATCGATTCCACTTATTGTGTTTTATTTAGGCATCTCCACCAGTAAACATGGAGTAGAAGTGTAGGACACTCTGGAATGAAGCGTAGGAAACAGAAACTTGTGTGTTTTGTCTAAAATGAATTTTTGTATTTTGATTGAATATTCCTTTTGTGCTGTTACTTGACTACCGTATGTGGTTTACCGTTTACCACAACCACTGTTATTACCTCAAGGAATAAATGAAAGTGAAGTTGTCATTTTGTGAATATGCAATCATCAAGTCTATAGATTTTTGGCTACTCTTCTTGTTCTAGTATTGTGTAAACACTCAGCTTATGCTTCTACAAAAATCAATTATTAATGAATTTCAGTTAATTTAGTTCGGGCCACAAACTTTTGTGCGGTTTGGATTGATGAATTTTGGTTCAGTTTGGTTCGGTTTTTACGCCGATCCCCTATAAGATACTAATATCTTGCATAGAACATACAATGGTACTTATAGTCTTATAGACTTGGGAGTATTATACATGTGGAATAAAACAGCTTTTTGCCATCTTTTGTTGGACTTTACTTGAGAATGTGGAATGCTAAAGAATTAAAAGAAATTAGAGTAGACAAATAAGGAGAAGCACATGAATCCAACTCTTGGTGGTAGCCATTCTCCGTTTGAGGTTAAACTAATTAATGTTCCTATCTTTATACAAAAAGAAATATGTCAAAATATAGATTGGTTGTTAGACAAGTCTTAGTTAGATGACAAAACTCCATGTTTCTATTTTAATAACAAAAAGGAATTATGTTAATATGTAGAGTCGGTTATAGTTATAGAAGTTGTGAAAATGTGAATGCATTTTGAGTCCACTAACAAAAACCACAAAGTCACAAACAGTGGACTTTGGATTTTCTTGGAACGTGATTACAAAGGTCAAATATAAGAATAGTATGTTCTTTAACTTCCATTACTCTGGAAATAGTTGTAGACAAAAAAAAAAGATTGGTGCCCACTATATGAATTTTTGAGTTTTTTAAAAAAAAACTAAAATAGGAAATATTTTTTTTTATCAATGTTTAAGAAAGGACTAGGCGTTAAGTAAACGGTGACCGCGGATCAAAAAAATAAAAAATAAATAAACGGTGACCCAACATTTAGCGTCTAGAATGCCTAATCGGGACCTACGTAATTTTAGGTGCTTTCAACGTTTACAACATAACATTGTAAATATAATATCATAGATAAAAATCATATAGAACTATTCATTAAAAAATATATATATCAAATCGTAAACAAAAATTAGACAAAAAAAACATTTATTTAATTTGTATCAAACAATATATATGGATGTAAAACTTATAATTAAAATTTATGTAGTAGAATTGGAAAAATACACTGAAACGAAAGTTTTGCGATTTTATCGAAGCGATTTTCTAGGGTTCACCTAAACGATTGGAACACTGGTTTTTATACCACAGTGGCGAAATATTCCAATATTTCACGAGATAAATTTTCTTTCAAAACATATTAAGATATACGAAAATACCAAAATATTTACCCTATTTTACTTTATGTTTTTGACATCCATTTACCCTACTTAATTTTATAAAATTATTTGTTTCACAATTTTAATGATATATACATACACTATAAAGAGAATGCAGCTGTAGTTTCACTTGTATTGTTTACTTTATCTTACTAAAAAGATAAGAAAATCCAAACACACAAAATATAAACTAAGACGTAATATGCTTTTTGTTAGATTCTTCGCCATTAAGTTAAGCTCTCATCTTCTTCTTCTTGTTAACAAGACCCACACACCATTTTCTACCCTTTGATTCTTAACTTAAGTAAAGAAGCTGTATATATAAAAACTCCAAAACTGTTGTCTTTAGGTATAGAATTTTATTTGATTTTTTTTGTCAACTACATGTAATATACGAGCTTGAATTCGGAGTCTCGATGAGCTCGAAGAGGAAATAAAGTTTGTGTCCTCTTTTTATCACATTCTTTCTTAGTTTGAAACTACTCAGTATCTCTAACACCCACTAATACACATAATTGGTCTCATAACTGAAATATATTTTGAGACCCCAAATTCGGTCATGATAGTGCAATGACAACACTAACACATGGATAGACTACAAATCCTAATCATTTAAAACTTAATTGTAATCTGAAAATAATAATTTAGTATACCTTTTATATAGTTTCTTACTGATATTTTAAACATGGCGACATCCTTAAACATTCAGTGCTTTATATTAATCGAACATTACAAATAATTTTTTTTTTTTAAAACACTAATCTTACAAAGACAATGTGAAATTAATACACTATCTCTGTAGTTAAAAAGTAGTGCTAAGAAAGTGATAAAAGTTAAAAAGCAGTATCCAAACAAAAGGTATAAAAGGATTAAAAAATACAAAAGTTAAAATAATATAGTAATAATGTTATCCCATAGCACTACTAATCGACAAACATTCCAATTAATCTCTAGATTGACTCTGATTATGACATATTAATACTTGGCACTTTTTTAGTGGACAGTATAATCCCAATGTGAGTCCCACGTGTTCTTCCTCATTTCTCTCTATAAATACTACTCATGGTTCATTTTGAATCTTCCCCTTCCTCTCTAGCTTTCACTCTCTAGCTTAAATACCAATTATACCAATAACCGGTTTAGTACCAAACCGGATATCGTTTTCTATCTAGTATCGATGTTTTCTACCAATTTAGAGCCGGTTCATATCTGCTTTGATGATCATGATACGATAACCGGTGATGAAATCAATGAAATATTGGCGTTTCTTCAATCAGACGAGTCGGGTTTTCCAAGTGGTACAAATGAGTTAGTACCGGTTGATGAGAAGAAGAGAAGACGGACGATATCAAACCGGGAATCGGCCAAGAGATCAAGGTTGAAGAAGAAGAAACGTTTTGAAGAGTTAACCGAAGAAGTGAACCGGCTGAACCAAAGGAATCAGGAGCTGAAAAACCGGATAGCTAATGTGGTTAGTTGTGGTAATTTCATATCTAGTGAGAATAACCGGTTGAAAACCGAATCGGTTTGCCTTGAAATTAGGCTTCTAGAGTTGTACCGGTTTTTAGTGGCCATTCAATCGCCAATCTCAACTAGAGTAAATTACATCACAACGCTCGAGATTTAAGTTTGAAAAAGAAAAAAAAACGATGCCAAGTAAACTTTGAGCATTTTTGTAAAGGTCAAACGTTTTTTTAACTATATATCTTCACATTTTGGTTCAAAGTTATGCATATGTGTATATGTAATCTGTATGGATAATATTTGTGAAACTTGATTCCGTCCACATAAACACATTCATAATTCTATTGTCGAGACCTAAACAAGACGTGCCGAAACAAGACCCGTTCATCGATATCGTCAAACTAAATTAAAAGTTTCAAATTTATATTTTTCCTCAAAAAGCCGAAAGACAAAAATCAAGTTCAACAAGCCTAAGCATAAAACTAAATTTCCGATGGCATTTAAACTCGATCCATGGAAAGAAAACGTTATGAACTATTTTATGGCATTTAAATATTTAATTATCTTAGGATTATCTTCGCATGCATGCATGTTCTATATTGCTTATGTGAATGAAAAGTTTATATGATTATCATTCAAGGAAAAGTTTGGTAAACGTACGTAACGAAGTAGCCAAACATAACACTATTTTTTTCCAGCTATGACTTTGAGCTCAAGCGTCCAAACATGATAATATGAAATATGGTGTAATGCACATAAAGATCAAAGTTTAGAAGATAACAAAAGGTGGTTTCTCATTTCTTTGACCATACCTTTCAATAAGAAATTTTCCCTAAGTTGACACTTAGATAAACTATGTTCGAAACTCTAAACTTGCTAGCTTAATGCAAATGTTTTTTACAAATACTTTTCGAATTGTTAGACTATTAACCATGTCTTTAAGCCTAGATATTCAGATAATGTTAAAAGTTTACGAGGTAATAATTCCGAAATAATTGTTTGAGTTTAGCAATATGATTATTAGAGCACCTCTATTGGTAGTTTCTACATGAGAAACTCATATTAAAAATAAATAAAAAAACAAAAAGAAAATAATTTTTTAGTCAAAAAAGTTGAGAAACTTTGAGAAAGCCTCTCTCTCATACACATGTCACTCTTAGATTGGTTTAAAAATTTCTTTAAAAAATCAATTACTGTATGATTTATAATATCAATTAAATAATTTATAGGTTATTATTTTTATTTTTTATTTTTCTACAATTCATAAAATAAAAATATCTATATATCAAGATCCATTATACAAAAGTTTAAACTATATATTAATATTATTTTTAATTGATATTAGTTTAGGTTAATATAAATATAAATTAATATTTTTAGTTAATAAAATACTATAATATTAGAAAATAAATCTGAGATAAATAATTTGATATTTTGTCAACATTTTGATATTTTGATAAATAATGTGTTATCTTTTTGTCATTATTCACAAAATGTCTAATGTAATTAAAATCTATTTGATAAAATGATGTGTAATTTTAATCATATTGTTTTACAAAATGTCTAATATAATTAATTGATATGTTTAAATTTATAAACTTTTTATTAAAATATTAATTTTATGTGGATGAGATACTCATAGAATATCTCACTAATGAGGTAATATTGTAGTATGAGTTTCTCTAAATAAAATATTAAAAAATAAATAGTATTATATAGTTGAGATACCCTGTGAGTATCTCACCAATGAAGATGCTCTTATAATTTTTTCTTTTATAAAGAAAATGTCCCATCCTAAAATCACAAATACTTTTTGGTAGTGTGCACTATAATACTATATGATGGGGGTTGAAGACAAATCTTGGACCAAATCATGCACACAAAGGAAAACATGGGGCTTTGTTTGTGTGGCTAATTAAGTAAATGATCATACATTAAGAGATGCATGCATGCATGATACAAAGAACAAAAGCAGTTTTTTTAAGGTTGATTTGCTAAATGACCATGTATACGGTAGTTATTTATTTGCAAACGGTAACATACGGTGACAAATTGTAAATAAGTGACATATTTGTGTGCATGTTATGCAGTAACAGTCTACTTATTTACCATTTTAACAGCTGTTGTTTTTACAAATAAATGACTCATCACATGATTACCTAATCCATATGCATTTTGTTTAGGTCTATATATATATGTAAATGTTAGTATCACAATTCACAAGCTAGTTTAGAACATGGAACAAAAGTAAACCCAAAATCGTACGTAGGTAAGGAAACAATAATTAAAGGTAACTTTCAGATAATATAGATTATCTAAATAAGCAAACTTCATCGAAAAAATCAAGATGAATCATGTCCAAGAATTGTAATGCAGCTACCAACCAATCGTGCGTAGGTAAGAGAACAATAATCAAATGTTACTTTCAAACAAAATAGATTATCTAAATAAGGAAACTTCATCGAAAAATATCAAGATGAATCATTTCCAAGAATTGTACTGGAGCTACCAACGTTAAGGAACAAAGAAAATAAGGTAGTGTCACTGTGTCTGAATAAGGAAAAAGAGAGTCAGAGAGATGTGTCATGTGATGGGATCTTCTCGGTGGATATCATATAAAGCTCTCATCAATATTGAACTCAAATCTATTTTTTGTCACTTTATTCGGCCGACATATCTTCGCAGAAGTTCCATAAATTTTATCTTTTCTAACCCTAAACAAGTATATTTTCTAGATATTTATTAAGATGTCGGCTGTATAAAGGTAAAATTTCTCTGACATATAAAAAGAATGATACAATTTCTCTTCTGAAGATATTTCTATGGATGAATGTTTGCCGGTTCATTGCTCATTGATTCGTAAGCTGAAAATGAATCATTTTCTAATACTAAAATTAAATCAACCGTAAATATCTCTATTTCACATGAAAAGGTGATATTCGAAGTTACCGTTTGATATAGTACTTGATATTTTCACAAACAAGGATGCTGCATTATAATTTTTTTTTATCAAAACAAATGGCACAATTTTAGTTTACCTTTTCACATTTTCAAATTATCATTTTGGTATATTATAGTATTCATCAATTTTTTTTCTTAATTATTTGAAAATAATTCGGCTATATAATAAACATTTTGAAAACCAGTTCTCTGTTGAGCTAATAAAAGATTTTACTATTTTACCATTTGATTATTCAGTTATTAAACTATTTTACTCTCATACTACGGTCATGTCAAAAGTTTTATGGAATACTATCAAACTTTTGAGAGAAAAAAAAATTCCAAATTTAACTTCAAACTACATATTCATCTACCAAACTCATAGTTTGAGAATGTATTATGAAGTTGGAAATTTAATCTCAATACTAATTGAACCAACTGAATTAATTAATCAAATAATTAAAACCAGATTAAAATATTGTCTACGTAGTTACAAAGTATATATTTTTTGATAAAAATAAAAAAGTTTCTAAGAAAATTTAACCAGACCGAAATCATCAGATCACCAACTTTGTCTTGTCCTCGTTCAAATGGGTTTTGTCTCTTTAATTTTTATGTTATTGACTATTTTCTTATGTGCACTGTTCACATTTGTGTTTGGGTGAAAAAGTTGTATTTCCCTAATGGTGTCAGATCTATCATCTATGGTGGTTCCACGGCCTTCCACCACTAAGGTTAAAATTGGGACAAAACAAAAACTATTTGAAGGTTGTGACTAAAGACTGACCTGACCTCATTAACTAATTCAATAAGAGAACAGTTACAAATGAGAAGAAACCACAAGAACGAAAAGAAAAGCTCAAGATATTTTTATTTAACAATAACTCGCATGAAGATCATCATCATAAAGCCCTGCATGCGTATCGTACGTGATACACATTCTACAAACTTTAACCTAGTTAATTAGTAGTGACAGATCCATTAACTTTTTGTACCGAAGTCAAAACATAACGGAATAAAGATACAAAGAAGCTCGAAAAAGTCTCTAAACGTCAAAATATGAGGTCGAAAACAGGTCAATGGTACAAAACCATTGCCATGACGGATGACTATTTTTTGGCTTTCCGAAAAGGTAATTTATGTAGAGTTTGTCCTCACGGTCTAAAAGTTATGACATTCCAAACGTAATATGTCATACGATTTTAAAAAAAAGATGCAACACGAAGACTTCTCGAAAAATCGAGAGACCTTTCAATATAATTCTATTGAATATGATTCAAACACTTGTTTCCCTCTTGATTCACTCTTTACACTTATAGCTTTTCATTGATCTCGAAATTTTAGTTTCATCACCGATTTTATCATCTTTTCCATTAATGTGCTCACAAAATCATAGACTACTCTTTTATTTTGGCTCGAGTCATTTTTACCGTGTTCTCTGATTTTTTTTCTGACGATAAAATTCGTGATTTTAATAGGTAATTGGTTGAATTGTACATGTAGATTATTTGGCTCAAATGACGGAACCCATAGACGGCAAAAATTTATCTATACAACAATTATAAAATTTAAAATTCAACATTTAAAAATAAATAGGTAATTGGTTGAATTGTACATGTAGCTTATTTGGCTCCAATGACCGGGTCCATAGACTGGCACAATTTTTTTTTCTTTTTTTTTTTGTGAACTACACATTAATTAAAAAGTAACTCCATGAATGATTATCCAATCACGAGGATAAGAGTTTACAAAAGTAGCTTCCCAAAGTAGAAGTCTAGAAGATCGAGCTAAACAATCCGCCTTAGAATTACATAAACGAGAAATAGAAGAAAGCGAGAAAAAAAAAAAAAGAAGCACGGAGAAAACCAAAATCATCTAGCAGATTGGAGAAAGCGGGCCATTCTTCAGGGGACTGACACAATTTTATCTAAATAACAATCCTAAAATTTAACATTTAAAAAAAATATAAAACGTATGTTAAAAAAAAAAAAAACGTTTGAAATATTATTTGTTTTCTTTGATTACATTAAAATCGATTTTGATTCATTTTCGATTTTGTATTAGGTTTAAAAATACATCACCAGTTGGTTTGAAATGAGATCGGTTTAAAAATACTATCACCAGTTGGTTTGAAATGAGATCGGTTTAATTTGATTTGGTTCATTTGGTTTTGGTTTGGTATAGTATCCATGTGAATGTCAATTGACTGGTCAGAAAGGGTATTACTGTAAATTTAAGTTGCATTCAAAAGCTTAAAGGCTCCCTTTGAGTGGGATTCTGAGATTCAAATTTCAAACGGCACTTTCAGATCGAGACGAAGATGGAGAAGATCTGTGTCGCAGTCAGGGTAAGACCACCGGCGCCGGAATTATCGCAGGAAAATGGATCTTCACTCTGGAAAGTTGAAGATAATCGGATCTCTCTTCATAAATCACTTGATACTCCAATCACAACCGCTTCTTATGCTTTCGGTAAATTCCATCTCCTTTCTTCTCAATCTATTTCTGGGTTTTCGATTTCTTTGGATCTGAGTGAAATCAAAAGTGTCTTCCTTTTTTAATCTTGTTTTTTTTTTGGTGCAGATCATGTGTTCGACGAAAGTTCTACGAATGCTAGTGTCTATGAACTTCTTACTAAGGATATTATTCATGCCGCCGTCGAGGGTTTTAATGGTAATCTAAATCAGATCCGAATCCGAATAAATGTGAGCTTAATTTTGTTTTTTTTCAGAGTTTTTGATTTTATGGAGTTACTGTGATTTTTGTTAGGTACTGCATTTGCTTATGGGCAAACTAGTAGTGGAAAGACGTTTACGATGACGGGTTCTGAAACTGATCCAGGAATTATTCGAAGATCTGTTAGAGATGTGTTTGAAAGAATTCATATGGTAGGCATCAGATTTGTCAAATGATTCGTGAAGTAAGAAAAAGAGTACAGCTTTTGATTTGTGTGTTTCATGTTTCTTCTTTTTTAGATATCTGATCGCGAGTTTCTCATCCGGGTTTCGTACATGGAAATTTACAACGAAGAAATTAATGATCTTTTAGCTGTTGAGAATCAGAGACTGCAGATTCATGAACATTTGGAGGTTTGTTTGGATCATATTCATTAGTGATATCTTCTCCATTAGTTTCTTTAAGAGTGATTAAACTCACTTGCTTCTCTTGATGTACAGCGTGGAGTGTTTGTTGCTGGTCTCAAGGAAGAAATTGTTGGTGACGCTGAACAGATTCTAAAGCTTATAGATTCTGGAGAAGGTTTTTAACCCATACCTAAATTACATAGTATTTGTTTTCCTGCATTTTTTGCAGGTCTAATGTGTATTGACTTGGTCTTGTTCAATTAACAGTTAATAGGCACTTTGGGGAGACAAACATGAATGTTCATAGTAGCAGGTCTCACACCATCTTCAGAATGGTACGATTCAGAAGCTATGAACAAAATCGTCTACTTTTAAAAGTATTTTATCTGATACAATGTCTCTGGTGTGATAGGTGATTGAGAGCAGGGGAAAAGATAATAGTTCTTCAGATGCTATTCGTGTCTCAGTCTTGGTGAGTGATAATTTTCACTACAGCTAACATCTTTCAAAAGTTTCTTGTGAAAGTTACATAATGTACATGCTAATTGTTTTTTTATGCGTGTTCTTTCAATGGAATCTAGAATTTGGTTGACTTGGCTGGATCTGAGCGAATTGCTAAAACTGGTGCTGGTGGAGTACGCTTGCAAGAAGGGAAGTACATTAATAAGAGCTTAATGATTCTTGGTAATGTCATCAATAAACTAAGTGACAGTGCAAAGCTAAGGTACTTTCTTACCTTTGATTTGGTTTACACTTAACAACAATACAGCTCAGCACAGCTCAGCTCATTTCTTAACATTTCTTATTATAGGGCACATATTCCATACCGAGATAGTAAGCTGACTCGAATTCTTCAGCCTGCACTTGGTGGTAATGCAAAGACCTGCATTATATGCACTATCGCACCAGAAGAGGTAAAATAAGTTACCTTATGGTCAGATTTCGCATTTTCGTGGTTTTAACATGCTGATGTATGTAGCATCATATTGAGGAATCGAAAGGAACTCTCCAATTTGCAAGCAGAGCGAAGCGCATCACCAACTGTGCTCAAGTGAATGAGGTCTGCTTTTGAATTAAAGCATTTAAACTTCTGTTGATTATTTGGAGATATTTTTACTCTCTTTTTTAGATGTTACTGCTCTATGTTGTTTCTTCCCATTAAGAAGGATCACCGCCTACATGTTTCCTATTGACTGGATTTCTTCCTCTTTATCGGAATATAATCAGACCATGTTTAAATGCTGCAGATCTTGACTGATGCCGCTTTATTGAAGCGCCAAAAGTTAGAGATAGAAGAGCTACGCATGAAGCTTCAGGTATAGTCTCTTTTTTTTTTTCAATTACATATTGGAAAGGAGACAATACTAACATCGGTAATGTTTGTAGGGATCTCATGCCGAAGTGTTGGAACAAGAGATCTTAAAATTAAGCAATCAGATGCTGAAGGTAGCTTTTTTGTGCTTTTCCTAGTGTATACATTGAATACAACATTAAGCAGACACATTATACAAAACAGCTACACTTTTGTTTGAATTCCAGTATGAGTTGGAATGTGAAAGGCTGAAAACACAACTGGAAGAAGGGAGAAGGAAGCAGAAGGAACAGGAAAATTGCATCAAGGAACAACAGATGAAAATTGAGAACCTGAACAATCTTGTCACTAATTCTGACTTTAAGATGAACCAGTCAGAGGTACGGATGCATTCATTGGCTTAGGCGATTTCCTGCTTTTCTTGGATTGTTACTTCTGCGTGATGTTCCTCAACCATTACTAACACATTTTGCTGAAGTAAACATAACCTCAAAAGAAAAATAGGCCTTAATTAAATTCAAGTGAAAATACAATGTAGAGTGAATCAAAGATAGCAAATTTGTAACATCTCATTAGTTTTGTTAGACATGTTCATGGTTACGTAAAAATTCATTAATGTAATTTCTTTATTGGCAGGACTTTATCATTTCAAGAAAGACTCCAGATGGGCTATGCAATATCAATGATATCAGCGATGTTACTGGAACCCCTTGCTTTAAATCAGCTTCCCGTTCCTTTGTGGTTGCTCGGTCAAATAATTATTCAGGACTATCTGATTTTAGTCCGATGGTTCATTCCCTGGGGGACGTGGCCGATGAAGACACTTGGATGAAACTAAACAAGGGTTTTGTTGCAGACCTTGATCAAATCCAGTTTACACCTGCTGTCAAATGTCAACCCACTCCGTTAAGTATTGCAACCACGGTGAGTAGATACATTTACTTTACTCCTATTATCTTCCAATATTGAAATTATTTGTGCATGAAACGCTCACAAAAAATCACATTGAATGGAGACTTCTTGATGCATATGGTCAAACCAACTCTTTATCCCCTTGTCATCATGGTTTTAGACTCTTTGTTTCTTTTCCTTTTCATGCCAGCTTGCATTCAAACATTATGGTTTATCAGAAACTGGCTGGTATCTAGCTCATGTATGTTGAGAATCATTTGAAACTTCATATAGACGAATACTGAGACACTATCCCAAGTTATGCTGCTAGTATAGTTTTTAATAACACTGTGGTGAGTTCAGCACCTAAAACATGTGCCCTAAGGTGGCCATAATGGTTCGTTAACTTTCGTTTTAGGCATGCCCGCGTGAAAATTACATAGAGGTGGAAGATCTCAAAAGTCAGATTGAGTTGCTGACCAATGATAAAGACAGTCTTCAGGTTAGTCTCTATTGGTTTTGTTGATTGTTTAAGTGAAAATGCTCTTTCGATATTAGTTGGATAGCTCTCTGAGGTAGCTCTGAGTATAAATTGAACTTTTTATCAAGATTTCCTGAAACTAAAAGAAAGATATCATTGTTTTTACTTCTAGCTCCTTCCTTTGTTATCTTCTTAATTTACCTTTCCTTCTTATTTTTAAAACTGCACTTGATAAGCTGGATACCACGACTGATTCTGAGTTTTAATGATCATTTATGCATCAATTATGTACTGCCAGGTAAAATTCAACGAACAAGTACTTCTGAGCAACAAACTGATGCAAGAGATGTCTGAGCTCAAACAAGAAACGCTTACCATGAAAGAAATTCCGAATAGGTTATCTGAGTCAGTTGCTAACTGCAAGGACGTCTACAAGGATGTTATAGGCACAATGAAGGTGAAAAGCTTACTTTTTCTTGTGTGATTTTTATTTTGAGATATTAATAGAAGGAAATCTGAGTTCACAAGTGTTTTCTCTGGCAATTTGATAGAGCTTAATTGCTGACAAGGAATCTCCAACGGCGAACCTGCTCTTGGGTACAACTGAAATCACAACAAGCCTTCTGTCGACTCTAGAAACACAATTCTCAATGATAATGGATGGTCAGAAAACGGGTAGTAGCATAGATCATCCTTTCTATGACCAATGGGAAACACTTCGTGTGAGTCTGAAGAACACAACCACGTCGTTGCTGTCAGACGCACAAGCAAAAGATGAATTTCTTAACTGCCACAACAAGGTAGCTTCCTTGCCACTATTGTCAAGATATGGATCAATTTTATTAATCTTTTTAGTAGTTTTGTTAGGATACTTTGTCTCTCTTGTTAGGACTTTAGTCCAGTGAAATCTCTGCATATGTTGAACTGCAAATAAATCTAATAAATGGCGTTCTTTTTACGTTTTTTTCCTGGTAATCTACAAATAAATAGCAAGAAGAATTTGTTGCATACTAAGCCAAAGCGTTGAATTCGTATCATAAGTTATAAGTGTTTCATTTTCCTTTGTCCCTGGCATAAGAAGTCTCATCAATCTAAGTCCTCACCGTTTTACAGTACACTACGTCATTTAAGAAGTTAAAAGTCAAACCAGAAATGCAAGATTGAGTGCCTCATTTAAAACACATTCTTTCTTAGACAATGTTGCCAGGAAAAAGCAGGAACTGATTCATGTTTGGTTAGTTAGATGTTGTGGTCAGACTACTATTTCTCCTTTCTCTAAGACAGGTTTTGAATGTGATTTTAAAGGGAAAAGAAACAGCTGCATTGGAGGAGAAGAAACTGAAGTCTGAGCTCAGCATCATCAAGGAAAGATACAACAAGCTCGAGAAAGAGTTGTGTTTGGATAAACAACTTCTAGAAGCTTCAAGAGAAAGCCATGAGAAGCTGTTAATAGAGGTACAGTTCCTGAAGGAAGAAAGAGATTCTTTAGATAGAAAAATCTCTCAATCAACTCAGAGATTGAGAGTGATTGCAAGTGATAAAGAGAATGCTTTGAAAGATCTTAATGTGGAAGTCAAGAGGAGGAAAGATATGGAGGAAGAGATTAAGCACATCAGCATTGCTTTCGCTACCAGGCACAAATCTTTTGTGTCTTTTCACAGTGAAATCAAGTCCAAAATGCAGAAACTAACCACTCAAAACTCAAAAGCTCCGTAGCAAAAACAGTTGAGTTTATTGAATTTGTCTGTTTAATTTATCACCGGATTCGCTAATGTTGATTAAGAAAGTGAAAAACCTATATATTAAGCTGCAACTTTCGACTTGGAGACTTTTAGGTGATCTCTGTGTTGTGTGAATTGGATATTTGAACTTGAATACCACAAAAAGTTAGAATTAGTTACAAGAATATAAGAGTTTCTTCATCATTACTTCAAGAAGTTATAAAAAGGAACAACATGTCGAAATCTTCACTCCCATGTAACCAAGATGATCGAATTAGCGATCCCAGATTGATCAAACGTGGCCTTAGCTCCATAATCCAGAGTCTTGGAAGCACCAGGAATAGCTTGCACTAGCTTGAACGCCTTTTTCTCTGATTCCTCCATGTGAGAATAACAGAAAGACCAAAGAAGCTGAATCGGTTCACTCTTGAGAAACTTCCTCTGCTTTCTTCTCCCATTTGGAAATCGAACGCTGATACTGCAGACAGCGCTTCGATCACAGTCTCCTTTAGGCTCTTCTGTCAAAACCGGGAACCCAAACAGGTCGCTTGACAAACAAGTTTCCTCCTCATGTTCGGATAAAGTCATTATTACATCTTCAAGTTCTTGCCCGGAAGAAGAAACCACGACGCTATCTGACGGAGAATTCACCTCCCTTATGTATGAGTTTAAAGACTTCTCATCTGCTGAGTCATCAAAATCGTCAAAATCATCGTCCAAAAAAGTAGCCATGTCTCGATCAAGATGGCAAATCTTTTTTGTTTTTACTCGCATGTTCCTTGCCATAGAAGCAAAGTATTCGTGAGGAGTAGCATCAATATACTTCTTCAAATCCTCAAGAAAACTCTGAGCTTTAATTTCGCCGCTCCATGTATGCATCTTCTTACCAGTAATGGGAACAATGAGAAGCACCACAGGAGGAGCAGAGTCGATCTTATAGAAACTAGAGATTTTTCTTCCTTCCTTGGTATGATCATAAACTTGCCATAACATAAACCTAAACTCAAGGGCTTGAGAAACGTCGTCGTTTGACCATAATTCTCGGTTAAGTGTATTACAAGGAATCTCAGTTTTGGATTGGATAAGAACAAGCAACCATAGATCTTCGCTAGAGGAAGTTGCTTTCGCGTCTTCAAACGAACCGTTGAAAAGCAGATTTAGAGAAGGACGGTACAAGGAGGACAATCTAGTAGAATTAGAATCAGAAGGTTTTTGTGTCGAAGTTTGGTTTCTTTTGTCGATGAGAAAGAAGAGATTAATGGCTTCTTCAACCTTCCAATTTGTTGCGTTTAGGCACTTTATAGCGGTTTCCACTGTTTGATCTACAGCGATCTCGAGGAAAGATGATACCAGTTTTCTCTGTTGGTCAATCTCCATTGTTTTCTTTTGAGAGAAAAAGAGAGAGAACAATTTGTATGAGTTTATGAGTTTAATCTTTTTTTTTGTACGTCTTTGCTTCAATTTGTTTATTTATATAGAGAACTTGATGGTTTTAATTTCCTTTTTTCACTCTAACTTGGTTCAAGAAAAAAGGGAATTTTCCTTTTCACTTTTTCTTTGATTGATGGTAATACTTTACGGTTTTGTATTTAAAATTAACAATTTGAATTTTGATATAACAAAATTTACTTGTTGTTTATAGATTTCTATTTTTTTAATAAATTATCAATTATAATTATGCATCCCATAATAATTTCACTAGGTAAGGTCCAGTGACTATGCAAATAGTTTTATAAAATATTTCACAGAAATATTTTAAAATCACGCTATAATTACAATTGAATTTATCTTGGTTTGAAAATATTGTATCTTACATATTTAATAACTTTTGCCCAAAAAAATACTAAATATTAATAACATTCACGATTTGAAATAAATGGTATACCTGGTATTTAATTACTTGTTTGTCAATTTTTAATAAAAGAATAAAAATATTTCATGAATTTTTCCTTTGATTAATTAATTAGTTTTTTAGAGGAAAATGTTATTTAAAAAAATCTAAAATGACAAAATAAAAAAGTTAAATTACTTTCTCAATTAGGACTCCTTTTTTTTTTTTTGTCAACAGCTTAAATAAAATAGATGCTCAAAAGAGCCATTCCTGGGGAATGTTGTTTACATAAGTGATATGATGCGGTTCGGTACGAATTTTTCGTGCCAAATTATCCGCTTTTACATTTGCGCTACGCGGAATTAAAGATAAAGAAAAATTAGAGAATTCTTCCTTGTCACTCTTCAAGTCTTCCAAATACACTGAGAAAGCCGGCCATTCGGTTGGGGAAGACACCATCTTCACCAAATCTGAACAGTCTGTAAAGAAAGCTACATCTTGGTTGTCAGCACCAATCATACACTTCATCGCCCAGAGTAGAGCTTCGACTTCTGTATGTAGGGGGGATAGACTTCGCCGGATGTTTGCAGCTCCCATGGTTGGCATCTCTCCATTTGCCGATGTACAGTACCACCCTGTTCCGGAAAAAATATCAGTCTTTTTCCATGATCCATCCACGAAACACCGATGTCCGAAGTAACTGGAATCCAATGAAATCTCTCTCACGCGATTTTGAGTTACAGTATCTAAAGAACCTTGGATTTCAATATGTAGCTTAGATTGAGCAACCTGCCAAGCTTGTGCCTCTTTCTCCGCTAAATGTAGAACCTCTAATGGGTCTTTATCCACATTATCAAAAATCTTCTCGTTTCTCGCTTTCCAAATATACCAAATTATCCATGGAAATGAAGATGAATCAATCTCTGATGGAATTCTCCAGAAAAGATGATCCAAATTCGCGTAAATAGAAGCCGAGGGAAAAATCCCTGTAACCGAAGGGATTGTAGAAAGAGCCCAGATTTGTCTTGCAGGATGACATTCAAAAAGTGTGTGATTTATTGTTTCCTCCACAGCGCCACATCTAACACATCCGGTGTCACAATTTATACCTCTCTTTCTCAGATTCTCCGTAACAGATACGCAACCTGATAATATTTGCCACAAAAAATGTCGTAGCTTTGGTGGACACTTCACCTTCCATGCATAAGCTTTCAGAGATTTGATATCCGAGCCAAAAAATTTAAGGTTGGCATCAGAAGTCTCTATCCGTGCGGTATGGTAACCCGATTTAACCGTATAATTTCCTGATTTTGTGAAGTGCCAACCAAGGGTATCCTCCTTAGTTGAGACACCCAAAGGCAAAGCACTAATCAGCGCGACATCCTCTGGATCAAAAAGCTCCGCCAAGAGATTCATATTCCAAAAGTTTGTCCGGCTGTCGATAAGTTGATTAACTTTTAAAGATGGATCAGTAATTGAACCATTACTTTTTGCTGGTCTCGGGAATTGAGCTGGTATCCATGAGTCCTCCCATACTGAGATGGACGCCCCAGAACCAACTCTTTTAATAAGTCCTTTAAGAACCAGAGATCTAGCTGACATTATACTTCTCCAACCATAAGAAGGAGAGTACGATTTTATATTATCCAATGGATTGGATTTCCGGAAATACCGTCCTTTAAATACCCGTGCAAATAGTGACTCAGGAGCCATAATCAAACGCCATAATTGTTTAGCCAGTAACGCTGAATTAAAATCATCCACGTTCCGAAATCCTACCCCACCTTCCGATTTACTACTACAAAGTTTATCCCAAGCCATCCAATGCATTCCCCTCGATTCACCGTTTGAGCTCCACCAAAATTTTGCGACCGCACTCGTAAGTTTAGAAGTTATTGATTTTGGTAGTCTGAAGCATGACATAACATATGTTGGTAGGACTCCTTTCCGAAATCGTGTTTTTGGGAACAATTTAAGAACAATCAAATATATTAGTCAAACACTATTTCTGCATTAATTAGTATTTTAATCTATATATACATTTTTGGATCACAATTAGCAAATAAATCCTGAAGTTGAGAAGTATTTACAATACCATGCCATTAGCATTAATTATTTAGATTTGTTTTATTTAAGTAAAGATTTTTAAATGAAATTCATTTCTCATATATTTAGCAAAAGTCTCTACAAAATCTTTCCTTATCTATTTAAGTAAAGATTTTGAAATCAAATATGTTCTCAAATCTCAACAATTTACCAAAAATCTCTACACAATTTTTTTAAAAATCTCGACTTAGTTAACTTCTGATTTTTATCTGCAAAAAAAAAAAAATTAATAGTAACGAGTGATGTAAAAATCGGGAATGTTGATATTACAATTTCTTCTACTTCTTTTTTTTCATATAATGAAAATTATTTTTTAGGGATACTTTTTCAAAACCTCTAAATAAAACAAAAGGTTTCAAAAGATAGCTTCTCTTTTGGCGTGTCGACACGCAAACCCGCAACTCTCTACGGGCTTATCCGCATGAACCTGCGATCCGTAGTGGATAAAAATATTATTCAAAAAGAATAACAAATGATGTTTAATTTTACGGGACGGGTTATATGGTGCAACGGGTTTAGATCGATATTAATATTAAACAATATAGTATGGATGAAATCTTAGAATTAAAAATCAAAATTTAATTATAAAATCAGAAACACTAAACAAAATAAACAATATTAACAAAACAAATACAACTTAAAATTTTGCTAAAAAAAATTTTAGTTATAAAAAAATCGACCCGCGGTGTACCGCGGGGTAAAATCTAGTATTTAAACAAAAAGAAATTGGGTTTAATTAACCATATTTAAAAGGTTTAGGGATTAAAACAATAAATCCCTATTAAATCCCTATTTTGGCGACTGATGATATTCTCCATCATCGGACTTCACTCTTTCTCTCTGCCTGAAAATTTTGATCGGTTTCTGATTTCTCAGCGAAAGAAGCAAAGTGCCGACAAATAGTGATTTTCGTGAAGGAATCAGTTGGAAAAAGATGATACATTTGGCTGGATTTACGTGTTGTTTAGGCGGCATCGCTCTTTATCTTCTCAGCCGGAACACAGGCGGGTTAGGGTTTTTCTTGTTGTCTTTACTATTTACGATCACTTGTGTTCGGTGATAATGTTCTTTCGCTCCTATTTCGTGTGACAGAGTTGTCAAATCAATCACTAGGGTTCACCACCTCAAGGATTTAGGTATCGTTCCTTTAGACAATTGCATTGTCCTGCATTTCAATTTTAGGTTGATGGGTTTTGGGATCTTTTTGTTTTCTTCAGAACAATTGGTAGAAGTAGAGAGCAAGGTGTTTCCTTTGATCATAGCAGTATCAGGAAATGTTGGCTCTGAGACACCTATTAAGTGTGAGCATAGTGACATACTCGGTGTTTTTCTCAAGAAAACGGTATGTTATGAATTGGATTATTGTGTTTAGAGATAGAAAAGTTTTAGATAATCTTTTCTTTCGTTTCATTGATTTTGGGTATGTAAAAAAAACGATTTTTTCAGGCAGAACAACAGGTTTTGAGACGTAATTGGAGGTTCTCGTGGGTTCGAAAGAGTACATTGATGCAGCCGATGACTAAGGAAGTCCCGTGGTATCTGGTATAAGTCTGTTGGACTTTGATTAGAGTATATTACTATTAAAGTCATTTACAAAATCTGATATTGGTTGCGTATAGGACGATGGGACAGGTCGTGTGAATGTAGCGGTATCTCAAGGTGAAATAGGCTTGGCGTTGACGGTTGGAAGTGATGTATTTGAAAAGGCAGAGCCGGTATCGCTTGTTCAAGGAACGTTGGATTATCTTAAAGGCCTCAAGGTCTTTTTCTTCCTTTCCTTTCACTTTTTCATTCATTTGCTTTTGTTTGAACAATGCTAATAGATTGTGGCACCATTGTTGTCTATAGATACTTGGAGTAAGACGCGTTGAGCATATTGTCCCAATTGGTACACCGCTTACAGTTGTTGGTGAGGTATGTATTTATCTGTTAGCGGCCAAAAATCTCCCTATATATCAGAATACGTTTTACATTTCAGTTTTGTTGTGTTGCTTAAGGCTGTTAAGGATGGCATGGGGAATGTCAGGATTCAAAAACCTGAGCAAGGACCTTTCTACGTGTCTTATGTACCGCTCGATCAACTCATCTCTAAATTGGGCGAATGGTCAAGGTTATTTTTCTTCTCTGTTTTGCCTATCCTTTTCTTCGAAAACTACGATTGAAAAAAAGTCTAAAAGATATCTTATTGTGCCAGGAGGTTCAAGTATGCCTCCATGGGTTTAACTGTTGTTGGTGTGATTCTTCTTTCAAAGCCTGTGATTAAATATATTCTAAAGAAAATTGAAGATACTCTAGAGAGAAGGCGACGACAATTGTTACAGAAAAGGTATGTCGCAGCTTAACCAAGCCACATATAAATTAGCCATTCCGAGTTAAGTGTTGAGCAATTTGTTGCAGAGTTGTTGATGCAGCTGCTAGGAGAGCCAAACCAGTAACTAGAGGTAGTATCCATTACAGTTTATAGTAGTAACATGTGGATCTTTTTCTGCAATACGTTTGGAATTGCTCTGCTTACAATTATGTCTTACCAAGGATTAGAACACCGCTCAGATGGTACAAGCAGAGATGGCGATGTACCTGATCTCTGCGTGATCTGCCTTGACCAGAAATATAACACCGCTTTTGTTCAGTAAGTATAACACCGCTTTTCTTGTACAAACTCTTGAAACCCTCTCATTGACCAAACATGGCAGCTTTTGATTCCGCTTTTTGTTTGGTTTGGACTTGTAGGTGTGGTCATATGTGTTGCTGCTTAACATGCTCCTTGCGATTGACGACCTGTCCTCTTTGCCGGGAACGAATACAACAAGTTTTGAAAATTTACCGCCATTGAAGGACGATATTTACCAGCAAACAATCATTGATCTTGTATATAAAGCCTTGTACTGTATCTTCAATTCGACTAGAACAATTTTTCCATTGTAGATTTGTAAATACTAATCCTATATGAAATTTCAAGCCTAGATTTTTACTAATGAAGTTATTGTCTTCTGTTATAAATTCATCAATTTTCTATGTTAAAATAAAAAGTTCCAAAAAAGCGTGAACGGCAGGATTCGAACCTGCGCGGGCAGAGCCCACATGATTTCTAGTCATGCCCGATAACCACTCCGGCACGTCCACATTATTGCTTAGAGTTTACAATATTAAATATTTATTATTAAAACTCAGATTGGGCTTAATTAAGCCCAAACTTAATGACGGATTAGTGAAAGAGACAGAGAAAACGAAACAGCTCTAAAATGGTAATGAACAAGAAACTAGAGAGTCAACGGTCAGAGCGTTGACCAAATCTCTCACTCTCACCAGCCAAATCTCTCTCCCAACTTCTTCTCTCTCTCTCTCAACCCAAATCTCACCGGCGATCGTCACCGACGAATCTGATTCGTCTCCAACACACTCACCGGGTAAGCTCTCTCTGCAAAATTCAGATCGTTCAAGCTCAATCTCATCATCGATCAAGATTCAATTTTTTTGTTCCTTTCTCTTAAACAAAGCTTTTGATCATTAGTGAAATCTGAAACATTAGAGTGATTTGGATCAGTGAATTTCATAAACTTAAGCTTAGAGAACCCTAAGATCAAAACTAAAAATTTGATCTTTAAGCAGTTCAAAAATTTGTGTTGTGTAAATTTTTCAACTTTTGTGGGAATGGTATATAACTTGTTAAATCGGTTATTGGATGTTCGAATTCCGAAAAAGTTTCGATTTTTATTCCTTTTGTTGTGTGTTGTTTGTAAGTAGGAAGAAGAATGGCGACTCCGGTTGATCCACCAAATGGAATAAGGAATCAAGGGAAGCATTACTTCTCAATGTGGCAAACACTTTTCGAGATCGATACGAAATACGTGCCGATTAAACCGATAGGCCGAGGTGCGTACGGTGTAGTTTGTTCTTCGGTTAACAGAGAGACTAATGAGAGAGTGGCGATCAAGAAGATCCACAATGTGTTTGAAAATCGGATTGATGCGTTGAGGACTCTTAGGGAACTTAAGCTTTTACGTCATCTTCGACATGAGAATGTGGTTGCTCTTAAAGATGTAATGATGGCTAATAATAAGAGAAGCTTTAAGGATGTCTATCTTGTTTCTGAGCTTATGGATACTGATCTTCATCAGATTATCAAGTCGTCTCAAGTGCTTAGTAATGACCATTGTCAATACTTCTTGTTCCAGGTATGCGATTTTTTGCATTTTGTTTCTTTGTATCGGGTTATATATCAAGAATGCTGGCTCTAGCTTAGGCCCTCGATTTGATTGCGTATTCTATTATGTTCAGTGTGCATCGTTTGCATTTACACTTTTCAAAAGGTTGTCTTGTAACAATCCAAGCCTTGGTTTTTTACTTGCTTTTTCCTTCTGTTGTGTAGTTGCTTCGTGGGCTCAAGTATATTCATTCAGCAAACATTCTCCATCGGGATCTGAAACCTGGTAACCTCCTTGTGAATGCAAACTGCGACTTAAAGATATGCGATTTTGGGTTAGCGAGGACGAGCAACACCAAAGGTCAGTTCATGACTGAATATGTTGTGACTAGATGGTACCGAGCACCAGAGCTTCTCCTCTGTTGTGACAACTATGGAACCTCTATTGATGTCTGGTCAGTCGGTTGCATATTCGCTGAGCTTCTTGGAAGAAAACCGATATTCCCTGGAACAGAATGTCTAAACCAGATTAAACTCATCATTAACATTTTGGGAAGCCAGAGAGAGGAAGATCTCGAGTTTATAGATAACCCGAAAGCCAAAAGATACATAGAATCACTCCCTTACTCACCGGGAATATCATTCTCTCGTCTTTACCCAAATGCGCACGTTCTAGCCATCGATCTGCTTCAGAAAATGCTCGTTCTTGACCCTTCAAAACGGATTAGTGTCACGGAAGCGCTTCAGCATCCTTACATGGCGCCTTTATACGACCCGAATGCAAATCCACCTGCTCAAGTTCCTATTGATCTCGATGTAGACGAAGATGAGGATTTGGGAGCAGAGATGATAAGAGAGTTAATGTGGAAGGAAATGATTCATTATCATCCAGAAGCTGCTACCTTGAACAACAATGAGCTCTCTGAGTTTTGAGATCAAGTCTTTTGCAGGTAATTTTCAGAGAGATCTTTCAGCAACTTTCTTTTATCTATTTTCATGTTTGCTTGAAATGTTGTTAATAATAGTGTTTAAGAAGAAGAACAATAACTTATAAATTATGTGATATGTTTGTGACATGGAAGCTTTGCTTTGTTTTTGGTTACAAGCTAAAGTGTCTGTAACGTTTGTACATAAGTGTATGTGTCCTTAAAACTAATACTCTGCCTCTGATCTTATTATTGGTGATTTTTCTAATTGAAGATTTTCGAATGTTCAAAAGTTCAAACTTCAAACCATTGGATTGGATATGATTTTAAAAATAAATATATCAACTATTTGAGAAAATAAAACATATGCATATGTCGTGGGAGTTTCTGATTCGAGCATATCAAAATAAATTATTTCCCAAATAATTTTCAATGATACATAGAATGTTCCAATGTATTGTAGAATTTTTAAAACATGTGGTTTTGGACTTTCATATACCTAGTTCTGAATTCACACACACTTACTCCTTAAGCTGAGATACAAGTGGATTCATGGATTGGAGGTTTTTTTTAATACCTAATCAATTGTTTTATGTTATCTTTCATTGGATTTTAACTCAAATCAGTTGGCGATGAGTAGATTGACCAATGTTCTTTATGTATTAGTGTTGGTTCCTTCAAATTTTCGATATGGAATTTTAACATGGTCCTTAAAAATGTCATATCCTCTATATACTAGTGTTGGTTCTTTCAAACTTTCGATGAGGGATCTTAATATATTATTTTTAAAAATAAATTAATACGAGGATAAATTTGATTGAAATACTTTATGAAGATTGTATCACTTAAGCATTTGATGTGTACCAAAGTGGCTATAGTATATTTAAATTACCTAAGATGGTTAAATTCTAAACTTTATATGAACATTTTTCTGCATTGGTATTTATAAATGTATCAATTTCCATTGTGGAGAGTTACTAATGCAATACTTCTATTTAATGATATAAATATTTTGATGTCTATCACACTTAACTTAAATGATAAAAATAAAAAAATGTTAATAATCAGTAACATGTATACTTTGGAAAAATATGTTGATGAACAGTGTGTGAATAAGAATCTTTTACTTTTGTAAATGGAAAAATGTAGGAGTGCACTAATTATTGAGACCATTGATGTGAAAAAATTTGTAGAGCCAAAGAGATAAAGATTCTAGAAGATCAAGTCAAGTCTTTTAATCGATAGTCAATGAATCATCATCATCATCATCTCTTCGATTTATGCATTGATGTCATTGTGTCGTTTCTATATTATTCCATCAATTCGTTTAACTATTCGTATGATATTGCGGTAGGACTTTTAAGTCTATAATTTGATTAAACTAATAACCATATGATGGTGAAGCAGTTTACTTGTAAACGTTTATCCAAAAGTTATGATGATTTGACACTAATTTAGGTGATTTGAACCTCTTTTTGTCACAATTTGTTTCTCCAATTACTCAATTTGTTCACATAATTTTTTTTTTAACTTGATACTTTAACTTTTTTTTTTAATATTTCAAATAATATTAATTTAATCCCCAAAAAGGGGATTTGACACTAGATTACAACAATGAAAATGGGCCACAAATAGATTCAAAAAAAAAAAGAAAATGGGCCACAAAACAAAAAGAAAATTAAATTTATTTTAGAGCAAATTAGCTGGGAGACAAGGAATCAGAGAGAAATTAGTTTTTTAGTAAAATTCATAACAATGATAATTTTAGCCACCTTTTTTGTCCATTTTAACCTCAGGCGCCCCACCATCTCATTTCATAGTCAACCTATTACCTTAGACAAATGAATGATTTTTGATCATTTTCCGAAATGGAAAAGCGTATTTTTTTAACTCTACAAACTTAGGTAGCCAAGATATAATTGTTTTCGTTTACTTTTCTCGACTTTTTGGTTGTCTATTTATGTTAATAGTGCTCTATTTTTCGAGGAAAAAAAAAAGATTTTTGCTCTCTTCTTTCTCTCTTATCTTTTTGAATTATTAAACATGATTGAGTTTTGGAATTTATCGTAATTGATTTTTCATTTATTCAAGATTTATCATGCATCTTGTTAGTTCTCGTCTCTAGTAACATATTTGTTATAGACGAAAGAAATTGTGATTACATTTGATGATTCGATGACGTTGGTTCAACGACGGAAACCCGCTAGCGATGATGGAATCTAATCAGTGTTACTGGGATGACGAATCACACCTAAGATGTAGTGATGACTTGATAGAATTTGATGCAGATCCGGTGACAAGTCGATGGAATCCGGCGAAAATTCCGGTGACAATTCGACGAAAACAGACGAAATCTTTGAAAAATCCGACGAAACTTATGATTCCAATGATATTTTGGTCTCTAAATAACGCTCTATATATGTGTTTACATGTATACAAAGATTAATAACGCTTTATGTACGTATTTATATGCATATAAATAAATTTAACCCTCTATGTACATGTTTATGTTATGCCCATGTTAATAACGCTCTATATATATATTTGCATGTATATATAGATCGAATAACTTAATAGTATAACTATTTTTAACGCTTTATATATATGTTAACATGTGTACAAATGTTAATGACATGTAATATATGTTTATAGCGTGCTAAAACTTCTCTAGTTAGAGAAAACAACGATTAATATTAGTCTCACTGTCAATAAATGTCTACTTGCATTAAATATATGTCAGAACTAAATGCTTTTGCCCAAAAAGTCAATTACGTTATTTTCACGCGCATGATAATATTCAAAACTGGTTTTTGTGTAATTTTTTTGAACTTCAGACCCAATTCTAAAGTAGTTTATCCATTGTCTTAGACTATTGTCTTTTAGCTAATTTGCTCTCCCAATTTTGTCTCTGAGCTAAAGCACCCTTTATTTTATTATAAACTTGATCTCTCTTATAAAACTCCAACACAAAAATTGTAATTAACGTGGTTAAAACAATTATCTGTCAAACAATTAAATTTCGACATATATTTAAAAAAATTAACAATCTAAGACGAATATCTTTTTGTCTAAGTTCTTATATTCACTAATAAGATATTGGAACGGATGTTAGATAAACTCTCGGATCATGAATACTAGTTTCACGTTACTGATCCATGCTTTCTAAATTTTCCAAGACCTCGTTTCTTCTTTCTTTTCTTTTCATTCGAGAGAATGTGACGGAGAATTGCTATGATCGATGAATGCAAGAGAAAAATAAAAGATATAAAGTTGGGTTAATATAACTTCCTAGACAATGATAGAACTAGAGATGCAATGTTCCATCACCTTTGGAGGGGCCAGAATCTGCCACAAGACACACCACTTGCTTGACATTTAATTTTATCTTTCTGTCTTCTCTTTTAGCATACAGGAGGTGTCTCATTAAATGATGTGTATGTTAATGTTATATATATAGAATTATCTCTAAAATCTAAACACAGAGTGGCAACCTCAAATTTGATATAAAACACTTGGTAATTAACTAGCAAAACAACACTTAATTGTGTCACATGTGCATACATAATTTAATACAGAAAACTAAACTAATAAAGCCACCAACATTATGTGAACAATAATATCAAGCTTTCGAGCTAAGTTAACAAACCTAACTCGTGTTTTAACAATGTTTATATTGCAACACTTTTAATTATAAACAAAAAATAATTTGCAAGAATATCAAATATATGTTTATAACTTGCTTTACCAGATGGTAAATTCTGTTTACAACCCTATATATTTCTAAATTTCGCATCCAATATGTATAATATATACCCCACACACACAAACACACACACACACACACAAATCAAATTAGTTGCCATACACACATCAAAATAGTTGCCAAAAACATCAATATCTATACATTAAATAATAAAAACTTGGAAAACTACAACTAGATTTTGAATTTTGATTATAAAATTACTAAATATAGTTTAAATAATACATCCGTCGTGGAATTTTATGAAAGAAAGACTTATTTTTAGCTTATTCCCCAAGGAAGTCAATTAATAAGACCAACGTTATCACATACGCGATCGATGATGTTCTTTATTTCTTGGAAACTTCTTATAATCATCCAAAAAACAAAATTATTAAATGAAATATAAAATTCTGAGATCTAAAGATTGACCAAGTTATAACGCTTCATCATCTGATCCGGTCAAATTCTTAAATCCTTTTTATATATAAAAAAACATTATCGCGTTACATAAAGAATAGTATTGTCCCGTGAAATCTTTTATAAAATTAATACAAATCTTATATATTAATAACAAGGTCGTCTCTCTTGTCTCCAAAACAAATCCTCATTAACCAAAACCAAAAAAAAAAACCTTGAAACTCTCTGAATCTCACAAGAACATCTCAAGATTAAAGAAACCATAAGATCATCGCTCAAAGTAAAAATGGTGAGCCCATTTAGATCTCCATGTTCTTCACCAAAGAAATCAAGAAAAGCAAACAAGAACCCTTATTCAAATCGTGGACTTGATAAATTCTCTGAGCTTCTTTCCGAGCTCGACGAGAAGAGACAAAGCATCTACTCGAAGAAGCTCGATTCCGGTGGACCGCCTCTTGTTCGATTCGTGTTCACTAGCTCCGGTGAGTGTGTCCCCGTTGTGATCAGATCATCTTATCTTCACAAGAAGAACAAGAAGACGAAAGATGTTGTTGCTGATAAAGTCAAAACAGAAGTCAAAGAAGCGAAAACAGAAGAAATCAAGAACATAGAGCCTGAAACAGAGCAAAAACAGAGCTGTGTTATAAACGAGAATCTGAAGAAGATCGCTAGACCGAATCATTTCTTGCCTGTGACTATGATCTTGGTTCTTGTTTTCTTAGCTTTCTTTGGAAGATCTGTTGCGATTATGTGTACTTGTATTGCTTGGTACTTGGTTCCAACGATTCAAGAACAGAGTGGAAACAGAGGATCATCACCGCTTTACGCGATGAAGAAGAAAGATTTCGCTAGGAAGTTGAGTATTGAAAACAGAGCATCGTTTAATCCAAGAACTGTTCGTGATAACTCTCCTCGCAAGTAGAAGAAGTTTCTTATTTTGGCTGCTCGCGAAAAAAACCGCGTGACCGAGCAAACACTTTTTTTTCTTTGTCAAAAGTTTTTTGGTTTATTTCTTTGTTACTTTTTGTTTATTCTCTGTTTCGTTCATAGTTGTTAAATTTTGAGACAGCCGAATTAGCAGAAAATTGTGTAGCTTTTTATATTTTTAGGTTTTTAATGTTTATACATGTATATAATGCAATTGGTGATGTTCTTGATTACATATGATCTATTGCAACCATGCTTAATTTGAGCAAAAAACTTTACCTAAATGATAGTAATATAAAATCCCAATTTTTTACTTTTCATTTTGTGGATTTTTTCCAATGTTTTGTTTTAGGTGTGTTTATTGGTGTGTTATGGATTGGATTATTTTTGAGAGCTGTTTGAGGTTAAAGTTTCATGTGAGTAAGAAACACTCGTAAAAGCCTAGCAACAATGGTATGAACCAAAGAGGTGGTGGCCTAGTGGCTAGTGGTAAAACAGGGTTAGTTCCTTTTGTGTTCAAGGTTCAAACCCTTTTTGGTACGCAAGTGTATTCTTTAAATCGTAATATCTAAAGACTGACTCCATGTACTAGGGGAGATTATGGCCAAGGTCGGGAACTCCATCGGTTTAACAAAGAAAAATAAAACAATGATATGATATTTTGCAAGGACTCGTAACGTTAAAGTTAGCATATATTTTGGTTATTTTGGACCTGTGAAATAATGCATATTTTTTTTTTTTTTTTTTTTTTTTTTTTTTTGAATTAATGTTAAATTATATTCAAAGAAAAATAAACATGCATACAACTTAATGCAAACTGTTTTTAAAGACAAAAAAGAGAAAAATTATCCTTCACTGTGTTTTTGAAGCAAACCAAGCTTGCATTCCCCCTGCATACTTCAGCTCCCCTTCACTTCGAATTGTGCTTAATCGATTTCGAATATTCTTATCGATTATTTTTGTTAGCTTCTCACTTGGTGATGGTTCTTCCCCATGTCTTCTATTGTTCCTTTCTCTCCAAATTGAGTGAATCGTATTTTGAAACACATACCTTAGAATAAAGGTCTTTGTCTTGTCCAAATCCTTATGAGTGAGCATCTTAAAGATCTCCCTCCAATTCGCCGAGAACTTTGTGAGAAGGAAACCTTGCATTAGATCCTTCCACACTTTCAATGAGTAGGGACACTTAAAAAATAGGTGGTCTCTTGTTTCCATTACGTGTTGACAGAAAATACAGCTTGTGCTCGCTTGTGTATTCCATTATGCATTGTGAAATAATGCATATTGCTAAAAAAGATATTAGTACTAATCACTATGGTCATTCCGGTAGAGTGAATATGATAAAAGAAGCATAACTTTCAACCTATCCTAAATAATACTAATTAATGGAAATGAAAGATAGATAATGATGCGATACATTTGTCATGTTGTCTAATAATTCAATTAGTTGCCACTACACATCTATGGAAAACGTGATACATGGATATTCGATAGAAAGTGAACCAAAAACTTCAAACTATCATCAATGATTATTAATGGAAATAAAAGGTATATGGTGGATGACCTTGTATATATCTTTCAAGGAGAGACAGTATGTCTCGGACTCAGACAGCTTCTAGAAATCAATTGACCTCAATGGAAGTTCTACATAGGTAACGGTCTTCTCAAGGAGTTTTGAGATTTATTAAAGTCGTGTTTATGGATATATCTTTTTTTTTTTGGTAAAATTTATGGATATATCTTTTTTTTTTTGGTAAAATTTATGGATATATCTTGTCCGCTGCAAAAGACTTTTTTTCTATGTTATCATATCAGATTTGTTCACTTTAGAAATATGATTCATTGGTGATGGATATGGTTGTGGTTCTAGAATTTTGTTTTGATGATGTTATAACTTTAGCTATCAATATAATATTCACAGGACTTATGCTAAGATAGTTTTTTCCAAATCAAATATCTTAAAACTATGCAAGTTTTGAAAAGTATTACCAAAACATTAGTTTGTAGTACATTTTGGCTTATCTCGTTCTAGTCGGACTATAAAAAAATTAGACCTGCAAAATTAGGTTGGACAGAACTAGCCCAATTGACGACTGACATGCCAAATTTCTACTCACATTTTTCCAAAGGGAATATATTTCCAAAACTAAATTCGAGTCAAGTCAAATTCTGCGTTATGTATTTTGGCATAAGAACAAAAATCAGATCTGAACTTAGAAATCTTCAAAACATTATATAAAATACAAATACACCGTCATAGACCTAGAGGACATAGAGCAGCACTACATCTCCCATGTTTCTCTAGACCTCATCTCAGTGCATTACTCCTGCAAATAAACAGATTTAACATATCAGAATCATTATCTGGATTCAGCATCTTAATTATATGATCACAATCATGCATTACCCTGAATCTTTTCCGGCGTAAATCATCCTGATTGTATCCGAAAGAATCATTTCTGTATCCTCCATCTCTGTTATCTAACACCCTTCTCGAATTCCGGAAATATCCAATCTTGTCCCATGTTAGTTCATAGTCTGCCTTTAGCCGAGTACCTTCCTGCTCAAATGATAAAAACCAGAATACATCAGCTACGTTCCAATGCATACACGAGAAATACCGACAAAAAAAATACCAGTTGCCTAATTCTTTCTGCATAAACAATCAAATAAAATTTAATCTATTGACTATCAAACAGGAAGTATTGAATGTGGTATATACAGATGTTGCAGAGCCGGTGAAACATATTTAGATGTGGTTACATCACAGTATTTAGGTTTGGATACAGGAGCAAGAACCCACAGAACCACACTAGCAGAAACTAGTTTTTTCATACAATCTAGAGCACGATTCAGTAAAAGCATCCAACAAAAACATTTTTCCGATGATAAATGCTCGTCTGCTATTTAAGAGCTTACGCAACAGCAAAACAGAGAAAGCTACTATACCACCATCTCCAATGTTCCCAAAATATTTGTCTAATGAAACCTAAAATGCTTCTTTGCAATATAGATGATACCTTTTCCATTGAGCGACCACTGAAAGCCTTCATGGCATTCACGAAGTCATTGTACTTCTCAAACTGAACCACAATCTTACAATGGAGACCTGATACGAGGTCTCCACTGTCCTCATCTGCGTCTTTACCTAGATCATCGTCCTCAGCAACATTAAGATTCCTATAGAGGATGAGTTAATGCAGCTGAACATGGGTTTATGTAAATTATCGGAATTACATTAACATCAGATTCATTGGTAAACAGAATAAATGATCCAAAGAATACTTAGCACACATGGTAGAGCAAGTTCAATACAATGATTGTAATTAATCTTCAGATAAGATTTCCATACAAAATGTCATTTCTTTTGAACTACATGGACAAATTCTGTAGACTTATGATCAAATGTAGATGCATGATATCTATCCAAAGCAGCACAAAACCAATGAATTTTCCAATAAGCAAGCCATTAATCAATCTCAACTAAAGAAAAACACAGTTTCAACCAAACCTAATCAAATTGGCTATGAAAGATGACAAAATCTTACCTAATTTTCCCAAAGCTAGAGAAGATTGTATGCGTAACCAACATTGAAGGCTTCGATGAAACTCTTGGCTCAGCAAACCATCTTGATGGAACACCTCTAAGTATTATCGTATCAGCCTCTCTCCTTCCCTCCCTTGAATGTCCTGCAAATCACAATCACATCAAATACCGCGAAAAATCGTAAAAATCAAGTTCCAAAAATTAATAAATCCAAATTACCAAAAGCATAAAACTGCTCCCAATCCTTCTTCAACCTCTCGAAATCATCTGAAATCGGAAGTACCACACTAAGTTTATACTTAACTCCTTCCAAATTAAGCTCAATACCATTCATCTTCTCCACCAAACTCTTCCTCCAATCCAAAAACTTCTTCTCCAATTCCTTCACATCTCTCTCTCCATCATTCTCTTTCTTCCTCTTCTTCCCATCAAGAAACCCTAAATCGCGTATAAACAACGATCCATGAGCAACTGGCTCCTCACGCTTCCGCTTCTTTAAATCCTTGTGACGGCGAACTACGATGTCTACCTCCGCAACTGTGACGGACGGTACGACGGAGTTTTTGAGGTAATCTATTAAGGATCGCTTGAGTTGCCATTCGTCGATGGATTTGGATACGGAGGGGACTATTGGGTGGATTGTGAGACAGAGCTTGACGCGTGAGACTAGAGAGAGGCCGTTCTCTTCGATATCTAGGGTTTCGACCAGAGATAACTCTTCTAACGATCGCATTTTTTCGCCGTCGATGCAAAATTTAAAATCGCGATTGGCTCACAGTCTCGGCGGCTTTGGGTATAGAAGACAGGAAGATACTGAAAAGTGAAAACAGTGCTAAACCCGAATTAAATCGGTTATTTCCGGTTCTCTTGAATTCTAACATTTTGGGAATAAATTGCATAAACGGTCCAAAATTAGAGACTAATTTTTTTTTTTTTTTTTGACAATCTTTTTTTTTTAATTAATCATTTTTTGCTGACCAACGATTTTAAATCTATCTTAATTTATTATATAGTCTAAAATATTGGTAACCAAAAACTGTACAAATCTTTTAACTGTTAGCTGGAGCTGTAAACTTTACCGGAATAGTGCAAAACTGTATGAAAGAGTTGTATAAAAAAAACTGAAAGTAAAACTGTTAGTAACGTTTTTGATAAAACTTTTGGGATCGGTAACTGTCAAAGCTTTACACCATGTACCGCTTTGATAATGAGTTATCATTCAAAGCCAATCATCGACATTGGTAAATCATATAAAATAAGTTTTATCGTTTGTTTCATCTAAACTCATATATGTTAAGTTTTTTTTGGTACTACTATTCCCTGATGATTATAAGATTTTTTTTTTTGTGGAAACCTTTACTTTATTTCTAATTCTATGTCTAAAAGCAAAACCATGATTAGTTAAATGCATATATATATATAAAAATTATCTTTAATAATCTTCCGGAAGCATCCCTCATGACATTTTCCTTTTTGGTGATGTTCATTTTTTCTCC